TGGCGCATCAATCGGAGGCCACGAAGAAAATAAGTTTGAAAGGGAGTTCAATATCCTTCCTCTACAACTCTTGGTCTTTATAATAATGCAAAGCACGGCCTGGTGAATGCTTGGACAGAAGCAGAGGGAGAAGGCCGCTCCCAGGGCTGATGTCCGCGCACAATAGAAAACGACAGGGGTATTAGGGGTTACTGCTGCAACAACTTCAAGGTTTATGGAACGTTTGTAAATGTTAGTAGCCTAAGTTTTCGTAACTTAGAAGACTTGGGATTCTCGGTCACCCTTCTGGGAGGGGTGCTAGTGTGGGGTTCTTTAGCTCTCGTACGCTAGGAAGGCACAGGTCCTTTAATCAAAATGAGCTCCTATGCTATAATCACTTGAACAGCGAGTTGTATCTCTCATAGTTTTTTTAATAATGTTGGACTATTGTATTACTGCATTTGCTACGCGCTTAAAAACCTTCGTTGTTGAATGGCATGAAAAACATAATACTGTAACAACAATGATCACTAATGGAAAGTAATCAAGCTCTATGATTGCACAACAGATCCACTGTACTTTCCATTGTTATAAATGAACATATTCCAAACTATGAAACAGCAACAGTGCTTAATATATACAGTATATATATATATATATATATATATATATATATATATATATATATATATATATATATATATATATATACATATATACATATATATGAGGAGAGAGGCAGAGAAGTCAAAAGCAAAATTCTATCATTCCTAGGGGCAGTGGCGGCTCGTGAAAAATAAAATGGAGGGACTGCAAGCCTCACACAACAGTAGGTGACCTACCTCAGGTATGAGTTGTAGTTGATGTCCACGAATTCCCAGGGCATGGTAGTAGTGTTGGTGGTAGAAGGGATGGCCGAGGTGGTGATGGACCAGTATTAATTGAAAATAAAGTCGGCGTGTCTGCTCTTCGATGTAGCAAAATTGTTTATTACTATTTCATTAAAATCCTTTATTTCTGTTATGATTTCAGTCTTTTCATTTAATGTCAGCTGGGAAAAGTTGATGTTTTGCAAATACTTCACTCGATTTTCCATCGTCAAAGGGTAATTAAAGAAAGCACGATTTAACCACACCGTCCACACGTTGTACGAGACTGAACTGCTTCAAGTGCGGCGGCGGCGGCGCCAATTAATAAGACATGAATCGTACAGCATTGACAGCAACTATGAAAGTAACTTAAATTTTGGTCTGATTTTAATAAAAATTCACTTAGCAACGTATTGAAAATAATTAAATAACATATAAAATGATATATTTGTTGGTAGTGTATTATTCAGCTGTCTCTCTAAAGGAATCATACGCCTGGCAGTGAGTGTCTGGGGGACTGCAGCTCTGCAGCCCTATGCACGAGCCGCCACTGTATATATATATATATATATATATATATATATATATATATATATATATATATATATATATATTCCAGTACAAAATCATCAGTAAGCATAAAATTGAGTCAAGTAATCTAGAAAATCTCTTACTATACTTGACTACTGGTACCAAATAAAAGAATATATAATACTGTACAATACTCTACGGCGGTGTAACAAAATATTTAAGAAAACTATTTGTAGATAAAATCAAATAAAGTACGGCTTTTGGGAAGCAGTATACTGTATGGCGAAAGCAGTACTGTACAGTACATTTTACAAATATTGCACATTACTGTACTGTATTCGGTATACAGTAATGTATAATGTACAGTAAATGGTATACAGAGTACCAGTGATTGGCTTACCTAGGTCAGTAAGTCACTTGAATCGCCCTAATTTATCTCAGTGACGACAAGACTAAATTTGGGATGTGCACTAAGCATTACCCCACGAATTAATAGAATTGTCATAAACCTCAAATAATACGTGCCAAAGAATACACCGTCTCCCATATCATGAGAAAACTGAAGACAAAATTGGGAAGTGAGGTTGGTGTATACAGTAACAGTATACAATATCAAAGGTTGCACCGTACAACTTCCCACAACCACCGGCACGGAGTTGATTATGAAGTGTTGCCATATCAAAAAATAGGCTACTTTATGTGTGAATCTAAATACATTTATAAATTAAGTTAAATGAATTATAATTACCAGTGAATTATCGAAATATCAATATAAAATTACGGTATGTTAGTATAAATCCTACCAAATTACTAAAATACCTAATAATTACCAAAAAATCGATAAATAGTCAAATCAGTGCCGCTTATTGTATAACTCTTCCATGTGTGTGGGCGATGGTGAAACATAATATCAAAGAAAAAAATATCAGTGAACACTCCTTGGGCTGTAACAACAAAAGAGTACAATACCGGTATCTTAAATATGAATATTACACCGCATTAATCATGTTCCATAATCAAGGTGTTTCTGCTTTGCTTCTGTAGTAGAGAAGTTCTAGAAATGCCATTTAGTTTGTGAATTTTCCAGTACATTGCGATCCTGCAATATGCATTTACAATTTTCGACAAACTCTTGCGACAAACTAAGTAAATGATGTGACAAGATTTGAAGTTACTCACGACGTATGTGGTTAATCTTGTGTTTACACTTGGTCCACTGAGTGAAGTAATTATCCTGATGGCAATGTGAGACCACCGAAATCATTCTTGTGGTTCTCACAGCTTTCATGTGAGTAAATAGTTTATTTAATTCTCACATGAAATAAGAGCTATACGACGAAGTGCTGCAGCATGCATGTAGAACAACAGAAATCAAGCTCCTCTGACACACATCCAAGGACATGTGGATATTTCTCGGTAAAAAATCGTTTTTATCCCACTTTGACCAATTGGTATGATATTATTTTCCTAGTACATTTTGGTGTTTTTTAATTGATCTGATCTGATCTAACCTAACCTAACCTGAAACAGATCCTGAATTGGAATGGTAAAAAATAATCCGAAATACCTATTTTGATAAAAAACGAATATTAGCCAATTTCTCAAAATATGAATAATGAATAAGTAATTTGTAAAGTGTTGAAATATAATAAGAACTTCCTCGAGAGATTGAAAGGTTTACTTTGTGTTAAAAAAACGTTGGTTTATTGTACAGGCTAGTATTCAAACCTCGTTTAATTTAGCATGCGCTGTCCGTTATTATACGTTTCCGTCGGTAATGTAATATTAGAAATTTTTCTTAAAATTAGACGTATTTTTCGAATATGATAATAGATTTGGTGTAGAAAAGTTGTGTGAACTATTCTAAAAATACCTAATCTTCAAAAAACAATTCAACTGTACGGGCCTTCACTTAAAAGTAACCAGCCTAAATTTTCCACAATACTACGGTATTCTGCCATTACTCTCACATTCACTAGCAATTCTAGAGAGTGGATCGTTATCAATACTAAATGCATTAAATAAAGAGCTAATAAAAAGTAAGTCAACGACTCACCTCCCTGGATCCGTTGGAAATCTGAAGAAAGACAAGTTTTTGTTCCATTTGTTGTTCATGAATCAATTAATATCTGCACAATAATTAAATACCATTGCAGATATTAGAAGAATGCGCTAAAGGCCACAATCCGAGGTAAACATCAGAGTGAGTCATCCTTCTCTATTAAAGAATCCTTGTTTTCACTTAACTCATTCATATACACATTAAAATCTTAAAATGTCACTCTCTTTCACTTTGTACAAGCACAATCTGATTATCACTTTAAAGTATCGGTATTTTTATCGTAAAACACTTAAATAAATTTCCGGAAAAGTTTGTGAACATTAGCATCACACACTGCAGGACATTGGGTCAACACTGAATTTAGGAAAAAAACGATACAAATTAGATCTCTTTAGAAAATCCTAAATTATCAGATAAAAAAGTCACAAGTATCCTTTTGATAATTCCAACGAAACATCTAATTAAGCATATAGGTAAATTTGCACTTGCACACCCCACTCTGTTAAAAAATAAAAAATATATTTCTCTGTTGTATTTGTGTGTTTTGGCCGGTAGTTTTTTGTCGATTTTTTTTCGTGGGACTTTTCCGAAAAAAATAATGGCTAAACGAATAAAAAAAACACTTATAAAACAAAAACAAAACCTAACCTAACTCTCACCATATGATGGAATGACCTATGTTCTTACCTTGTTAGCCTGGTTCTTGTTCGTCGTTGGAGTCTGAGATTCTTACACAACGTCACATATGTTGGTCTTCGAGATATTTACATTCAGTCTTGCACTTAGGACACTTTACTGAGATTGGAAGAACACCATGCGATCGAAAAAATGCTATACTTTCTTTGTTTTTCCCCAAAAACTCACAATCAGCCTCACATAATTTAAGTGACACCCATCACAGACTTCCGCGGTTGGAAATGAATATGAATTTGGAAATAGGAGAGCCCCAAAATAAAAATCGATTTTGATTGGGCCAAAAATACCGCGAATTAAACCAAAAATCATTTTAATTGGTTGCAAAAAAAAAAAAAACTGCCATACAACAGTTTTCGTGTTTATGCTGTATGACATTGATTGACTTGCCAAACGATTCATAAAAAATGGATCGTGGACTCCATAACCCATGTGGAGTAAGTGTTAAAATCCCACCAGGAACCGTCCACAACAGAATAGTTCTATATTACATTGATCAATTTATGACAGTAGCCAGATTTCGATTCCTCCCCCCCCCCAAAAAAAAAATACCTATGGTTCTTTTGTTGTGACTCGAACTAATTTGACCTTCGTTTCTGGTGCTAACTGAACCTGGCTATCCTAAATTGACCTACATTTATCTGGATGAGATTGAAGCCATCAGCTGATTTGTGTTAACAGAATGTGCTTCCTTTCTAACTCTCTCCACTGTTTAATTTATTATGGACACCGACCGATGGGAAGTCATTAACCAAGTCATACATCTTATTTTCTCACCTATTTATCTTTTATTTCTACTTATTTTATATTATAGCAAAAGGTATATAACCTGTGAGCAACATAAAAAATTAAATATTAGCTCGCTACGCCATCTGTGAAATCAATTATAAGATCACCACCAGTACCCAGCTTAAGCTTTGGACGGTAGGCGACTAGTTCAAGAGACAAGGATGTAAACAACGGGGATGCAAGGCCATACCACCTATTATATTCCTACATAATAGTTTTGACCTGTAAGTTAACTTTACCTGTTGATTTTATTATTCTATAGGTAATTTACAACGAGTCAGTAGGGAGAATGATTTGAAGGATTTTTCAGTATGTGGAAGTAAACTCGCCTAATATAATTGCCCCACCCAGCCCAAGTTTATGGCTGACTTCATGTGAGAAAGTTTATCATAATGTTTATAATAATGCTTCAGTCACAGTTCAAGATTAATTAGAGACACGATGAGTGCTTTGCCATCCATAGCCGGAAAACAGAGAACAGAAAAAACTTGTTCCTCATGCAATGATATATTTCACTGACATATACTGTACACCTTAGAGCACAATCATTATTCTGATAATCTGGGCACTGCATCATAATACTAGCTGCTACTGAGCCTCGCCCAAGTATTGATTGACTGAGAGTTAATGAAAATAGAATTTGGTGAGATATTTTTTTTATTGGTACTGGTGAAGGATACACTTAGCAGTAGAAATAACCTATGGAATTGCAACAAAATTTCTGGAGACGTTATTTGCATGATTCTAAACAAGAAAATAAAAACGATAATGTACAGAACCTAACAGAATTTGACCTAACCAACCTACCCTAACCAAACCTACCTAACTTTACTAACTTCCTAACAAGGTGGCGCCACTGGTATTATTTTAGTTTCGGTCATCAGAGGAATCTTTGGAATTTAGGTTAGGTTAGATATAGTTCCTGGGTTCTGTGACAGGTTTGGTTAGGTTAGGTTAGATCAAAATCATTTAAAGCACATCTAACACCATCGGAAAAACATAGGGATGACCGAAACTAAAATTTTACCACCCTACCCCCCGGAACCCCACATTCCCGACATATTAAGCAGAAAGAACGTATTTTGATATCGGGTAAGGTAATTCACAAATTTATAGTTTAACAACGGAAGAGAACTATCGGCACCATGGTTGTTAACCTGTTGCAATTTTTTTATTCATGGAGTCGTTTAAGTACGTGAGAATGGTTCCAAAAGTTTACCTGTTTTTACAAATCCGCATTACTACAATACATTGTTTCTGTGTGAAAATGGGAGATGTATTGAACATAGAATTACAGGAACTTGCAGTCACATAGAGGTCCAGTGGCAGTCACATGGTGCAGTGGTGATGTGATGTAATGTGTTGAGATGCTTCAATGGTCTGCTGTTCTGCTGACAGCTGGGTGAGGTGGTGTAAGGGTGGCTGCATTTCTACTCTTTCTCCATAACGTTTTGAAAAAAAAAGTAATGAATATTTTCCCAAAAGGATTTTCATTTGCTTTTAACCCTTCCCATCTCTGAACTTTCTGTTTTAACACTTAAGAGAAATCATTAACTTTTAAAATGTTTAGTCAAGAGTCTTCACTGAGTTCTATGTCCAGCATCTCAGCTCTACCGCGCCTTCAAAGGCATCATTCAAGCACTCCCCCTGTACCTCTATGGTATGGCGAGCCCAAAGTTGGTGCATTCTTTGTATCAAAACAAATGGTTTGGTGAAAATACAGTAAAGTACTGAAAAAAGTAAACTGTTATGAGACTAATGGTGTAAGCCTAAAAGATGCTTTCATACATTTTAATTTCTAAGAACCAGCTTTATAAGCTTTATAAAAGAATGGAAAATATTCACCCCAGAATTTTTCTCTGGGTTTAGTAGCAACAAATATCTGAGTGATATATGCTCAAGCTTGGCAGTACTTCAAGGATCATTCCTGATAGAGTATAGTACTGTACTCTACAGTGATGGGTTTTGTTAATTTGCTAAGGTCTTGGTCTATTTGCCATGTCCTAAGTATCGGTAAGTTCAAAATCATTTGTTTCTTGCTCTCGTGCTGGCTTTGCATTTTATGAATTAAAATATGTCTTATTGAAAATCTTGAAGACAACAGACCATTCTTAAGAGTGTGAGCCTAAACTTTACCTTTATTGTTTTCTTAATTATTTAGTGTTAATAAACAATCTTTAGATTGCTTATAGTTAACAATAGTGTACCAATATGGTTACATTACTCTAGTGACAAACTTCTCATAGAATAAAATGTGTTCATTTGGACATACTTTACTGGTACTGTACTGTATCAGGTGTTAGAAGAAGATAAATTTATATTGAAAATAATGAAGTGTTAAGTTAAAGTGACTTTGCAGTGGGGCTCCATCTTGTGCTATGCTTGTATTTGACTTAGAGGCTGCATTACCATGCAATTCTTTTTAATCATGTAAAAGGAACCAGTTTAAGCTAATATAACCGAGCCTAACATAACCAGAATGTTTGTTTAACTGTTTTTCATGAACTGCATGATTCAACATAAAAAACATGTGTATCTTAATGATATTTTATGGGAACTAAATATTGTACTGTAGGTACTCTACTTTATCTGGATGTCTGAATTTCAGTGTTCAGCGTAATGAATAATGATTTCCTCTGTATTTTTCCACATCAACTTTTGGATATTAATCGTCTACCAAAAGTAGTAATAGTTTTAGATAAGAAAAAGTTTTCCAGTGGGATTTGCTTTTTCAACTTTTGTAGGACAAATCTTCCCCTAGTTTTCTCCTTATGACACTAAATATCAATGAAATAATGTTGAAACTTAAATTTTGGCATTGAACTCTATGTCAGTTATGCTATTGATAATTTGTTTTAGACTTATTGTTGAACCTTACTTATAATATAAGGTATATTTATTTTTAAAACTTAATTTTGATTTTCAGGTAGCTACCATGGCAGAGCGTAGATTTACACGTGGCCTGGGCAAGCCAGGTATGGCTGCTCAAGTGAGAGAAAACGTGTCGCAAGCAGTGAAAGCAACAGCTACACAGGTAATTTCCTTGTTCAGTGAAACTGAATTTCATGAATTATATAGTATACGTGGTTGACATTCATTTTGAGGCATCTCATGAAACACAATACCGTAAGTTAGGGTGACTTCATACAAAATTCGTAGACAGTTACAGCAAGCAAAGTTTTCTTGGTATCAAAATGTTGCCTTAACAATGTAGTTTTCATATGTGAGTTTCATTTGCTAGTTTAAAGTGTAATTAATAAATATATATCAATGATCAAAATCCATTTTTACCCAAAATTTCAATTGTAGCAATACTTTTTCCACTCGGAGAGTGTCAGTCCATAGAGTAATATAACTAAGTAGTGAAAAATATTAGAAACTTGTCTATCTTGAAAATTTAGAAACAGTCTGAGGTGTTTAATATACTGTACCCTAAAAGTGTGACTTGAATAGAGGTATTCTATGTGAAAATTGTCTTGACTTGGGATAACTTCAGACAGCTCAAAAATGAATTGGGAGATACAATCCAAATATTATTCATGCATATTTGCAAGATTGCATGATAATTTTTGTTTGCAATAATGGTACTGGGAAAGAAATAATTACAAAATAGTGTGTAATCCATAACTCAGGGTGTAAAACAAGAATACAGTAAAGTGTACATGCTGGGCACTGGTGACGTGTTAAATTTGTTTTGCTGTCTTTCTTAATTTATAATCTTAAGAAAGGAGCCCATAGCAGAACCAAATACATTGTACAGTGATATCCCCATTAGCCAAAATAATTAGTGTAGAACTCTAACAGAGAGGAGAGATTTCCAGGTAACGAGACAACTCTCTCAAAGCCGGAAAAATCCCACATCCCTGAATTTTTTTGGTCCTGGAAAAAGTTTCTCGGAATTTTCTGGACATTGTAAATTATTTCCTCCTCAAAATTTGCTCCCAGACCTGAAAAAAATTAGGAGTTACTGGATTTTTTCTCAAAAATTTCCAGAAAATGCGCTTGATTTTCAACTTCGGAATTTGCTCCAAGACCTGGGGAAAAAATTGGAGATAGTTTCAGGAATTTTCCAGAAAATACACCTGATTTTCAACCTTGGAAATTCATTCACAGACCCAGAATTGAGGGAAATTTTCAGGAAAAATTCCAAGCAAATTTCAATTCCATGTATCAGAGAGTTCTTGCTAATGGGGATTCCAGCTAAAGGAGATATTACAGCATGCATGTATTCGTGTATACCTGTAATACAATTTTCTTGAAAAGTTTTCCCTTCTTTTGACTCTACTTCCCTTCTTGACCTATACTGCAGGCCAGGCTCTTAACAAGTACAGCCATTGAATTAACACTTGTCTGAAGACACCCGAGACCCATTTGAAGTCACCCCATCTCTGGGGTGATGTTCCTTTTTCAGTTTGACACTAGTCAGCCCATCATGATGGTATATTTTGATCATTAAGGATATACAGTATTGAACTAATCTTGTTACCTGTAATGTTTCAGGTCAAGCCAAGACTTGCTGACCCCATAGACTTTGAGGAGTTTGTTTCTAAGAACAAAGTGATGTTGAATAATGACACCCTGAGAGAACTGCTTATGTACCCTCTTGATGATATTTCAGTAAGTATACTGTATTTGTATTTTTTTTAGTTTGACTGGATAACAGAAAAAATAGATGCAAATATAGTCAGGCATAAAAATAAAAATAATGCTAGTTCCTTAAACTACAACCAATTTGGTTAGATTTTAATTTCATTCATTGTTAAGATATATTCTGTTATGATGTAGCACCATATTCTTTTGAAAGAAATGTATTTACTGCAGCCTAATTTTTCTATTTCTTTTTAACTTAAATTATTTTACCTTTTAAGGGATCTTAATAATAACATTGGACCCAGTTTATGTTGATTTCTAGAATATTTTCTGAATTTAGACAAATCTAAAGCAAGCATAATTCTCTCAGAAGTTAGAGCATGTTTCCTGTCTTGGACTGTGTGAGTGAAAAATGTTGTTAAAGTTCAGATGCTGTAATATAATGTTTTGTGTTTGAATATAATATTTTGTAGTTGATGTGTTTTCTACAGTACTGTACTGTATTTGCATTTTTTATATAATGCACAGTAAACAGTGCAGTGTACAGTAGTTAATTATTGTCCTCTTGTTATTGTGAACCACCAGAATTTGAGAACTGTTTAATGAATAACTGAAATGTACTGTACAGCACTGTGTTGTTCCTCGGGTCACAAGAACTTTGCAGTCATTAGCTGCTGTTCATCTTGATGAGGAAGTGATGAATCCTCTTGTGCGGCAGTGCCTTGCAACCTACTCACAAGACCTTACTACCGTGACGCACAAATATCTACCATATTCTGGGTCTTACCTCCACTTACCAAGGTAGGATAAATATGCAGTCAAATGTTTTTCATGATTAAAGTTGTATCGTGTATTATATAAGAATATCATTTAATATCCAACTTTTAACTCTATCCATCTCTTATTTATGATAAATTTTAGAATGTTGGCAGAAGGTAGTTTTGTGGTAACTCTGGATTGCTTGAATATTTGCATCAGTCAAATTTAAGTAGTGGGGGGGGGGGGTGACAAGCATAGCGAGCCTATACAGCTGGGGGGATCCATGTGGGTGCTGTAAGCCACCTGGCTATTTTTTTAAATCTGACCAATTTCAGGGACATATTGAGGCCGTATGATCTGGACATTAGGACATTTTCTATGGTTGGAGATGGAACATTTGGAACATCAGTAGTGGGATTATAAGTTGGATCCACCACTGCTGTCAGGGAGGGATAATAAAGAAAACAATTATATGGTTAAAAATAAGTTTATTACAAATTCATTCTTTTTCTCACTATATATACGTTATATTATTCAGTACTGTATATAGGAAGTCCCTGAGTTACATACTTCTGATTTATGAACATGCGCCGATACGAACAAGTTTCCAAGGTCCCATAAAGTTTAAGCTTCAAATTTACAGTATTTTATTTATCTGGTGACATATGTTTTACTGTACAGGGTACTGTACTTTCATTTACGTATTGTATTTTGTCCTTCTATATCTTCTTTTCTTTTAAATTAAGTGATATTAGATGTACAGTATATAAGGACCTAGGCTATGATATAGATACTATAGTGGAATTTTAAACATTGTTCTGTAAGTACGGTGCGCACATAGGGTATGTAGGTCGACTTATGTACATTTTCGACTTAAAGAACATCCATAGGAATGGAACTCGTGTATAACCAAGGGACTGCGTGTACTACATACATTGAATTAAAATTATAGTTTTCTCTCTTAGTAATAAACATTTTACAAAATTAATACATTTAAAATTTAATCTCTTTCTCTCTAATCATTAAATATTATAGATACCCAATATGAGATATTAATACATTGAATTTAAATTTAATCTCTTTCTCTCTTATCTATTATTCACAATGACTTCTAGGATTGGAGGGCTGACCACAGGGATTAAGGCAAATTCTGGTATGTATGTAAATCTTCTTGCCAAATTTCAACTCTTATCTTCAAAACTGTAGCTGTACATAGCAAACAGACAAACAAGCACACAGACAATATGCTCTATGCAGTATACTGTATATAGATGGATAATTTTTTTTATCACCTCTTTCCAGATTACCCCGTGTGGATGATTTAAAGGAACAAGTTTATGAAGTGGATACTGATATTGAACAAGGAGATCTAGTAAGTCTGTTTATAAGGATATTTTTCCCTGAAATTATAATGCTATGCTATTGCTCAGTTAACCATATTTCTCAAAATCAGGGGATTACTAAGTCATTACTTGACCCATCAGTCCATTTGTCTGTAAGTGCCTCTTCCCTGCTCCATGGCTTCTCAATCAGTGAGGAATTCTTATTGAAACTACAAAAATATGTTCTTAATTCCATGGAGGTGATGTAACTGATATACACTAATGCTTCCAAGACCACCAATATAATATCCAAGGGACACACTACTGCATTGAGACAGTTTCCATAGACTTAATATTGGCATTTTATATGATTTCAAATGAATTTGTGGTACCCCGAGATATGACTAAATTATAATTGGCCACATTAACCAGCTAGTCATATATATATATGCCTTGATATCCTGAGTCCCAGCCATGAGCAAAAATATTAAGGCTATTTGCATTATATATGTCACTAACACACATCTTTAATTTATTGGTGATCATACCGACATTTCCATCCATCGGTCATATGCCAGTACTTCATCCTTACTTCACCATTGTCCTTCCTCTTTTCCCACACCTCCTTCACAATTGCCACCTCACTTGACAGCTTTTCACAGTACTAATGAAAGCATCAGTGAATGTGATAGTTTAGGAATATCGGAAACCTTAGTTTATGTAACCAGTCTTGGCTTATCTAAAACATTGAATTTTTCAGATGATTAACTTGACTCTTTTTCTTGGGCCTCACCACAATGTGCACACCTAACCTCAAAGTAACTCTTCCTTAACCATGTAGATGGTTAATTTGTCATTTAGATGGTCAGGACAACCATTCATTTCTGGTTATATATCATTGTACAGTACATACTGTATGAAGTGAATAGCTTGTGAATGATTGTAAATATATCATATTACCATTACAGTAGTTTTTTCAACACAAATGTATATATTTGTGTGTGTGTGTGTGTGTGTGCGTGCGTGCGTGCGTGCGTGCGCTTACATGTATGAGTACATCTTTGTAAACAGTTGGTGTAGCTAGTGCCCGTGTCATCAGCCTTCCTGGTGTGTACATGTGTCAGGGTCACTGTACAGAATATAGTGACTATGATGCTTGATGAGATTCTGCTCTTAATTATACATTCAGTTTGGGATGTTAGTTATTTCCTATTTGATGTAGCCAAGTTATAATTTTGCATTTTTTATTTTTCAGGCAATTTTGACTAATGGGGAGAATATACTGAAGAAAGGGTACCTCCTCAAAGGTCCAGAGAGTGGCAATGAGAAGATTTTTGGCAATTTCTCCTCAAAGACTTTCAAAAGGAGATTTGCTTGCCTGAGGTTGGTTAAATTTATTGTTGATGTGCATAGATTTATATATAATTTATTTAATAATGAACACAGTCAGTTTTTTTAGCCCTGTCTTGTGCCTTGGAATTTTTTTTTATTTTTTAGTAAGTTAAACATTTAAAGAGTACAGGGGGTCTTAGGGTTACGAACGGGTTCCATTGCTGAGGATGTTCATAAGCCGGAACACATGTGATATGAAAACCGTGCTTACAAAATAATGTTTAAAATCCCACTATATCGTAAGTCGGACGTTCGTAAGTCGGGGACCTCCTGTACAGAGTTTTTAAAGTTGAATTATTATCCTAAACAGCTACCCTGGGAATCACAAACTGTAAAATACATGTTATATATTAAAGTTGTAGAATGGGACTTCAGGCTCATTCTTATCTTTAATTCTACAATAGCAAGATTTCATTTTGTTCAGTAAAATTACTAGACAAAATGATATTGCTAGGACCATCATTTCTACTGAGAATTCTCAACACATTCATTTTTCAATCCTGTACACCTGATGCAGAAACTGCAAGGTGTGCACCTTTCTTTAGTCCAACAGAATATATTGTTGTACAGGTAATTGTAACCACCACCTGAGTGAAAACTTAACCAAAATCATATTACGAAAAAACTTAAAAACAAAGCTCACCTTAAGTTCTTTTGAAAGTTTCTGTGAGCAATGCATACAGTAAACTGTTGTGGCTCTTCAAGCTGCAAGTGACAGTCACATTTGCAGTGATAAACATTGAAAAATGGGTGAGTGAAATCATCCACAGGTTCATTTATTATTTTTTTAAAGTATGTTTTGAATGTCTATGTTAATTAATTCATGCTTTTTTAATTTTATTCTTAAAAAACTTGATCCCCCGTTTTACTCACTCCCCAACACTTAACGAAGGAATCTAACTACTTGTTTAAAATCCCAGATTTACCCCTGGAAGAAAGAAGAGCATTATACAATCGAAATGCCATAAACGAGTAATTTTAATTTCTGAAGTGATATACAGTGTTCTTTTTAAGTCATTAAATAGAGAAATTACTGTAAATACTTTTCTGTACAGAGTACTGTATAACATTTCTTATAAATAATATCAGAAAATATTATAAGAACACTAATTCTTTCCTTGCTTTTGAGAGAAAATATTTACTGCAGTAGAAATTTAATATATTGATGAAATTTTCTATTAAGGCAAGAAGTTGATGGCACTTACCTACTGGAGTTTCACAAAGATGAAAGAAAACATGACCCCAAAGGAACTATTGTAATGGATTTCTGCACTCAGATATCTAAGGTAAGTATAGATGTTTCATATATTGTACATCTATCTTTATATTCATTAGAGTGGTCCACCTATATGTATAGGGGAAAAATTATATTTGGAAAAAACATAATGCTGCCCTTGTTCCTGTGTTCAACAGGGTTATGCACACCATAAATTCGATGCAATTTTATGTGAAATACATAACTCAAAATGCTGAAATTTTCTTTGACCTCTAAATGCTGTCCAGTTGGGTTAAAAAAAAATACTATAAACGTACCTCTAATAATTGGAATGGCTGGTCCTTTGGATGAGACAAAATCTTGCTCTTAATTTTTTCGACTGGCCTGATATTCATAAGTATCATCAGTTCATGTTCTTCATATTACTAAAGGCACAAATAATTTCCCTCAAAAGTATTTGCTGTATTTTGATTACAAAAAAATAACGAAAACACAAAAATATTAATAAAAAAAATACATATCTGTCTAATTTGTTAAAATTTATTGGAAACACTGTCAGATCAACCTAAATATTGTGTTAATTCTCATATAAATTTATCCATAAAAAAAGGGTTTCAATGGGACGGTGACCTTAAATGATAACTTTTGCTCCTATTTCCCTCTTTTAATTGCAAATGAAGGTAAAGTTCTAACTATCATGGTAATGGTTTCTTAAGTTTCCAACTCACAGACCCTGGCTGAACATTACATGAGTTCAGATTCAACCATGAAATTAGGTTTGAGGATCAATCCACCATTTTGACATATTTTCAGAACCCAAGACGGGGGAAATGCTGCTTTGAGTTGCAGATGTCTGAGTGTGGAAAATCTGCCCTATTGTCTGCAGAAAGTGAGGCTGACTTGGAGGACTGGATGGACAAACTTACACGTGTTATTCATGCTGATAAGCCTCAGGATGAGTCCAGAACAGAAAGAGGTATGTGCTAATGATTTGAAGAACCTCGAGCAAGTACAGTATTACATTGGCTAGTATCTGTTGTCATTGGAAACCAAATAATTGTGAAGCATAAAGGTAAATAAATGGGGCAATTTTATTTCTATATATACAGTATATATAGAAATGAGTAAACTCTCCATTAACCAGACTCTCCAGTCCCTGGAACTCTCCAATAGCCTAAGTGGAAATCGGGCCGGAAAAATTCTGTGAAAACTTTTCTCCTTTCTTGGTCTGCAAAATGAGTTTCCAGGGATGAAAATTGGGTGCATTTTCCAGTGGGGGCCTGGGATCAAATTTTCTGGGAGTTCCCAAAGATTCCATGATGTTTATAACTTAATTAGAACTGATTTTATATGCTCCGGTATAAATATTTCTTATGTTTTTTCATAAAAGAAATGATTCCCCATTATTATATTGCAACAAACATTTTTGTTTAGGGCTCTTTTATTGAAACAGTCTTGTAGAGAATTTTGGGGGAATCATTATGATACCAAATTCATCTCTTAACACAATTAGTACAAGTGCTGTGAAGGAAATTTTATACAGTATACGTTTTCGGTAGCCTTAACTATTTTTGCTCATGCCTGCTGTCTAAATATAATGGGAGAGTGTTTGTCCATGTGAGATGAGATACACAGTTTAGACTCTCTAAGAATAGGAAAATTTTCTCCAACTCCCAGAATCATTCCAGGGATGTGCGATAGTGTCTCCGTGCAAGACACTGTATCCTCATTAATTCAATGAAAATGGGGGCTTTGGGTCGTTCGAATTACCGAATTAACCGAGTTCGGAATATTTTGACATTCAAAAAGTTCAAAATTTTTGTGTTCGATCATTTGCTCATTTTCTGTTCAGTTTTTGTACCTTATATGGATCGTTCCGAAGATTGTTCCTTATTATTCCAACCAACAAACATACTCAATTAACATGCCTTGGCTGCCACATAAAGTATTCTATTGATAATCACTGTGCAAACAAATAGTTTTTAAATTTACATAAAATGATAAATAAAGTAAATAATGCAGTAATAAATAAATGTAACACTTACATTGCGAGGTGAGCTGACGAGGCAGGGGGTACGGTGATGTGGCAGGAGGTGAGGTGACATGACGAGGCACTTACACAGCACACACATCAACAGCACTTCTAAACTGTTCTCTTATAACATTTTAAATCCTAATTTCAAATTTAAAATTAATTTAAAATTAATTTTTCACCATTCCTATAATGTTAACAGTAGCATTTTCCTTCAATAACATTACAATAAAATTACCACTAATGTACAACAGTGTACAGTATTTAAATTTAAATTGACACTTATTAATACTACATAGTGTACACTTTCATCACTCATACAGTACACTTTAATATTTAGAAACTTAACATGGAGAGTTGTTCTTGGAATCAAGATAACACTCCATCACCTGTGGTGTGAAGTGTGCACTGGTTAGGTAGACAGAGTTCCTTAAGCCCTTCTCTTCTTGCACTATCCACCAACCCCAAGTCCCTCCAAATTCCACCATCATTCTTCAATTCCAGTTCCCGCACCACCAATCTACGCACCAGCATCAAGATCTCTTCATACTTTACTTCACCCATCGACTCGACTCGAAGCCCTTCTGTTGAACTCAGGAAATTGGATTTTTTATATTCCTGTATATGGTGGGAATGATTGAATTAATTATTTAGTTCCAGTCACTAATAGCCATGGTTTTCAGTGGGATTTCAGGATCAATCCTCCATTTCTTCCTTAGCTATATTTGATAACAGAAAATAAGCTAACATCCTGTCCCTTTTCCCAAAAGAATTTTGCTTTTTTGTGGTAATAGTTGCTATTATTAAAGCTGAGACAAATTTTGAATTGTTACAGATTTTATGGTTTTGTGGTGTAAGGCACCTTTTTGGGATCATGTTTACTAACCCATATTTAAGCAAACTACCTACGTGTACTGGTATTTTTTTTCCTTCTATTTTCAGTGATGGTGTGTGCATATCTTGCATGCAGGCAGATATATAAACCATTGTATAATAACATCACAATTTGGAAGAGGGAATGAGAGGTTCTCATTATTATTATTATATTTATATGTTTTTTTTTTTGCAGGGTCAACACCTCCCTCGAGTAACTACGGAACTTTACGAGGTTTAGAACATAGTCTTAATCCTCAGCTGATTAAATATGCCCATGAGACAGATTTTTCTATTGCACAAGCACGGCGTGAAGAAAGACATCAGTTGTTTACATGTTATTCAAATCTTCCGGTAAGTAGTATTTCAGTTGATGGTTTATACCAGTTGAACATTGATTTTCATGGGGGGGTTAGGTTCTTGAAAATCCCTGCAAATGCTGTAGCCTCAAATGGGGAGAAACCTTAGCTCAATTGGAAAAGTGGTGTTGGGGTTCTGGTATGACAACCTGACAGAGGGAAGGGTAAATGTTCAAGAACAATTATTATAATAAACACTGTACCTGTAATTAAGATTAATAATACAGCTAGACCCCGACTTACGACGGGGTTAGGGACCCAAATCCAGGTCGTAAGTCCGAATGGTCGTAAGTCCGACATAGATAAAAAATAATAATTTATTTATTTATTTATTTTTTTTAAATAAAAAATCTACAATGAAATACAGTACAGTGAAAGTAATAAATAATGAGGAATGGATACAGTGTGACTGAGCACTTACCTTTAATGTAGTCAGCTGAATGCACATGGGGCCCCCATAATTTTCTAATTATACATGAAGACTACATTAACTGGAAACATTTCGGTATAGAAAATGCGTGCGTCATTTGAAGAAGAAAAAAAAAATGGTCACAACTGCGGCGGTCGTAAGTCCCGACGGTCGAAGTCAAAGTAGTCGTAAGTCGGGGTCTAGCTGTAATGATAATCTATAGAGAGTAAAGTGATTTTTTAATTATTTTCGATGATGATAATAATGATTTTAGGTGTTCGGTATGAGAGTGGTAAGTGGATAAATTTGTATTTGAGAAAGAGTGCATAAATTTTTTAAAAAGGGATCTACCATATTATGATACACAAAACTGTATTCTTTTCACCTTTTTCTACAGTTTCACACATTTCTGTCTCTAACAAGATTAGTTTGACAGAACTGGGCTGCAAATCACTATCAGAAAACATTGTGAATGTAAAGAATAAAAATTTATAATAAAGAGTTGCAGCAGCCATATATATATACTATACTCAATGCTCACACTAACCCAGATCCAAGCAACATTATATTTATCTTTTTTTCTTCCTGTAATCACCATTAAATTATTAGTTTTCAATCATCTTTTTATATTATCATGCAGGATTGCATACAGATTGACACAACACTAAACCTTTTTCATAAATAGTGCAAGAGAGGTAATGGGTAAACTCTTTCAATATTAAAGTTATGTATTGCAACATGTTTTTCATATCCTACTACTATTAATTATAATATACCCATATTTATTAATCTTATCTAAATTGTTATTTATTGTTTTCATACCTGGACAGTCCTTCATTTTATGTACAGTATTTCTTATTAACTGAAATTGACCTAATGTTAACTCATCAGCTTCTGCTTGGGTTGTGCTAAGCTAAGATTTGCAGTACAGGTATTAATGAGTATATACACGTATGCAGGATTAAATGGAAAAAGGATTTCCTTTACATTTCACAGGTGCAGCTATAGTGGTTATCTTAATACGTGTAAATCTGTGGAGCTAAAATGAAGTAAAACCTATATTTAGGTCAGGAGTTTAAGTGACCAGTAGTCAGCTTGCCAGTGTCTAAGGCATTGATGTCCCAAGCCTTGTTTATTATTTACTATGAATGTATCTATATTTCTAGTGGTTTTACAAAAGAATTCTAAGTACCGTAGTTATCTAAAGTACAGTGGAGTCTTGATAATTCGCAGGTTAGGTACCGGAAGACATCGAGAATTATGAAATCGCGAATCATAGTTTAATGGATTTAAATGAAAATTATTAGTTTGGGTCGAGTCCAAGAAATACCCATAAACTGTTCCAAAACTATTTTTTTTTTGTACTACAGTGTTTCTTTTTATTCTTAAGTCTTTGACTTTGTAATGTTTCAAGCGCTAGTGAATGCTTTAGGAGACCTGCTGCTTTTGGGGAAATAAAAAAACAATTATTATTTATCATTATTATTATTATATAAACACTAAATATTGTACATAATACATAAAAAAACACGGTAACACGTAGATATTGTGCAAAAAGTAGTTTGGTATTTGTTTTTGTGGAAATTTATTACTATAAGATAATGTTTTATTAACCTGGTACAGCATACCAAATGAACCTAAATAATATGGGAATTGTGGTGAAATTGCATTGTAAAAAATTCAGGTTTATTTGTCCCTTTTATATTCTATTTATTATTTATTTCTCTGATTTATTCTTTAATTCCTTTTTCATACTCTTAATCCTCTTCCTTTCTTTGTTCTTTATACTAGACAGAGAGAGGGGAAAGTGAGTGAGGAATGTGAGAGGAAAGTGGTTAGTCCTCCCTTGTGGCCAACCCTCACACTAAGGGTAGGTAGGGAGAAGAGATGGGAGAAATGAATAAGATGATAATAAACTGTGGAATATGAATATCATGCCATAATGTAGACACTGGGGGAAATATGTGATAGTTGTGTAACAATACAACTATCACATCACTGTATCAATCCATAACATAAAGATATTGATGATGATGTTCTACTCAGTACAGGGGAGGATTGCTTGGGAACTCTGCTTAATGGTTCCTGCATTTATTTAAAGTTTTTATAGACTGAAAATTACACTTCAAAACGACCTACACTCCAAGCTAATCAAATATGAGTGCATGATTCACAATGCATTTACTAATTATTGATAAGCCAACTGCCACTAAGACCTGCCATGTTCGCTGACTCACAAACCAACCTAGACTGATTTTAAAAAGGCCACACTCGTCTTTGTGTTGGGCATGCCACATGTCTCAGTCTATCAGATAAAAGTGCCCATGATGTCATACCTGGTGATTGGCAGGCACTACAGGCAGCTTGGCATGACTTGGTGGGTGAAAAATCATACTCTACATATAATCTTCACTACATATCTTCATCATATTCACTACACATCCACTTCATCTCACATTACACAACCTGGGAGGCCATCCACACCATGTACGTACGTACATACTGTATGTTGGGACTCCGGAACTTTCAAGAATCTTGGGAAGCGTCTAGAACCTTTGGGGACACTTGTGGTTGTCCGAGCAGGTGGCTGTGCTCATCCGTCCATTTTGGATATTGACCGAGATGGACGGAAAAGTGTCTGAGATGGCTCCCTGCCCAAGAATAGCAAGGGTCTGAGTTGGTGATGGTTTACTGTAATGTGTTGATTTATATTTCAATATATTATTGCTGTACTATACTGTATCTGGTTCTTTTGTATTGAATATATTGTAGCAATTTACAAAATATATTAATACTATATACTGTAGTACTTCAGTATAGAATGTGGTAAAGGGAATATTGGCCATTAGTGGAATTACATAAATTTACCTTACATAATTTTTGGTGTGCTTGCATCTACATGATGTATGCTGTATACAGTGCATTGTGTTTTTAAGTATCTTGTTATTAAGATTTTTTTTTTTATTAGACTAACTGATAGGAATGATAGAGGAAATACTGTACAACATACAGGTATAGGGTATATAAATTTGAAATTGTAGAAGATTTTCCTGAGATGTGGCTGCTCTCTCTTTGTTGAAACTAGTTTGATGAGATATTCTTTTTTGTTGACAGCGTTCTGAGAGTGAGAATGGCAGCGTGGAACTCAGGGATGAAAGCCTGATATGGCCTTATGAGGAAAAGTTTGGAACTCGTTTTCGAGTTCTTTTTGAGACCATTAAGTTTAAACTTCAGGCCCCACTGGACTCTGGTGATGGTCCATTGTCTCAGGTGAGTATTATCAGCAGAATTTCAGGTTGGTAAAGTTAAAATGTAGTAACTTCGCACTTGGAGCGATTCTTTTTGTGATGCACAGCTTAAGATGTAAGAAATAGCTCAGGTAATGCAGTACAGTATATGGTGAATGAAAAAAATAATTAGGATACTTTTCTTGTCCATTCAGAAAAGATATACATAACATACAGTTGACTTATCAATACTCCCACCACTTATCTAAACAAGTGTTGAAATATTTTGTGTGCCCAGACTCTGTGTACCTGTCAGCAAGACTCGGACAACATATTTTCATGCTTTCGAATATCATGTAACCTACTTTGAGAGGTAGTTTTATAATAGGAGATATCTTTGGGTTTTGTTCTGAAGGAGAACACCATTATAGAACACACATACTGTACCACTGTTACAGCAGGCAGAAAATGAATGTCAGTGAAGGAAAGGAGAGTTTCTTTACTCCTGATTACAGCTGCTCTACATCACAGTGGAGAAAGGCTTATAGATATGAAAATACAGTACTGTACTGTATTTTCTGTGTGAAAGTTATGTAGAGAAAAAGTTTGAACAGATTGTAAATGTTAATTGCTGTTACAAAATTGATTGATTTGTTTCATGTATTTTTATATATTGCTTATCCGCAGCTGGAACCATATATGACCTATGCCTCTCTCTATGATGTTACACAAGGCTGTAAGATTTCTGAAGACTTCCACTTCGACCTTAATAACCCTATGATTCGGAGTCTGATATCCAAGACAAAGAAAAAATCTGATGATCCGAAAGATAACTCAGGAACATCACTACCACTTTCCCTTGCTGGAGTTCCTGAGGAGTGGATTGCACACCCTAAACAGGTAATACTTATATTAAAGGAAGTCAGTTTTAATTATCAAGTTCACAATTGGATGAAAATTTTTATGTGTATTTCTCTTCAGAAATTGAATTTAGTACTGCACTGTATAAATATAGCCTTTCAAAGCCTAGCATCCATTAAATAAGGTATTTTATTCCCTGTGTATTTAACAAAATTATGGTACAGGTCCACCATCCCTTATCCGAAACCCTTGGGGCCAGATGTGTTTAGGAATTCATAATTTTTTCAGATTTCAGAACTGTAGTACGGTACATATACTGTACGTATATTATGGTAACACCCTAGAGGGGTCTGTGGCAGCACCCCATAAGCAAACGCATTAATATTTCTGCAACAAACCTTATGAATATAAATAAAAAAATACATACAAAGTACTGTATACCGGTAATAGAATTAACAAAACATTAAATATAAACAAAATGCAGTACTGTACAGTATACTGTACAATAAAAAATAAAGAACAATAAAATATTTTAACACTTAATTTGAGGTGTGTAATGTCTACATTCAAATTATTTGCTATCTTGCAAGGATTCGAGCAATGCAAGTTTTATTCTGCAAAGTTTAGTCTGTGACATTTTATATGATAGAAACTTTAAGCCTAAAACTACCTTCACCCCTGGGAAGGAGGAGGTGAGGTGTTGACAGCCAGGCAAGGGGGAGGAAGGGGGGATGAGGTGACGTATTGACCAGCTGGCGGGAAGATTACCCAGTGCGTCGTTATCAGTCATATAGAGGGAGTTTAAGTTTTTCGCTGATAAAATGTCAATGAATTGACTTGACAGAATATATAACTTACATTGCTGGAATTCTTGTAATGATTTAGTACATTTGAGTACAGTACAGGTTTGCCCTTAGGACAATTATTCTTGTTACTTTTTTTCACAATATGTATTTAGGGTGGTGTGTGCATGTAAATGAGTAAAAATAAATGAAGAAAGTTAAGTATATCTACCCAAAAATACAAGTTGAAAAACTTGTAGTTTAATGTACTACACTAAAGGACTAAAATGTTTAGCTCGTGCAAAATATATGATGTCGATATTAAAATTATTCGCTGTCTTGCAATTATTCTAGCAATGCAAGTTATATTTTGCTGAGACACAACTGATGCCTCACACTGCATGGGTCAAGCTTCGGCCACGTCTGGTCATGTTTGGCGTCACTCTGGGTATGTCGTGCACACGAGTGATGCTCCACGAAAAAAAATTATGTTTTCAGAACTTTTCGGGTTTCGGAATTGCGGATAAGGGATTGTGGACCTGTAGTAAATAATGTGTTATAGTAGATGGATAATGATTGTTCCGAATTTTTCGTCAATTATCTGTTAAACTATATTTTCTATTATTCTAAGATCTAAGAGAATAGTGATGAGGGAATGAAGATGTGAGAAATCTGTTGTGCATGGTAGAATAGGTTTAATATGATGTCAGCTGTAAAGAATGCTATAGATTGATTGTTCTTTGCAATAATGTGCTTGTTCCTGACTACAGGCTGTGATGAGTGTGACAAGGCCTCATAGTGATGTCTTCCTTGTAATCCAGATTGAAAAAGTTCTTCAGGGTTCCATCAGTCAGACTGTGGAGCCATATCTCAAGAGTATGGACTCCAAAGGTATCCAGAAACTACAAAAAATGATAAAAACTTGCTGCTACAGGTGTGAGATAATGCAAATGTTACTGTAAACATTGATTTTGAATTAAATTCCCCCCAGAATAAGATCTAATACAATATGTCATAGTGTGATAAGTATTTATTGTTTTCATGCTAGGCATATGGCCAATGCTCTTTTTATAGGCACATACTCTCTTCTTTATTGCCACTAGGCACAGTTGTGGGGGATTGAGCAGTGATGCTGTCTCTCTGTCCATTACAAATTTAGTTTCTACTAGGTAAGAATTCAGTCTCAGTGGATTTACTTAATTTGGTGAAAAAATGTATGACATTTGGGTTTTATGATTTTACAATATCAAGCAACTCCATGTAGCCAGTAAATTTAGGGGGTTCGGTTCCCAGACCTCTTTCATTTTAAGATGGACTTCATGTGAGTAATCCTTGGAATGAAGAAAACTTTAAAAGGGAGGAGTCTGAAGAGTTTTTGCTGGTGAGTGTAGAAATGTATGCTTGAATCTGCTTATCTTGACTTTGATTATAAAATGTCATAAGGACCATCACACCAGAGCCAGTCCTGACCATCGGAAATTAATGACCTACTCAGTCCTTGCTCTCACATTATGGAATATTACCGAAGGTGTTTCTTGTAGTTTAGGCACATATCGCATTTTGATCAAAATCATATTCACATTCAAAATTGTTCTTCACACAAGAGATACATATTTGTACATATATATGGTATTGAGTGTTTGTATACCTACAGTATGCACATTTTAGATGAGTTGATTGGGGGAACAAAGTTGGGGTGAAACGTATACAGTCGACCCTCGTTAATTCGGACTAATAGGGGGGGAAGGGTGTCCGTTTTAGCCGATTGTCCGAATTAACCAATTTAGGGGTTGATATTGCATTATATTTCAAAGTCATTGTTTTCGTCACGATTTTATCCCACTTACACTGTAATACGTACGTAATTTCAGCAAAAATATTACATTTCCGTGAATGTATTATATCAAGCACAGTATGAATAGAATACCATTGTAATATAACAGTATTTTAACCGAAAATTACAAAAAAAACGAATAACATCTCAAGAACATCGGAAGCTTAGGTAAAGTGTTTTGTTTTCGTCATGTATTTTATCCTATTTTACATTGAAATACATCACGTTTCAGCAAAACTACTATTTATTTCCAAGAATATATTCATTCAGGCGCAGTTTAGGTAAAATATACGTGTGATGTAACAGTTTTTTAACTGAAAACGATTCGGAAAACACGTACCCTCTAGCCCTGTTCAAGGAGAGGACTGGGAGAAGCTGTTTGTTGCTGCAGACGATGACAAGGAAAATGATTTGGATGGATTTTAAAGAAAATATTCAGAAATATGGTATCGTAGTATTTATTCAAGTCAATTTGGATAGGATATTAATGTAATACAACAGTTTTTTAACTGAAAACCAATCGAAAAGTGATTACGGTAACATCTTTTGAACGAAAGAAAGCGAAAGTCATTGTTTTCGTCACGATTTTATCCCACTTTCCACTAATACCTACGTCATTTCAGCAAAAATATTACATTTCCGTGAATGCATTATATCAAGCACAGTATGAATAGAATACCATTGTAATATAGCAGTATTTTAACCAAAAACTATTAAAAAAACGAGTAACTTCTCTAGAACATCGGAAGGTTAGGTAAAGTCTTTTGTTTTCGTCATGTATTTTATCCTATTTTACATTAAAATACATCACGTTTCAGCAAAACTACTATTTATTTCCGAGAATATATTCATTCAGGCACAGTTAAGGTAAAATATACATGTGATGTAACAGTTTTTTAACTGAAAACGATTCGAAAAACACGTGTACCGTGTAGCTGATACTCAACAGCTGGTGGTGCGTCATGTGTCATTGTAAACAATAGGAGGTTGAAGTAGATTACCGGGTATTATATTAAGTGTGAAATATCAAAAAGGTTTTTATTACCGGTATTTTTTGTAGATCAATGAGAACTGTGATACCATATATGATATGATAAGTTAGCCTGTGCTAAGAACTTCAACATAGACAACTGAAAACACGTTGTAAGGTAATTTAGCCTATTGTAAGTTGGTGAGCTTCATTTGCTGAAGGAACTGCACAACTTTTCATTACTAATTGGTACATATTTTACGTTTCCATTGTTTACTGGCAGTAAATGGTAAATATTTTTCATGTCTGAAGCTAAAAGTTGCATCCCCCCCCCACACTAGTGGTGGAGATGTTACATTTGACCAAAAAGACGCTGGTGTTTTATCCCAGCAGTGGGTGGACCAGCATTTTAGCTTAAGGTCCGCGTAGGTAATATTCCTACAAATCTTAAAAAAAAAAAAGTTCGTTCAGATTTTGTCCGAATTATCCGAAATCCGGATTAAAGGGGTCCGAATTAACGAGGGTCGACTGTACAACTACATAACAAAAGGATCACATGTGGCATCTGCCAGTGAGCAAAAAGGTGGTCATTAGCAATGCTGTAACAAAAAGAAATATGTCTTCACAAATGCTGTTGGGTGTGCCAGTCATGCCTGGGAGTATGCTGCGAATTCTTTTGGAAACCTGATTGTATGATAAGCCATATTAAAAGTTGTGAAGTGCCGGGAGCAATGTGCTCCCAAGCATTGACTGGTGTGAACCGCCTGTGATGGAGTCTGCATGTTGTGGACTGACTCATGGACTTGTTCCCTCATTGCAGTATGGGAATTACCATTTGCAATGTATTGTTAGATGAAAAAAATCTTATATCATGATTTACTAATATATATACATCGACTCAGTGTGAGTCATAACTTCCTCTGATATCTGAACATTGTTAAATTAACATAGCACATCAGTGTATATTTCCATTAACTGAATGTGTACCGTTGTTACCACACACACACTTCAATTTTTTTTTTCATATGCAGTATCTGAATTTGAAAAACATTTATAGTGGCTTGATAACATTATTTAATGTTCTAGTTACATATTAGAATGTTAGTAACTGCATGTGAGAGCTCATTCAAGACCAGACTTAACCAACACTGCAGGTACAGACACATTATGGAGCCAGTACATGCTCAGTACTTGCCAACAGTGCATAACAAAGACGTGCCTGACTGCCCAAGTGGTGAAGAGGATAAAGTAAAGTATAACTTGTAGCTGCCTAGACCTCAATAACAGAAGCATATATCTCTTTTTTTAGTAAAAGACAAAGAATAAATAATTATGGTAAGGTTAATATCAGTAAATGACTATGTTTCGGACACAGTAGGTACTGTTCACTGAACCTCATTCTTGTAAACAAATATATGGGTAGATGACATGAAGAGTGATGATAGTAATGATGGTACTGATGGTGATTTTGATTTGGGGTAAGGTAGTGATGGTGGTGGGGACTGGCTTTGGGAACGATTTTCCGAAAAAATTTCAATTCTGGCTATCGGAGAATTCCGGATGTGAGGGATTTCGGCTAACGGAGATATTACTGTATTGTACTCGGCAATTTTGTACAGTAAAAATAATTACTATTGACCTCAGAATATCTCTTGACATCAAGTGCACATTGCTTCAAAATGACCATGCTGTGCTCACCCTGTTTCCCCTACTCACAACTTCTTGGAACACCCCCTCCCCCCCGTTTTGATATTCCTGGATCTGCCCCTGTAACTTTCAATATAACTAGTAATTACATAAATCATTCTTTCATTATTGCTATGTGACATAATTAAACTGTACAGTAATTATTTGTTAACATGTCTCACACAGGCTTGGTGAATTCAGAATGCCCTTTGGATGGTGTGCTCGGCCAGTATTTAAAAATTCTGGGAACCTTGACAAAGATTCTGATTTTTCTCCAATTTACCGATGTGAAGAAAAAAGACTAAGTGAGGTGGAGTTCATAAAGATGTTGACTGATTTCCGGAGGCCAGAAAAGATGAATAAATTGGCAATCATACCAGGGAATGTCAGTGTCCAGATCTTACCAATGGAAGTTACTTTACCTAGTAAGTGTCTGGTTGTTTTCTTGTAAAATTATATATATATATATATATATATATATATATATATATATATATATATATATATATATATATATATATATATATATATATATATATATATATATATATATATATATATATATATATATATATATATATATATATATATATATATATATACTTTACCTAATAAGTGTCTGGTTGTTTTCTTGTAAATTATATATATATATATATATATATATATATATATATATATATATATATATATATATATATATATATATATATATATATATATATATATATATATATATATATATATATATATATATATATATATATATATATATATATATATATATATATATATGCTGATAACCACAAGGGAAAGAAGAAAACACGAAGTTCCCAAGCGCGTTCGTGTAATTCACATCTTCAGGGGTGAGTACAGACTAAAAAGGAGTACAAAACAAGGTGTATATATACAGAGGAGGGTGAGACCAGGTCCACAATGGTGAATTACATGAAAACGCTTGGGAACTTCGTGTTTTCTTCTTTCCTTGTGGTTATCAGCATATATATATATATATATATATATATATATATATATATATATATATATATATATATATATATATATATATATATATATATATATATATATATATATATATATATATATATATATATATATATATATATATATATATATATATATATATATATATATATATATATATATATATATATATATATATATATATATATATATATATATATATATATATATATATATATATATATATTATCAGTATTTAACATTATTTCAGATTCCCTGACACCTGCCCTGGAGCCAGTCAAACCGTTCCCAAACCCTCCTACTCATGAACCAACAGTGGAGGTACAGGAATTCCCAAGTAGTCACATTGATGATATTCACCCTTATGTGAGCTATTTCAATCATCTTTATGTGTATCCACATTACCTGAATTATGAGAATCAGAAAAGCTTCAGTCGAGCCAGAAATTTGGTTTGTACTGTTGAACTTCGGGACTCAGATGCTGAAGGTGCCACTCCTCTCCGCCATCTCTATGGCCGTCCAGGGTCAGGAACTCTAACAACTCAGATATCCACAATTGTCTTACATCACAACACATGGCCAGAGTGGGGCGATGAAGTGAAGATCTTATTACCTCACAACCTAACTTCGCAACATCATCTTCTCTTTACCTTTTCACATGTGGCAATTGAAGCAGCCAAAGCAGGGAAGAGAGATGTGCCAGTTGAGACTGTGGTTGGTTATTCATGGTTGCCTCTCACCATGAAAGGTAGAATTGTTACTGAAGAACAGATCCTCCCTGTAGCAGCTCACTTGCCAGCTAAATACCTCTCCATTGAACCTCTTGGACTTGGAAAAGGGGTGAGTTGTAATATACTTTTTGCTGCTTTTTGTTTGGTCATTGTTTACTGAAGTCATCTCTTTCATTACTATTTTAATTAAAAAGTCTCGCTTGATGCCCTCCTCCATGCAATTCTTGTTACAGTATTATCCAAGTTTGTGATATTGGCCATTACACCATCTCCTTTTGATAGCTGTGGGCTGGAATTATGATCACTCATCCCACTGTGTCACTAGCATCGCCCTTATAAAAAGGGTGATTAGAAAAGTTGCACGCTGAGCAGGTCTTATTAGAGCCGAGGTACAGTTGGCATCATAGGAAGTGAGAAATTTGTGGCTGATGGAGACATCTGGTTTCTCCTCGAGATAATAGGTATTATTTTTCATGAATGAATCACCCCAACTGAATGACGACTTTTAATGTTTTTCTATTTATACGTCAAAGTGAGTTAGCACCTATATACAGTACAGTTATGCCTATTTTTTATGTTTATGTAATAATTTAGGATCAGTTTACTTGTCCAGTTGTTAGTATAATGGCAGAGGATGTCAGTGTTTTCTTCTGATGGTCACAGTTTGATCATACTTTTGTGCCCAGTTTCCCGTAAATATATACAGTATAGTGTATATGCTAGAATATATAGTTTGCTGTATTCCATACTAACATGCATTATATAAAATGGAGGTCACATACCTGTAATTAAATAATTTGGCTCAATAGGTATATGATGCATTATAAAGAAAATTATAAATAAAATAGACAGAATTTGCACACATTGACGGTTTTACAGTATATATTTCCTATCATTTGATCTTTCAGAAGTTATCCATCAGAAAACTTCTCTTTTGTCTTCCTTCATTATATTTAATTTTACCAAGTACTTAATCCTTGAGTAACAATGTACTGTATTGAAAGCTGTTTTTTGTTTTTGTTTTTAGTTTGCTGGACCAGAAGTTCGTTGGGTGGATAGCCAGAAGAATGTCTTCCGTGTATCCATGCGCTTAGTCTCCACAGTTTTAAGCGCAGATCAACATCTGCACAACTTTTTTCACTCCAGTGCCTCCCTTCTTCCTTTGATTAGCTCCTCTGGAGGAGCTGGTGCTGCCTCAAGTCCAAGGTCTACCCAACCCATGGATGTGGAAACACTTAAGAATCTTAAGGTATGTGTTTTTTAGAGTTTTTGTTTTATTTAGGAAGTTTACTTATTTCCAACAAGGGAGTGCAGGCCGGGTGGGTGACTGGTGAGTCGGCGACACAGTTACAGCCCAGTGCCTCCTCACATACTTTCACTTCACACAAATACATACCCATGATCTTCAGTTTTCTTATTTTATAGTGTTATATTATTTTTTGTTTATTTACAAGCCACATTAGAGTATAGTAATAATTTTTCTGCAACTTTTCTTGTTTCATTACCTATAACAGTAAATGAAGCGGCTTGGCTGGCAAGTCGGCGACACACCTACAGTCCACTGCCTCCACACACATTCACTTCCCACACATACATATCCATGCTCTTCCTTTTTCTTATTTTATATTTTTATATTATATTTTCTTTGTTAAGCCTTATTAGAGTATTGTAATGATTATTCCACAACTTTATTTTTAATTAGATGTAACAATTGCAACATGCCATCGCACAGGTCACCTCATCCCCATTTTTTTTCGCTTTCCCAGTGAGTCAGGCTATTGCTAAACCGAATTTTGACCTATTGTTCACTATTATATGTTCTTGTAAGCACCTCCAGGTATCTGAACCATCATTGGTTCCAATGAGTTCGAATAAAAGGAATTGCACTGTATCTCTTCAAACTCTTGCATCATAACACTTGTTCATTGTCAGCTTCCATTGGTCAAGCTTGTTTGCTTGCTCACTGCTGTTTTTGCATACGATGTGTGTTGTGCAGTGCTGTACTATACAGTACATTAATGTACCAGGATAAAATCCACAAAGAATACCGTTAACGCAGTGTTGAGATGTAAAAAGTGATTACAGTTACGTATACTGTACTGTATATTCAGTAAGTGTGAAGTACCATATGTACAGTACTGTCCATAGCAGAGTGGACAGTATAATGTCTACTGTAGGCTAGTGTGTAGTGGTGTGTATGTACAGTATACAATGCATGTACAATCCCTTCTTCATGGAGGGAGAGGAAAGTGACAGTTAACAACACTTGCTACTGGAGATGGTACAGGACAAAGGCAAGCCATCCTGGATTATTATATCACCATTTGGTCTACCTGCGTTGCAAACTCAAGAAGACAACAGCTGCTGCTGAGTACATTATAGTGTTTACAGTAGTTTATTTTGTTTATTTACAATATATTGTGCGTGTACAGTGATATATGTGTATATAAATACAGCTCAGTTTCTGTCCAACTGCAGTTAAGTCACTCCATGCGAGATATACAGTTTAGACTCTTGAAAATCTTTCACCAGTACCCAGAAAAATTCCAGGGATGAGGAAATTTATCCACATAACCGAATGTCTCCCAAACCCGGAACCCCTGTGCAACAATTATTCCGGCTAAGGGGGAGATTAATGTATGGCGTTCCATTATTGAGAGATTTTGCTTTAGTTGTACCCGTAAGGCGAAGCAATAAATGTAGAAGTAAGGGAAATATATGTATAAATGCAGATAATGGGAAATAATAAAAAAATATGGGTTAAATAACTGTAGAAGTAGAAGTGCAGTAATGAGAGAAAAATGTATAATTGGAAACTGTGAATGATTGTGCATAATTTGAATAAGTGTTGAGGTATACCACTAATTAAATGTGTACAGTATATGCTTTTCATGTATTGGTTCCATATTCTGTTATTGTTAATTTCCATTAGCTAGAATATATATAGTATTCATATGTAAATACACTTTTGATATTTGCTATTTTCCACACAGGCTCTACATGCTCTAGAAGTTGGCAGTATTATTGCATTCCTTCCAACTCTTCTCAATCAGCTTCTTGGAGTTCTTCTTAATGGTGGCCCAGATGTTGCTACAAATGTTACAAGGGTGATCGTTCATGTCATAGATCAAATGTATGAAGCAGGCCGTGATGACATTTTACACTCCTACATTAAGGTTAGTGCATTTCAAAGAAAGGAACCTGCTCTGTATGTTGAAGAACTTGGTTAGAGGAATATTTCTGTAGAAAAGACATAAGTTGTATGTAATGTGTACTGTACTGTATGTGCACGGGGATGAGTGGGCACTTTACAAATTCTTACAATTATGCTATGTGCCACTGTATCACAAAAGGATTTCATTGAGAACTTAAGATTTAGTCAGGTTTGTCACCATCATCGATTTATTAGAGTGAGATGTCCATGCGATATGTTGTAAACACAGGAAACTTTGATTTTATGGTTTTCATGTTTGTGAATTTGATATGCCATGATGAAGCAATTTAGACCATAATTTCCAGTTAGTAATTTAATTTCACTGGGAAATTTTTCTCTACAGTTATAAAAGATTGTTAAATTGCGGTAAGCTTTGCACTATCTGCTGTACTGTATTAATTATAGTAAATCCTTGATTTATGCGAATTTGATGTATGCTATTTCTGTGTAATGTATCACAACTTTTAGACTAAAATTTTAAAGAATTATAAGGATAATGTGTATAAATCTTGAATATTAAGCTCCCAAAAATGAAGAATAAAGTTTATTGAAAAAAGGTAATAATAACCATACAGAGTTGGCTCAGTGATGAATCAGTACTTCATGATGTCTGTTATATGGCATTGTGTGTGTACTGTACTGGATTATATTTACCTGTGCTGCTGAAATGCTTTCTTCAGAACTGGGTAAGAAACCTTCCAGCCTACTGTATCTGCTTCTAGGACCAAGAAGAAGTAAACTGCCTACACCATGGATGAAAAAAGAAAATCTTAGACAAGTTAAAGGTGTGAACAGTGTGTGAAGCAGGTTCCATGGAACATTGATAGATGACAGATTTTAATGAGTTTAATATTCAGTTTTGTTTATTATCCATATGTTTGTGCATAGTAGTGTATGGGATTGGATAGTATTCACTTGTCATTCAAGGCCCTTAAAAGGGTGTGTTTCTTTTGAAAAGAATTGGAAATGGATATTTTGTGGGATACTGTATTACAGGAAATGTTCATAAAATCAGGAACATAACTTGCTAAGTTTGATTTATGTGAATTTGACATATGAGGGTTACAAGAATGTAACTCTTATATTGTATATATTGAGGGCCTACTACATTATACAGTATTACTGCATATGCATATGCATCTGTGTGTGTATTGGTTTACATTACAACAATTATGTTCAGTACTGTTGATAGATTAATACTTATTCCCAAAAACCATAACTCAAGGAAATTCACTTGCTCCCTAGTATTTTTTAATTAGGGATTTCCTTATAGAAATTTTTGGTGTGCAATAGTATTCATTTTTGGTGTACAATAATAATTGAGTGTTCAGTATTGTAACCCCATGTGTACGGTGTCGCCTCTGAGCTAAATAAGATCATCTAGTGTCAGCCAAATAAGATACTGAAAGTGACATCCCCATAGTGAAGGGGTTAAGGTCTTAAACGTTTTGCTGCAATTCCCGCACTTACCATTTTATTCTGGCCACCGCCAGACGATTTTATTCAGCTTAGGGTAACCTCCCACAGCCAAAGGGTTAAAACCTATCTTGGTTAACCCTTTCGCTGCAATTCCCGCACTTACCATTTTATTCTGGCCACCGCCAGACGATTTATTCAGCTTAGGGTAACCTCCCACAGCCAAAGGGTTAAAACCTATCTTGGTTAACCCTTTCGCTGCAATTCCCGCACTTACCATTTTATTCTGGCCACCGCCAGACGATTTTATTCAGCTTAGGGTAACCTCCCACAGCCAAAGGGTTAAAACCTATCTTGGTTAACCCTTTCACTGCAATTCCCGCACTTACTATTTTATTCTGGCCACTGCCAGACGATTTTAATCAGTTTAGGGTAACTTCCCACAGCCAAAGGGTTAAGGTATTTGTTAACTAAAGTCTACTGAAAAAATGTCACACTCAAGATATTCCTCTAGCTACCTTCTATTAGAAGAGTAAATGATTCATTTTTTAACAAAATTCAACCATAAATTACAATAATTTATTAGTTAATTATATGAATATGTTTTTCTCATCTATTCTTAGTATGTCATGAGTATCTCGTGCCATGGTCGTAAGACAATCCATGAAGAATTGTGCCAGTCTCTCGCAGAACTCCTCCAGCCCTCCAGCATGGATCAACTCATTACTAATAAGATTCTTCGACACAGTCAGTTTTTCTTTGCATTCATTGCTCGTTCTATGGCCCTGCATCTGCTAACTACTGCACGGATCAAGGTTGGTAAACAGATGTAATCAATGTCAATTTACTAGCATGTAATTTGGCAGACATCACCTTTACATTTCATTGTTGTTTCAGCTAACTTATTTTTGCCTGTATATTCGGTACAGTCCTTATCTGCATTTAGAATTTTGTATTTCCATTAACTTTAATTATAAACTCTTTTCAGATGGTTCGCAATGAGAGATTTAGTGAAGAGTATCAGACAGAAGTTCGGTCTGTTGTTGAACTTGTGTCCACTCATATCATTCAACGTTATAAAGAAAGCCCCGTGGAAGCAAGAGCTGCTAACATTGCTCTGGCCCACTTTCTCAAGGTATGTACTAAAGTATATACTGTACTGTATTCTTTATGGAGGTAAAGGAATTATCATTATCTTGATCATGATATTTTTTGCCTTGCCTCTAAAAGCAGTTAGGAGCTGAGCATAGGATAACTCTTTTCTTGTCATCAATCCTATTTAATGCATAGATTTTTCACTACAGCCAGGAGGTCTAATAGAGCTCATTCTTTCCATTAGTTGTTTAAGTTTTTTATTTAAATTCCTAAAATGATAATGCTGGAAATATTGTAATTACTCAGCTGATTTGTTCTTTAACAGCAATGTCTGAGCATGATGGACAGAGGATATGTGTTCGGACTGATTAAGTTGTACTTGGAGCACTTTAGTCCTGGTGATCCAATTGTCCTCCATGTGTACAAGTTTACACTTCTTCGCGTTGTGTGCTCACATGAGCACTTTATACCACTCAACCTTCCCATCTTTAATACTCCTCACAGTGTAGATGCCAAAAAAGCCAAATTACGTCATAGTAAGTTGCTTTTTGTATTAAGTTAAATTAGAGATTTTGTTTTTCACCAAGGATTGTTTTATAAAAGATATAAAACCATTTGTAGCATAGTGAGATTTAGTGTTAGCTCTTTTAGTGTTTGTTAACTATATATGAACTGATGTTTATTTTGATCTGATTCAGTGAGCACTTTCTTGATACTAGGAAAGGACTTATATGAATATGTCCTGGCAGAATCTTAAAGATTCATAGTACAGTAATTTGAAGCCTCTTGTTTTGTTTCATCTATTTTTTTTTAATTATGATCTCAAATATAGGCTTCCCTCGATATATGACAGGGTTGTGTTCCTGAAAACCTGATCGTTAAGTGAGCAATCGCATACTGAACATGTCAAGGGAGTTACATTTCAGGAGTCAGTCATAGTGGTGGTTTTCTCCCAAATAGGCCCAAAAATCATGATATTAAAGCACCTCAACAGCAAAATATCATGATGTTAAAGTGGTGTAACCATATGTAACAAGTGGTCATATGTCATAACAGCAGCTAGTCAAAAAATCACTACCATATTTTTTACCTTATAAGATGAACTGTTTCCCCCAAAAATTTTTCCAAAACTCAATCTGTGTCTTACATGCCAAAGGTTAACCCTTGAGGGATTAGGATGCATAAAATATTTTATAAATAAGATGTGGTAGTGAATGATTTACTGGCACCATCACCTAGCCCCACAGCAACCACCAACACCCTACATTAGCTAGCATGTACATTGAGGACATACTGTACACTTATTTTTACAAATCTTATAACATTAAAACTAGGCATGTAATATTTATGAGATTATATAAATTAATTATAGAAGATGTGGCAGTGAACGATATACTGAGAAGTGTACCGTATGCATCATATGTTTCTTCTCAGAATTGATCGTTTAATACTGTAATATTTAATTTTGCATCCAATATTTGGTTGTCAAAGCACTGGCAGGTCTGTTTTGTACTCATTATGTATATGTTACACAGGTATATATTTTGTATGTAAAATGAATACAGTACACTGTACTATTATACAGCATTTGAAAACTAATGATAAATACAGTATTATAATTAATATTTTGAAGATTGTAAGTTTTTCTATGATATTAAATTTTTCATTGCAATATAAGCATAAATAAATGAATGAGAATAAGTCAGTCAAATGAAACAAAATGAAAAAGAAAAATTATGAAATAAACAAAGGTTATTTTGTGCTACAAGACAACATCTGACACGATGGTTGTTTTGAACTCTTATTTTCTTTTTAATAAGAAATTACAGTAGATTAAAAAATAATTGCTTATAACCGTAACTCTACCAACTGTTTTGTTTTTGCCAATTGCCAATAATTCATATTGTTTTAGCATAATTGCTGTTTGCCATTGTTTCCTTTGATAAATGTTTAAGACAGGCTGTGCAGATTATGTGGAACATTTACTTGTCCCAGGCAAATGACTTTTGAAATCTACTTGTCCTGACAAATTTTTGGAGAAATTTGCTCTTTCGAATACTTGTTATGGAAAAAGTTAATAAGCATCTTAAGACATTCAAATTTATTGTGTGCATCATCTCATAGATCATTTGTGTCCATATAAATGGTGTCAGTGGTAGTAACTCTTGCCATGTGATGTCATAACTCCAGTCACCTCACCTCACACCTGCAGGATGTGTGGAGAGGCAGAGGCAACACCTGTGATCACCTACCCTAACTACCACTCCCCACTGTAATCTGGTTTCAGAGTTGTTAACACTTGTGATGTGAGGTCATAACTCCTCTCACCTCGTATTCCTTTGAAATGTTGATAAGTTGACACCGACTGACTAGAGGTCGGTATGCGGCTAAATGTAGGGGTGAATTACCTGCAACTGTCATCGGTCACTAATTCTGGTGCACCGATGACAAGCGTTCCATTGACAGACCTCATTGGTTAAACATGTACAGTGAGGCTGGGTCATGCAGCACCTGACAAATTCCCAATCCCCATCTATATGTCTTATTCTCAGAATATTATCTTCTCTACTGGGCAAGTACCGGGCACTAGGACATGAAAAATCACTTCCATGACTTCTAGTATGGGTATACATACAGGCTGCTGGACACTGCTTATTTGTATAACCTGGTTTAACAATCTGACAATCTAACGTGAAATGCTTAGATTCCTGGTTAACAGTTACAAAAAAGAAAGAAAGAAAATTACAAATAAAACATCTTAAGAAGTAGATTATTTGGCATCTCTGCCAACAACCAGGCAGTCACAATGCATGAGAGAGATAGACATATTTTTCCTGTCCACATCATTTCAGCATTGATGTCTCCCATCTTACTGCCATTTAAATTTAAAAAAATAAATCACAGATGGTATCTAATATTATATTTTTTTGTTAAATTAATAGGGAAACTGTTAATATAAGGTAAATTAATATATCGAGGGAGGTCTGTATTAAGGCCAGGATTTGTTACTGAAATTGTACAGAATATATATATTAATAACAATGAAAAGAATTACTGAGACACTCAATGCTACATGGATAATAATTGTTTTACCTAAATTTAGTTCTCCATTTATTAATTTATATTGGTTATTTATGTTTGTAACTGATTTTCCCAAGTTTGGTTCATTGTAATTACAGTACTTGGGTTGCTAGCCACGCCTCCAGGACTGTGACCCATACTTCATACATATGTACCCCCAAATCCGTGTGATGTAAGTTTTTTTTGGGTAAGAATGCCAAGAGGGCTACATTGTAAACATTACCAAAGTAAGGACCCATCAATGAAGGAAGAATGTTTCTTATTTAGTAGTGGATGGGTGACTAAGTTTCTCCAGCAAATTTTGATTCTAAAATAATGTTTCAGGTACAGATGAATTCTACCTCAGCACAGACTTCAGCTCACGGCACTTTCTTGTTGGTGCTTTGCTAAGTGAAGTTCGTGCTGCCCTAGGGGAAGTAGCAGAAGTTCAGAGAGTGGCCATTGGTGTACTTCGAGATTTGCTTGCCAAACACGCCTTTGACGATCGTTACTTGCAATCTGTAAGTTATAAGAACATTTATTAATGTATTGTTTTTCCTTGTACATTGTCAGTGTAGTTAGTACCAGTAATAAATTTATTGCATTTTCTTACTTTTCTTTTTACTTATTATTATATCAGTAGGGTAATCCATGCAAATGTGGAAAATGGTGGTAAAACGTTGATGATGATGATGTTGATGTGTCAAATCGCCTTTGACTTGGAAGTGTTTCATAATTTTTATTTTCAGGGTCAGCAAGGGAGAATTGTCTGCTTATATTTTCCAATAGTCTCAGTCCTTTTGGAAAATGTGAAACGACTCAGTTGGCCTGCTGTTCCATCAAACTCTACAGGTTCAGCAATAAGGAGAGTTGACCCTCGAGCTAGTGCAAGAGCCCGAATTGCAAGGTTTGTTTGTTCCTGTTAAATTTAGTGTCAATACTTTGATGAGTGTTCAATTGAGAAGATCACTCCTTCATTTCCATCTAATATTGGAAATAGCAGGCATACAATAACTTGAGAAAATAGCATGTGTTACGTGTTATATATTATGTAATTTATCGTATTTACAGAAGGACTGACTTTGTAAAGTCTTAGGTCAAATGTTGTTACATTATATCTATGTACAGCTCCTCCCCGACTTACGACCTACTCGACTTACGACCACCCTCACTTACGAACCTTCCTCAGTCGTACCCAAATTTTGTCAAATTACATATTTTCGAGTCCCAGCGTCAGTACACAGACAATATTTTCGTTTGTAATTCACTTTAAAATGGCTGGCAAGCTTAAAAGTGAGAGTTTTGTGGTGCTGAGAAGAAAAAGAGACACCCATTTTAGATTTTCTATGTATTATTTAAGCATTTTCGACTTAAGACCATTTCTTCTTACGACCTAGATTTGGGTCCCTAACCCTGTCGTAAGTCGGGGAGGAGCTGTATATTGTAATACTGTAACTAAATGAGTTATTTTATTCCAGATCTGGAGGAGGAAGCATTGATATGAGTACATATAGCACTCCTTCTCGTAAAGGCTCTAGTCGCACTGATGTTTCTGGAATAACTGCCCGAGGGGATTCCTCATACCTGGCAATTATTGCTGGACCAGGGGGATTAATGACTCATCAAACTAATCTAGTCAATGGGAGATCTAGCTCAAGCCTAGAATCAGAGGATCAAGTGCCATCTACAGCAAATTCAGACCTACTTGAGGAGGAATTGGAGGAGGACATTACTGAAGAAGGAAGAAGTCATTCTAGGTGTGTTTGTGATATTTTCTATTATAATTTTCTTTATTTCCATATGCTACGGGAATTGAGAGGTGCCACATAAAGTTTTATCTGGTAAGTCAAAACTCACTCTTAAGGATCCCCAATAAATCCTACAATGCACAGTGTTACAGGTTGTCCTTGCAAATTTGTGTCTCAGGAAAATGGGCTTCAACACTTATTCTACTCTGTATAAGTGATGTAGCTTAGAAATAAAAAAAAAATATAATATAAAACTATAAAATAAGAAACATGATGAACATGGGGGTGTATGTGTGGGAGGTGAACGTACAAAAAAATAGCTCCTTCCACACCCAAAGCATCCTCTGGGTGACATGACACAGTTCAGCCAGGCAGTCACCCTGGTGACTAACAGATGTGTGGCTGCCGCACTGCATTGTGTATATTCCTTGATGTCACATTGAGAGGGAGCGCGACCATGCAGTTGTAGCCTTCACACATATTCACTTCATTTTCTTATTATATTATTTTCTTATTACAATATATTATACTATATTATTTTCTTAATATATTATATTTTTTTATTTTTAAGCCACATTAGTATTGTAATGATTATTCCACAACTTTTATATGTAACAAAGAAAATGTTCCATCTCTACAGATAATATTCTTCATTATTTCTCATTTAGGATATTATTCCTTGTTATCCTTTGTTTAGTGATAATTTTTCTTTACGTTAGGTTTTCAGGAATGCATTCCATCATTAAACGAAGGATACCTGTATAGTTCTGTTTTTCACTGACTTTACAAAATTAAATATAACATGTTTATATAGATATTAAAATAGTGTACAGAGTATAGTACAGTAATTATATTTGAATGTTTCTTGAGAAATATTTGCAGTGAATATTCACTTTTCAGGAACCTCAGTGTGGCATTTGCTGGGGAGAATGGGCCTGTGAGATATGATAAACTGTGCCCAGGAGAAGTCCGTGATCTTCTACTCTGTTTCCTGCACACACTGAAGCATGTCCCAGAACCTCATTTGGTAGCCTGGTGGGCAACACTTGGTAATGAAGCACTAGGCTACTTCTTTACTCTTCTTCAGTAAGTTGCTGCGCTTGAACTTTTCACTGATAAACTGATGTGGTATTTGTATAATGAGAGTATCCTACCCAATGAAAGTGTTTTTAAAAATGGTTTGAAAAAATCTCTTTAACCATTACAGTACAGTACAGTATTCCAGTACTCTTAACCGAACTTAACCCACCAGTTAAAGGGTTTGACTGACTGGTACTATTACCAGTGTGCAATACTGGATGGTAGCTGATTGGTGCTCTTAAATCTTAGTGCTTTTCCCCTGGTTAGCTAATCTCACAGTGAACAATATGATTATGTGATACATAAAATAATATCTTCTACATGATTACCATGGTGCACATGATCACAGATGATAATTGTGCAATGCATCTGGTTTTTTACTGTATGTATATTGAGAAAATGGTGTTTGCAATTACTCCTGTATACACCAACTAGAAAATGTTTCTTGCTTAATGAATTAAACTGTGCTCAAGCATCTGCTGACGGAGGCAATCTTTTATGTTTACCATCTTGAATTAAGGATTAAAAGGTGATCATTCTGTCCAAATTATTTTATGCCATTGCATAATCCTTTAACAATCTTACAGATTATGTTTACACCACTTCAAGTACACTGGCAAGAGACAGATAGTGAGAGAACAAGCACCAAAAAGAGCATCAACTCTTCCAGCAAAATTACAGCCTCCCTACTCTTGCAGTAGAATGTCCACAGCAACTGACAGTTACAGTGGTGAGTAGGAGCAATTTGGGATTGTATTTTATTTTTAAGATTGAAGTACAAATTTTTGTATTTGAAATCAATCATTTATCTGTTTTTTATTCTAGAATTGTCATAGGTAGTCAGATGAAAAATTGCTCATGTAAGCAATATTCCATCATTATAACCTAACTTAACTAGGGTTACCATATGTCCGTATTTTCCAGACATGTCCTCCTTTTTGGTCCTAAAGTCTCCGTCCGAGAGGAATTTTTATATATCTTTAACCATTCAGAATTTTGCTCTTATTATTTTTCCTCAAAGGTTTTTGATGCGAAATTGACCATGATATAAAATTTGGAATAAAATATTCACTGGTTCTTGGGAAAAAGAGTATTGATCATTTGAGATAAAATGTCGATCATTCGTTCTGGAATTGCTTAGCTCACTGCATTGTTCAGTTTTCATCCTGGACAGATACGATTTTTGCAAAGCCTCCACACTTCAGTGGTGACGTCAGCGACCAGCAGCTTGCCCGCCGCTTGCCGCGTAAATTAAGGAATGTACCGCGTAACTAATAATTGGCGCGTCTGGACAGGTGCCGCGTAAATGGCCAAACCCGTATAAAATATCCGCGTAAACCCAGACTATACTGTATATGAATATTTATGGATAGAGTGATGAAGGCAATAAAGGCAAGGATGACTGGGATAGATGTAAAAAATGAGTTGGAAGGTGGAGTGTGATCTGTGGTGTCATTTGCAGTCTTTTTTGTGGAAAAATCATAAACTTTCCCAAGGCTTCTTTGTCTCAAGCATTTCAGGCTCCTGATACTCAAGTTTAGTTCAAGTGAATACTAATACTATACTGTTATGAAAACATATTGCATGAATTTAAATAAATTACAGTTTTTCTATTATAATATAACTTGTCTTAGAATCTTTCAGGATTTGTCATTTCCATAATATGGCCATGTTACTTTCCCCAGTAAGTAGCCATGAAGGAGAAGGCTGGTTGAAGGCCCTACAAGAGGCTAACCTTGCCACAGAAGTTGGCCTCATAGTACTTGATGCTCTGGGTAACTTCACCACTCACTGCAGTGATATCCTCACATCTGATGGAGCTGAAATCATCATGCAGCAAGTGTTTTCTTTACATCTACTGTACCTACAGCTTGGGCAGTCAGAGAGTCTAATGAAGCATGTGTTTGCATCTCTTCGGGCGTTCATAAATAATTTCCCACGGACACTATTCCAAGGTATGATGCTTTTTGTACATAAGGGAGTTTGTTTTGCCACTAAGTATCGAATCCTACTTTGCCATTTTGTGGACAAGTTCTCAAGTTTAATTGATATTTTTTATTGTCTATATAATTTCTTTTATCTGTTGCTTAATGTTGCCCATTAACTGGATAAATCTTGTGTCATTAATTAAATAACAGATCAACGGAAATGTTTGATTCTTTATCATCATCAAAAAAAAGTTATAATAGAATACTTGTTCTAAGCCATTTCTCCTCCTCTGTGGACAACTTTGTTTTATTTTAATTGTTTTTCGTCCAATCTTCCATTTTGTTTGTAATTTGTATGTCTTTGGTTGGCTGACACTGAAAATACTATATCATTTTATGGTCAGAAAAGCTGTTGCATTGCCAGGGATGGAATTACCACAATCAATCAATCATTCAGTTAGAATGATTAAGCTGAGCCTTTCAAAGACAGTAGGCTATAGGCAGTAGCCTCCTTGGGAAGTACTACTTTTTGTGACTTCATAGGGCTTTAGGGATATTGGTACCTGGATCCCTCTCTCCTTCCTATTACAGTTACTAGATTTTACTCTCCTTCTCACTGGGCTAGTCGTCCTTTTTTTCTTTTTACATGCTGACTCACATATATTTATCTTTTCTTTTCTACTGTTGCCTTCATTGCAAAATCCTTAGCACAGCAACATGCATTGGAACACCACCACTGATTGGCTGGGGCTTTCCTCAAGGAATTCCCTTGATAATCTGCAGGGGACTGCAATACAACATCGTAGACACACCAGAGATTTTCTCCCTCTTATTCTCAAAAAGTGCTCTACTGAACTTTTTCTTTCCAAACATGTTTGGCTATCTCTTTGCACTTCAGTCTTCACCTCTTCAGGAAGAAATGCTGACATTCATCCTCCTCCAAAGAAATGTGATAAATTTAACTCTTCAAAATATCTCCCAAGTTTCATCACCTCAACATTAGCTGCTGATTTTTTTCATTTCTTACACATTTATTCTTTCAATCAATAGACTGTAGTGGTGAAACCCATGCAGTATCTTTTGACATTTCCAGTGCATATGGCAAAGTTTTGCATCTATCCTTACTTGCAAATAGCCTATCTATGGCATTTTCTCTATAGTCCCTTCAGTATCTTCTTTTAGTATCTTCTTTTCTGTTTAGTTGCAGAGTGGGCATAGATTTGAACAGTCTCTTCTCTGGCTGTCTATCAATTATGCAGTTCCTCATAGTTCTATTCTTGTACAAACTCTTTTCTTAGTATATTTTAATTATCTTCTTTCAGTGAAAACATCTCTTTTCACTCTTATGCAGATGATTCAACTCTCAAAAGATTCTTTACCCTGACTGTTCTGATTTCACAAGAATTTTAATTTTAATGCCAGGCACCAAACATCTTCATCATTACAGGAAGACCTCGTATGCATAGTTGAGTGAGATGCATTTAACATGGTCACCTTTAATGCTATTTAAGTAAAATATTTGATATTTAGCAATAGGTATATTATTGTACAGTTCTATATAAATTTTGATATTATCCTATTAATTTGTAGTCATCACTGATACTTCAAGTGTGGCTAAGGCAAACTACATTAGAATTTTATCCAAAAGTGCTTCATTGAAGTTTGGATTCAATGTTCAAAGCAGACCTTCATTTCAGATGAATAATTTGACAACCATTTATGTAAGCCATTTGTTTTCCCAGATGAAATACTGTTGTCATCTGTAGGCTCATTTATAGGGATATCTTATCACTTTATCTTGCAGATACTTTTACTGTTAGTGTATTGATGAGCTGCAGTCAGTATTGCCATCACCACACATCTTTCAGCATCTTATGAGGACATCTGGGAGGGCCCCATGCCTTTTCCGTTCAAATTCCTTTTGTAGAACCTCTGCCCATCATAGCCACAAAGTGTTTTTTTTTTTTTGTCCATCAGTTCAAAACACTGTTTCAATTACCTTCAGTTTTTGCCAAGATGATGCCTCCGTGAATATATTAGATGCAGTTGTCTGATCTCTCACTGTGCTGTTTGTTTGTTTGTTAATAAAAAATATGGAGAGATTATTGATAGAAATTTACAAGGCTTTTGTATTTGTTGAAGCATTTTAGCACATGGCTTATTTTGTTTGATTTTGCTGCTTGATCTTAAGCTTTACTTTGCTAGCTGCATTTTTTCCAAAAACACTGCTCTGCTTTTGGATTCTGTTATGTTCAAAGTTTCCAGTTTGTCTTGTATGCTCATTTCTCCAACGCATATCCCTCCTCACTCAATGTCAGGCGATGCTTCGCTGTGTGGGTCTCTCTGCTTCGAGATGCTGAAGTGCTGCAACAGTAAGCTGACCAACCTGCGCCATGAGGCCTGTGCTGTACTTTACCTGCTAATGAGGAGTAACTACGAATTCACTCGACGAACAGGCATCAACCGAGTGCATTTGCAGGTATACAAAGACAATAGGCCTGATAAGAGTTTTTCTTCCATATGAAGTTTTCAAAAGCATCCCTTTACACTAATGGCACTTAAATGAGACCTGGAACAGGAAAAGGGAAGGTAATTGTAAATTAACTGTGAAACAAAACTGGATAGGGTTAAGTACACATATGTTAATTGAAAATAAAATTCAAAAACTTAATACCAGAGCTTTCTTAAAGAGGAAAAACGAATTCTCAATCATTATGTTTTTAATAAACTGAGATGGTATCTAATAAATGGAAACCATGTGAATAGATGAGGAAAAGTCAGAGAGGATTTAGAAATGAAAATAAAAAGTTTGGGGGACCATTTGTACTGAAGAAGAAATTAAATAATACAGTACTGTACTGGTATATCAAAGATGATTTTTACAGTTTGTCAAGTTGCTGGGGCCCAAAGAACAATTATTATGAAGTAAAGATATGTAAGTTTATGTTAGTGGCTGCAGGGGCTAAGATTAAAAGTCATAATTTTGCCTACTGTTAGTGAAATGAAATAGAATAACAGAATAGCTATTAACTGTTCACAGAAAATGTTTGAGCTTTATGTATGGAGTTAAAGCAAGTGGGGTGAAAAAAAAATGAAGACTAATGAGAAATAATGGATGAGGCTTGAAATAAGTTGAATATATGGAAAGGAAAGATATGGGAAGAATGATCAGAATATTATGTAAATGACATGAGTGAAAGAGACGAGGGGAAAATTGTAGTGGAAATTTAGGATAATGGGTTATGAGAGAGAGGGGGATGTATGGAGATGTCCAACTGTTTAGAGACTGAATGGGACACTTGAAGAATAGTTTTATATTGCATACTAGATATTGGTATGAGATGAAGAACAATAGATTATACATGTTATAAGCATAAGAATAAATCTGTTGAAGAGGGGAATGATCTTTTTTTCTCTCTTCTCTAAGGTCACGAGGAATTTGAAACATGACTACTGTATATGTCTTATGGTGGCAGTAGAAAACACTTAGTAATGGGGATTTTGTGGTGGGGATAATTTTCTTTATGCAGTTAACCATATTCATCACCCTCAGTAGGTCACTGTTCTTTCTTGAGGCACGTGTATTGTAATGATATCCTATTAGTAGGTTCTTCTGACAGTTGACCTCCTTCATTCTCACCATTTTTCTTCAGTGTAAGTGGTTTTTGTATAACCCTGTTAGTTGCAACTATTATTTGTGTAATCTTGTACTGTAGTAACTGTAAGTACTTTACAGTATAAATAATAAGTAATAAAAAATTCACTCATTTAACACTCCTGATCCCCATCATACAATTATCTACAGTATTTGTAAATGAGTGTTCTGTAATAATATTATATAAATAAAATATAAAATCACGTGCATGACCATTTATGAAGCTAGTTTGTTGACCAAATTAAAAATATTAATTATTATAGTAAGATACTGTATTCTTGTTCTTCCACCTCTAATGTGTACAGAAAATCAACGTCATTGCCCATTCATCCTCTTACTAGACTACCGTGAGGTACACATGAATTAGAGAAAGAAGAGCTCTGTGGTATGCTTTCAGCATGTGTATGAGTCACATCCTCCTCATTGGTGCAACCACATGACACACTGGCTGCTGCTCTCTCCTCCCTCCCTCTTCCCTACATATTTATACATCATTACCATCAATACCAACAGTATTGTCACTCTTGATAGCTTCAATAGTTAGATCATATCTGTCAGTGGTATCAGTGACAACATCATAAAAATCTTCATCAGATAAGTCATCATTCAAAGAACAAATTTTAGATTGTGTAAGATAGCAGGTTCAAGGACTCCTGTTTTTTTTAAATATCTGTACATGTGTCTGTTCATTATATATTGATATGAGAACACTTAAAATACACAATTACAATAATTGAATACATACATAATAATAATGGTTGCCCCTCGTGTAATGAGGATGGCCGGCCCAAGGGCCACCTAGGCGTGAATTTGTTTAAGGTGTAGAAGTTGTCGCCAACTCAACAACCACACCCTAAGCTAACGAGTTACATGACCCAGTGTCAAAGAATAGTCCGAGAAGACCAGACAACTTGCCAACTGCACTGGCAAACCATTACCCCGGAACACGATCCGCAAATCGATTAACATCCAGGTTCCCAATTACTGCTGGGTAGACAGAGGCAAGAAACTTGCCCATAGTTTCACCCTGCCAAGGGATCAAACCCAGGTCCACTCGCTTGTGAGGCGAGCATGCTGACCATTACACCACATACATACGTGCATTGTAACACATTGTGACACATTGTTACACCTTGTGACAGATTGTAACATTTTGTGATTCATTGTCACAACTTGTAATATTCTGACACCTTGTGACAAATTTTAACTTTTGTGATTCCGTGTCACAACTTGTAATATTCTGACACTTGATGACATTGTGACATCTTATGAGACCTTGTGACATGTGAAACCTTGCAAGGCTTTCTTACGCATTACCAATATGGTAATTCAGCTTCACTGTAATTTACGAAAATAAATTTAAAGATTATTGAGGATATTAACAATGGATATATTTGAATAAGAATTTATTGGTAATACAGTATGCACTGTACTCTGCAGGTTGTGAGGTATCAACTGTCAGCCTATCCTTTTAATTTTTAATTTCTGGCTCAATTGTTATACTGTATTATCTATGTCCAACAATTGATAATTGTAGAATTTCATATTTTGAAAATGCCTCACCTTAACTGCCTTGAATTAATTGTCTGATGTGAATGTGTCTGGGATTGATAATGGGATAAAGACTAAAGACCAGAAGATTATGGAGAAGCAGTGGAAGTCTTGGAGTGTTAAAGAGTGGAGTGATGGGAAGAGGCTTGTTTGCTTGTTTTATGATTAGCCCAGTCCACTTCAGTGAAACAGATGAATAGATTGGGTAACTGGATAATATGAAAGTGTGTGAGACTGATGATGATCAAGAAAGAATTAACTGATTTTGAATCTAGGTAAAAATTAAAGGTTGAATAAAATTGATCGGTGAAAAAGATTACTGGTTCAAAAGGGTGAAAGTAGGGATGGATTTACTGAATTATTTGATTTTCAAATTTAATTTCAGGGTGGAGGAACACATCATAGTTATCCACAGGTATAATGTTGCACCCCTCAATGGGCAACTGTACATGTACAAAGAAATCAAAAGGGACTGTGCTGTACTAATGAGGTGCTTGTGCCATTTACATCTAAAGGTCTAAACTTATACTCTTCATAGCAGTGATGCCTCATATATTTTTCATGTTGTATTTTTTGTTTCATGGAATTTTTCTTTCCAGGTCATCATCTCTGTGTCACAGCTCTTAGGGGAGATCATTGGTTTGAATTATGCCCGGTTCCAGGAGTCAATGGCTCTTATTAATAGTTATGCCTCCAGTGACAAAGCAATGAATAATACAGGTGATGATTTTTTCCTACTGTAAAATAATTCAGACATTAATAAGATTATAATGAAAGTATATTAGATGATGATGATGATTATGATTTAAAAAAAAAAGCCTGATACTCTAAAAGGTTAAGGGTTTTGGTAAAATTTTTCACCTATTATTTAATGTATATATACTCTTTATACAGCAGGTATACCTGTTTTATCAATAAACATAACATTTAGGTTTTAATATGAGCTATTAGAATAATTCTCTTTTAAACAATAATTAGGGTTTGTAAGTGAAGTACGAGACTTGACCAAAAGGATTCGGACAGTATTGGTTGCCACTGCTCAAATGAGAGAACATGAGCGGGATCCTGAGATGCTATGTGATCTCCAGCACTCATTGGCTGCATCTTATGCTGCAACACCAGAGCTGCGCACCACTTGGCTCCAGGCAATGGCCAAGCATCATGTAAAGAATGGAGATCTATCAGAGGTTAGTTAAGTTTTTTGTTTTCATTTAGGTGAAGATTCTTTGACTGGACTTTTATTTGTATTTTACATTCTTCTTGTTAGAATTAGAGCTCACATTTAAAAGAATCCAGCCACTGTGAAGATGAATTATTTATCATTTGCAAAAATCTTCATTATTTAAATTATTTTTGAACTTACAAAATAATTTTCTCTTCTAGTAGCTCCCTTTTAGTGTTGAAACTGAAAACTTAAACCCCACCTTTGAAGAACCAAACTGCATAATATTACTTCTAGTTATGGACATAAATTATGTTTCTGTTACAATTAGATGTGATGTGTTATGATGGCTCAATTTTGCTACATTTGCACTTAGACACCTGATCAGTGAATAAACCAGAGCATATAGAGACGCACTACACACTACAATAATATTTATTAGTTCTGATAAATACGCTACAATATTATTTACTAAGTGCTAACGACAGATCCTGTGGTAAGTACCAACCCTCTTGAGCAATGAGCAGTGACAACAATGGTGCTTGAGAGATGGTGAATGCTGGCAGCACTATTAGTGAGGGTGGATCAGTGGGGCCGATCAGCTGGTAACACTGTAAACAAGAGACTGAGAATATACTGCAGCGCAAGAGCTCATCTGGGATTGGGTGTGGGATTCTTTTTTGGGGGAGGTGAATTAATTATTTTTTGATAATGTTTTATTAACCCAGCACCAGATGAACTTAAATAATATGGGGATTATGGTGCATTGAATACTTTTGTTATAAAGGGATCACAGGCTGCCAAGCCTCTTTTAGAATACCTACTACTGTATAAAGATAAGAACATCTGTGGAATAAATGAACGAAATCGAATACAGTATATCCTTATGGTGATAGTGCTGTTCTCAGAAATTACCAAAAATTTTCTTTTAGCCCCGTGGATAGCTGAATTTTGATTGCGAATCTTGAATAAAGAGTGACTAATAATTTTTTGTGATGAAGTGAATTTGCAAATATGGAGTTCTCAAATATGAGGGACAAGTGTAGTACCTGTACAGGTAAACCTCGATAAAGATGTCTCACGATATTCTGCTTTAACGATGGTCATGAATTAAGACCATCTTGCTATAAACGATCAAAAAAGTTTGCTTTAATGATATCCATCAATATCCATTGGTTGGAATTTTTTTTTATCTCCAGTGCAAACTATGGATTGATATACTCAAATTAATCACTGTCTTTCAAGAATTCCATCAATGCTAATTATATTTTTTTATGTCAAGTCAGTGACATTTTATAAGGAAACAATATTTAACCCTATGCACCACATATCCCTTGCTGCATTTGTCAGCCGAGGTAATATTTACCCGCGTGCCGCCACATGGCCAACCCGATACAGTCCTGCGCTTGATTCTATGTCGATCATCACCCTGCCATTGTATTGCTCCATGATTATCAGTCAGCATCATTGATTGTATATACTTTGTATGTATCATCAGTGGGTTTTTTTTATCTAGTGAGGACAACACTAACAACTAATATTTAGATTGAACTGTGTTATGGTGACCATGAAGTGATATTTTCTGTTGTTAAGTGACTGTAAAGTGCTTCGCCTCTGTTGGTGTGAGCAGTGTTGGCTGCTATCAGTGTTTTTACTTTAACATCGTTCACTCTGTTTTTGTGACAAGTGCATTCGCTCTGTTTTTGTGACTGTGAAGTGAGCAGTGTAACTTTGAAAATGTCTGGGAAGACCAAGGCATCCAAGACAACCGTGTCTCTGAGGTGAAACTTGACATTGTGAAGCGGCATCCCCCATAGGCTTTGTAGGAGTCAGAGTGACATCTCTACTCCAACTACAAGAGTCCCCTTAGCATTGAAGGGGACATGCGATGATGACCAGACTTATTCTTCATGATGTGGTGAGTGTTGTTTAATTGTTTTTTATTGATTTTATAAGTGTAGGAATTTTTTGTTGGTGATACGTGTGTTTGGGGACTGGCTGGGAACGTATCTCATTGAACTCCATGTTATAATGCTCCCTATCTATGATATTTAACCTAGCGAGGGGTTTTCAGAACCTAACCCCATCATTTATCGAGGTTTACCTGTCCTAATGTGTTATCACACCCAAAAGGTTAATACTTTGTGTCATAGTACTCTGTCAATTTTACTGCTAACTAACTGTATGGGCTACTCTCACTCGCTTACTCCGCACACCTGAGTGTTGTTCTTACAATATATGTACTCTACTCCACCTGTATTTTCTCCATTAGTTTTTTGGCTATCTAGATTTTTAATACATTTTTGAGCTAGGTAAAACCATACTGTAGAGTGTAGAGAATTACTTTGAAAAATAAATACAAATGAATATACAGTACGTACTGTAGTTTTCATGTATTTCGCAATTATAATTGGAATAAAATATTTTGTGCCAGCAGGCTCTCCATGGACCTGAATTTGACACGCACAATACAAGCCTCAGAAATGATTGAGTGGTTGTAATTTGATATGACATGTATAAGTGTTAGAAATGACAGCATTTGTAATTTTTGTTTTATGCAGATACAGTACATGTTAAGTATCATGGAAAGTGTTAACCTGCCTCTGTTGATGTGAATCATTTATATCTTCAGACAGACAGACAGATATCTTGATAACTGAAAACAAATTCATCACATAGTCTCATGATTTTCTATGGTTTTAAAAATAGAATGGGTGATACAACATTTGATGTTGACCAATATTTTTCTTTTTATAATGATTTTTTTACATAGTGTGCAGATAAACAGAAATATCTTATTTTTCTTTTACAGGCAGCATTTTGCCAACTCCACATTGCAGCCCTTATGGCTGAGTATTTACGTCACCAAGGAGAATCTCCTGAGGGTTGCCAGACCTTCTCCATTATATCGGACAACATACCGAGGGATGAGTCTAACTTGCGGCTGGATGCAGGTAAGATGTCATAATATAAGAATTGAAAGTTTGCAGTCTTGTGGTCATGAGCTTGACAGTTTTGTTTTGGTTTATACACTATTTATTCTTGTAGTTTTGTTTATTTGATTAAATTTTTACTAATTTGAGAAATAGGGCAAAAGATTCACGATTCATCCAAGCTTGCATTATTATGCTTCATTGTAAATAATATCTTCTTTTTTTTTTTTTTTAGATATGCAGTCTTAGTATTTTGTTATAGAATTTCACAACTTTTTTTATTATTATTTTTGTAGCATTATTTCTCACACCGTTTATCCCCTTTACTTTTTGCAATATGTGCTTTCACTTGTGACATAGCTAAACTTAACTTAGATGCTATCAGACACCCAAGGAATATTGTGTGAAACAAAAATTTTATTTCTCTTACAACTATTAAGTGTTAACTTCATTGAAGACATTGACACTCGTGCACCATGATGCATATAGACATCAATGATAATCTTATCCAATTGGCAGTGACATCCCAATGTATAATTCAGGATAAAAAATTCACGAAAAATCGAGTAATTCTGATTGACGCTTGAGACTTTGCCACGTCATTCTGGGAGGCCTCCTCTCTCATGGTAATCTATCTCTAATTGGTTACTTGGCACTAGTCCATATCACACTGACCATGAGACATCAGTTTTGTCCTGGCAGTGAAGCTATCCACCCCACACACCTGTGCTGTCCATTGTGCAATAATATTACTGTAAAGTGTTTACAAAGCATTCATTTATTTATTTTTTACGATATTTTGTTTACAGTATTCAAATTTGTAACCGTTATATACGTAAAATGTGCCATAATGCCCTTCTGTGAATACGATAAATCTTTAAGTGATGAAAAGTGTTGTGAAATGTTTTATAAGTGTCCATTTAAGTGTTTATAAAGTATTTATTTTTTTATTTTATAACATATCACTTGTTGAAGCTTGTAAGACTCTTGTGTATGAACTGCATAATAAATTCCATTCTATGGATACAATAAATGTCTCAGCTAATTGTAAAAGTGATAAAAAGTGCATTTGAGTGCTAATTGTTATAAATAAGGCGGTGCGCTTGAGTGTAATAGCCTGTATGACTATTTCTTATTTATGATGCTGAGGTTAATGCTGAATTTAATTGAATGGTCAATAAAATTTAGTTGGTGAATTGTGGGTAAGTAGGTAGAATTTTTTATTGTTATCACAGAATTCATGAGTAATTTCCCCTGATGGCCATCTTTCTTAAAACGTAATTCTTTTTTTTTTATCTCTGTTCACTCTGTTTGTGGGATAAGACTTGTAATCATTGTTTCCATAATATTTTTTTGTTTATTACCTGGCAGATATAACAGTTACACCTTATAGAGCTCTGGTTTAGAGACAAGGTGAAACTAATCTTTTCACTAGTTTCTGGTTTTATTTCTGTGGTTTATATGGGTTCTAAACTTTTAGAGCTAGCAAGCTATATAGCTCAAGTACCTTGCTCTGGCCACAGTTGAAATATTGTCCAGTACAAACAGATTTCCAAGAGCAATCCTCCATTTATGACCAAATGCACATGAAGATGAGCTTTGCATTGCTAAAATATTTTTACTTCAATAACTTAGTCTTCATGCTTTTTATATAAAAATCATAAGATTGTGTTTGCAATTGAAAATCAAATAGTACATTTAACCAAATTTGATACATGAATACATCACCAAAGGAATAAAGTGTATATTTGTTCTGTTATGGTATTATTATACAGTGCAGTTTCTTGTAATGAATAGGATATTTTGTGTACCTGACTAGCATCTAAATTCAGTTAAGCTATGTTTTATATTGTAGGGGTATTTAAGGAGTAAATAGAAAAATAATCACTATCACTTCTGCTATACAGTATTGTGCTTTTGTCATGTTTATATTTTGCTTTTGGCATCCTTTATTGTTTTCATACTGTAGAAAAATGCCCAAAAGGGTACAGATGTGCAATTTTCTCTTCTTTTTTTTATAGAATGCTAATAATATTAGTTGCTGTTTGAATTTCTCTAATAAAATTTACAGTTGCACTACAGGTATATTGTCACAAAATCCATTTGTGGTTAAAATTTTCAAGAGCACTTTGGTAATTGCTATGTTGATCTTCAGGTGTGGGTTTTCCTCAATGTTTTAGATTCCCTATTTTCAAGTACTGTAGTTAATGAGTACAGCTTTCAACAGTAATTTAAATTAGATAATTTAATTATGATTTTTTTGAAAACTACAACTCAAAAGTCACTATTGTAAAGAAACATTGGAGAAAGTACCAAAGTCTTTCTGAGAGGTTAAATATTATAAGCCTGATGCTTTTACCTTGGCCATTACTCATCTTCTGCTTGCCGTGTCTTCTGTGGCGTTCCTGTTAGACGTTGCATGCAGCTCGCAGGCTCCACGCTTTCACACCGGTAGGTACTCAGGGAGTGCTCTCGTGAGATTTACACTGTACAGTACAGTGTTCAATGGTGCTTTTGAGTGAAAGTGGTTACTTTAATACAGTGCACAAAACTAACTAATCCAAGTGTGAAGGAATATTAGATTTTTATATTGAATAACCAAGAAACTACAAAAACTTTTGTAGTGTTTATTTTGTTTGTGCTATCTGTTACATACTGTGAAGTTTAATTTTTTCTCTTTATGTGATAATATTCTTACTCTAGTTACATGACAAGGATGTGAGAGAGTTTATCAATAATATTTAGAGCCATTAGTCTTGTACATATTAGAAATTTCATGCTTGAAATGAGCAGTACAGTATGTAATTCCAACATATGCATTAAATTTACAGTAACATGTAGATATTGTTCAGGCTGATACTTTATTTTGATATCGTTGTAATTATAAGGTACATCTGGCTTATTGTTTGTTTTGATTTTGTTTCTACATAATTATTTATGAATATCTTTCAAAATGGTTTACAGTAGTCATCCATGGTATACAGTACTTAAATACAGATTTAAATATTAATGGCAGGATTCAGTTTATAGAAGGTGAATATTAATAATAATAGTAGAACTTCAAAACTTTACCCTAATGGAGGGGTCAAATTAGGTGAACGGCAAAAAATATTGAAAATTTTCTAGAGAAAGAGAAGAGAGAGATTATATTGAACAGAAATAATATACAGGTATCCCGCAAGATACGAATGGGTTAGGTTCCCCAAATAATTAGTTTTGTGAATTTTCATATCTTGAATAGAAAAACATATGGGAGAAATAAGTTTCGGGTCCCAATGAAAAAATTCCCTAATATCATACCCCAAAAACATGAAATTGGTTCATAAACAGGAAAAAAACCTACCTAATAAATGGGAAACAGTACACAACTACTGTAATTTTCTACCTAACACATTAAAAACATTAATAAAATACTATCTAGATGAAAATATGCTGCTAAAATTATTAAGGAAAAGATGAATCAAAGTTTAACACAGCCATTTGCATAGACTCTGGCTGCTTCATGTGTAGCTGCCCTTTAGCATCTCCAAACAATCAGCTAGGCAGCTTCTGCTCACCCACAACACTCCCTCCCCCATCTGTAAGATTGAGTATGCATGTAATTGAGTAAAAACAGTAAAGTTAAGTTTATATATCTGAAACACAGGTTGAAAAGTAATTATAACATAACTCCTGCTAACTCTCACTGGTGCACAAAGAAAATTTATTCCCTTTATCTTTTTGACCTTATGATAATTATTTAATTTTTTATTTATTGCACTTTCTTGAGGGGCTCTGCTTATAGTACTGTCCCTGTCTTTTTTGGACTCATTGTTTTTGGGGATGATCATAGAAATAGTGAGAATGAGGAAACAAAGACGATGCATGTTCCATGAGGCCGAAAGACAGTGATAAACATGCCACCAAGTTTTCTAGGCTCACTGACCAGACAGACTGGGTTAGCCTGCCACTAGCTTCACATCAGAGCATTGAAAACAAGTCTACAAGTGCACTTGCCTGGCTAGCCACTCGGTAACAAATGATTACTAGGCCAACTCCACAAATGAGAATACAAGCTGGTTTACTTGAAATTTTGCTCGTTAAATTAAATAAAATCTCTTTTATTGAATATTCGAAACCTGACACACTGTGCTTGTTAAAGTAAATTCTCATTTCTGATGCATTTGGTTGAGCAGAAATAATGATTTATAAAATATGATACATTAATAGTTTTCTTAAAGGAAAATGTGTTGTACCTGTATAAGATATTGGAGATAAAGTTTTATTTTATATATATAGCAGTTATTATTATCATTCTCATCTCAGAATCATCACACTGTACAAGTGTGAGATTTATTAAACATCTGGCAATGCTAATGAGAACTCGCTTTTCTGCCTTCATTAACATTGACCTATGGCCTGCTAGTGAGGCAGGCAACAGATTCATACCATAGCACCACATATGAATGGATGAAGAAAAGAGGTTTGTGAATGAAGTATATTTCAATTGAGATAAAATCTAATGATTGGAAAGGAACGGTGACAAAAGAGAGAGAGGTGAAGTTCTGAAGCTTTACTCCATATCAATACTTAAACAGAGATTACATTGCTTGGCTTTTAAGGGACAGATTTTTGTTTTTGTTGTTTACAAGTGACAATATGCTCCCAAATTTACATTGTTGAACTTTTGAAGAGGCTGTTCATCAAATTTGAACAGTGGCAACCTTGAGTTTCAGACTAAGTTCCCAATGTTAATAATAGTTGTAAAATTTTATATTTCCTTTCCAGCAAAATGTGGAGAGCTTTGAACTCTTGTCCCTCAATTCCAAATTAATTATTGTTAACATGTAGCATGTTATGTGCCCATATAATGTATTGTACCGGCAAGCATAAACCCAGATATTATGATCCTTTAAATCAGTGACATTAGTTTGTAATGGTTCCAAGGAGGGTCCTGCATTGTGACAACCCAGGCTAACCTTAGGCATTGATGGCTGGCATTATTTAACAATTAGTTGTATCCTGTACAATTTCTGATTTCACTGTTTTGGAATTTGTCTTATATCTGATATGATATGGCTATTGGACACCAACTGTGGGGTTAGGTACCTGGAAAACTCTATGGTTGAAAAATCCGTGGTTGGTAAGACTAAAGGCTTATGGGAAATAGGGGGTTAGGTTCCAAGGCTACGAAAAACACTCGCCAAAGCCTAACTAACTTGCCTGTTCCGTCGCAAAACAATATTTTATTGTATATTTCATTAAATTTGAGTCAAATACGTACATATAAAATAGCATAATATAAATTAAATATAAATATAAATTTAAAAGTACCTGTATAAGAGGTATTTACCTTCATAAAGGATGATGGGGTATGAGGAGGATGACACTAGCCCTTACCATAGCCTCACTTTTTTTAAATCATACAAATCGAGGATTCGTTTACCCCCATAGCGGGCCCCACTGACGCTATTCTTTCGCCATGCACTAGTCTATCGAGTACTTCAATTTTCTTTTCTAGAGGCATTATGTTCCTTGCCATCTTCACTTTTTTCTCATCTTTATCATTAACACTCAATGCATGCTTAGGGGGCATAGTTAATGGCAAAATCAATGTTAATATGTTAGAAAATATGTAATAAATATCCAGTGTATGAAACAGTAAAATATGTCTGCACGGTGCGAGATCACAACTTTGAGAGAGCTTGGCGGGAGGCTGGACGCTGCGTGGATGAATACATTGGAACACTGGGAAAATGATGCTGTACTAAACTGCGGATACTCAAAATTCGATGCTGCAGTTGATGAAATGGTGTACAGAGTAAAAACCATGGATACCCGAAATCTGCGGTTGGTGAAGGACTACTATACAGTATTCAAAAAGAATCTAAAATCTCATGCACAAAATACAAAATTATGATGGTCCACATATTGACTTCTCACATAAGCTTTGCTCAGCTCCATTTTTTTTTATTCTTTATACACTGTGGTTCAAGAAAAGGTTTCTTAAATTTGAGGGTGTATTCATGAGACAAAAATGAGGGTGTATGACTCCATAAATACAGGCATCCCCTGGGTTACAGATCCGTTCTGTTCCTGAAAATCTTTCCGTATCACAAAATTCCGTATCACAAAACCATTTTTCCCATTGACTCCCATTATATAATTTGAGATGCATTCCTATGGAAATTTTTTGTGGTCCAAAAAGTAACACAAGCACATACAGTATATGAATGAAAATAGACACATACAATGATTCGTTCATGATATAGCATGACAATAAATGCACACACTTGAATTTAACTTACCAGAAATGATGTTGAGTGCTGCAGGAGGTGGTGAGGTGAGGTGGTGCAATCAGTTACTGGGAGATACCTCCTTAAAACATCATATTTATAGTCCAACCTAATTCCTTTATGGAATCTTTTATCACCACTGCTTTCACTTGAACATTATGGTCTTTTTCCACTGATATAATATGCAGTATAATGGTACAGAATATCTATAGTACTTCTACATACAGCTGTTGTTGTTGTTGTTCATAAGGAAGATTCAGTATGATGTAGATGAGATTTAATGTGTACATAATATTTTTCAGAAAGTACTTTGTTGTAGTCCTTTTATTTAATACCAATATATAGGGAAAGAGATCATTATTCAGTTAAAATCACTGTCTCACAGGTTTGGTGGACACAGTGTTCACTATGGACTCATTAATCAACCAACTGGAGCTGGCTGGCGGGATGGTCGAACGGGCAGAGCGATATGAATTACTGGGTAACCTGTATCGCATTCTCATTCCAATTTATGAAGCACGACGCAACTACCCAGCACTGGTCCAGTGTTACTCACATCTTTATCAGGTCAGTAATTTACTGTTCAGATAGTATTGCTAATTTAATTATGTCATGACTCATGACCCCCAAGTATGAAGATAAAAGAGTTTTGACAATGTTTTGGTTAAGTTTTAAATTTCTGTAGAGGCACTTTAAAGATATTACAGCGAGGAAAAAAAATATATTATGTGCATAAATTAGTGAGTGGAAAGTACAGGAATAATAATACTGCAGGTGAGATTGAAAAATTAATTAAAATATGAGTACTGTACATTCTATGTACCTATATGCTCATGGATGATTGTGGAGAGGTATACACTGATGGAAACTTAAAGGTTTTCCTATAACTGCAGTCACTGGTTAAACCATCTACACCAGTGTATCAGATAGGTGTTTGGTTTGGATACAGAAAGTTGCTTGATAAGTCATCTACAGTACCAGGATACAATACAGAGAATTCAAATGTAGCGATAATTAAACAGTACTGTTATAACGGGCCGAGTTTTCTCTTTTCAATAATTTACCATCCAACTACTGTTTTCTGTTAGTATTCTATTTACTCATATACTTATTTGTTCTGTGTAGCATTCCTCCAATGAGTACCCTGTTTAATATACTTATTCTCCTTCCATTCTTTACATATATATTTATTCTTATATGTTCTTACTTATATTCTTATATGTTCTTTACCTCTATATACCTTATATTCTCATATATTCTTATATAAGTAACTCTTATGCTTCTCTACTTATGTTTTCCAAGTCAAGGTTCTTTCTTTTCATTTCCTTTCATATAGATTGTATTCTCAGTTTCAATGTTCTTACCTTTCTGAAGTATACTTTGTTTTATGTCTTTCTTATACATGGGTTAGTCTGGGGAACCATGTTATTCTTTGTATAACACTTTTTATACTTACAAGGGGTAGCTGCCACCACCCAGACTTTTCATTATATAACAGAACTCATGGAAGGGTTTTGGGTAGTGTGGTAGATGTATAGGCACGTGAGTAAGTATTATTTTCTGGGAACCAATGTTTAGAAGGAGTAGAGTGGTGATACTCAGATTACTAACTCAATATTTATTAATACAGTGAGTGGAGAAGATGCATCTTAGATTCACTCAGGCTAAACAGAACCGAAATTAACTTATTAAGTCATCAAACACTTCAAGAACTTATTACCTCATTAAACACCTCCAAATATTCATTACTTTATTGGATACTGTTGTAGTATTTCTGTGACAAGTAAGATTTAGAAATGCTTACACACTGTCAATAACCCTGGACCCGCAGGTCTTACTTTAACAAGGAACAAATTACCTTCTCAATTCGTGGTTAGAACATCATACTCTCAGGTTATTCGTTCATGATTACTACAGATGAATACATAACACATTGGACTAACTCCACAATTATAGTAACATACAATACCTCCTGTTAGTTTGCAAGGAACAACCTGGTACCTTGAACTCTCATTCAGTGGTTCAATACTTAACCTGGGATGACTATATTTCTGCTAGTCATCCCTAAGCATGGATATTAATACGGCTCCATACATATAACCAAGACCAGTAGGTAGACCATGATCATATGACCGAGTCAGTGGGCCAGAGTTGTTTACAGCGACCGCCAAGCTGAAGGCTCGCTCGCTAGGTGCACTCAGGGAGGTTGACTCGTTACACACTGCAGCAGTGAGTGGTGAGGGCGCTTCCCGGGGAATCGTGTCCTGGGATTCTAAATGCGCCCTTAGAGACAGTCTTCAAGAACCATGGTGCCCATAGGTAGCTATCGACCCTCAGGAGAGTGGCTAACACATCCGCGTCTGTAGACGTGGAAGAAGAGTCACGAATGCGTGAATATTTAACTTCACTATACAAAACATACGTCTGGCACCGGTTCAGACATAGCTAGAGCTCTACTTTACTTGACTTAATTGGCACTGAAGGTACTATGTTGAAACATGAACACTGATATTCGCAAAAATGACTAAGTTAAACTGAGTTAATATGGCGGCGTGGAACACACGTGAACATACCTGTTGACGTGGAAGAAGAGTCACGAATGCGTGATTCTCCCTCGTGTAGAGGTATATACGTGCCCCCGCTGGGCAGCTTGGGCCTCCATATTTATGCCAGAAAGGTCAATCTTACCAACAACATACCTTCTCTACCATGTTGGATCACCGTATATTTAATTGTGAACTCCGGTGTTCCGGATCAGGGTAATTTCCTATGTCTATTCATATAATCTAATCAGAGGTTGAGCTTGCCAGGAAAAGGTGGAATATACACGTTGATAACAACAATTCTGCAAGCTCAGGCCTGCAGCGAACAAGGAACTATTCACAGGGAGACGTTAGATCTTGGAGATTATACCAGTTGACAGAATAGTTCAGGAAATTAATGACTTTCTTAAATAGATAACTGACACTAATTAAACTATAAACATCAGATTCTCTGATGTCGGGGCGACAAAATGATCTAACTTCAGGTGCGATCAGAAACTCATGGATATTCTTAGGAAACGAAACCGATGGGTATCGTTTGTCCTGGCAGACTCAACACTCACTTACTTGACACGTCTTACCAACAATAAGGACAGTTGAAGCGTTCAACACCACTCACAATGGATCTTGAATGTTTCAACTGTAAACCGACATATCTAAGCTGACTCTAAACCAGGGTGTTCTCTCTCACATTCAAATTCATTTTATAGAGAGGTTGGTTTCAGTAAGTCAGAGAAAATGGGATAACAGGGGACTGAGGCGTCTTGAAGTGATGAGAAAACGGACTCCTCAGATGGAGGACTCAAACTAAAAGCAGAGGTACATGTTTTGTGGGCTATTGAGCGTAATATGAATCATTTGATTTTGGCGTTAACTGACGTGTACGACCGTGGTCGTTACACTGTGAAAGAGGTAATGAAAACACATTATGATAATTATTAGTGTAATAAATTAATCATACTGTATACAGTAAACTTTCGTTTCTATGTGGGGTTGAGTCCTTAAAGGAGACTTTTAATCATGAAATTGTGCAGTAGCAAATTCATTAAGTATTTTTGGGGGAAATAAGGGTTAGGATCCAGGAATAACCAAGACCATCCATCATTATAAATTTTACCCCAATATCCTCTATGTACCATCAGTTGTACAGTTGCCTGCAATTACGTACATGTAGCAACACCGCGGTGATGAATAAGACAAGTTTCCAACAGCAGTTACAGACATGAAAAATCACATATTCGGACCCTAGCCTGGGCACTGCTAATCTGCACAGCCTGCTTTAGCCTTACCCTGTCTTCACCTCACCAAGGTCAATATACTTTTTCTTATGTTTTCTTTACATAACTCTGCTGTAATCATCCCTCATTTCCAAAACACTTCAGCACTCCATCTTTTATTTTGTCAGCCACACCCATCACTGTCTTCTCGTCTGTTTCTTGATGCCTCCATCTTTAAGCAAGCTATAGTATTTACCATATCTACTTTATATCCTTAAATATTAAATTTTTCCTTTTTAGGCTTATTCGCGTGTTGTAGAAGTCAATGCCTCACAAAAACGTTTACTTGGGCGCTACTACAGAGTAGCTTTCTATGGACCAGTGAGTATAATTTTTAAAGTATTTAGTAGTAATTGTATTACATTCCTTCTTGTATTCATACTGCATTCAATTTTATCATTATCTTGACTCTTATTTTATTGATAAACGTTTACAGAGTACACTTTAGACTCAAGCACACATGCTTACCCACAGTGGATATAAAAAATAACTGGCAAAACAGATAGTATTCTACAGTATAGGAGGATTAATCTACCCAAAATTGTTTCATGGTCAGAAATTAGCAAGTTATTAATTATAGAAGAAATTTTATGTTGAGTGTGAAGATACAATGATGCAAAGTACAATAAACTCCCTCTAATCCGGACTCACTTATTTTGGATTCCCATGCAAACCGGACTGTGGTCTAGCACTGGACACATGAATTCCCAACCCAAAAAACAGTTAGTACAGGGGAAGTTCGCATAAGTGGCGGCTGCCACTGTGGTAACATGGGTGGTAACTCAGCAGCTGCCTTGGAGGAGGTAGGTGGTAGAGGAGCTGAGGACCACTGAAGTGAAGTTTCTCAGAAATGAAATGTAAATAGTGTACAGTACAGGGAGCCCCCCAAATTCGTGGGGGTTAGGTTCTCAAAATGGCCGCGAATCGCCAAATCCACAAATAACATTTGCGGACCGGGGGGGGGGTTACATTTTTACTTGTGTACAAATAAATGTATATTCCCTTTATGTGTTTGCCCTTTGGACAATTATTTCTCTCACAAATATTCAGAAACAAGTTTATTAATAATGTGAGTCTACCCTCAATTCCATGGTCTATTACAGTACAGCACTTTATTAATAGAGCACGGGCTGGGAGGGCAGACTGTCACATTTTTAATAAATTTGTTTCTGATTATTTGTGAGAGGATTTTCCAATTATTATTTATTTGTATGTATTCTATGTGTGTGTGTGTCTACACACACACAAATATTTACTATACAGGTAAAGAAAATTACTGTCTCTAGAACGAATGGCTCCCTGTCCCAGCCGCAAAAATGCCGGCAACTTTAAAACTAACCACAGACATTCTTGGGTACATCCAGGGTGTCATCCGTGAATAATAGAGGACCGCGAACTTAGGGGGGCCCCTGTACAGTACAGTACAGTACATAGAGTAAATAAAATTATCATTCAAAACAACCCCTGCTCCACCTTCGGTGATGTACAGTACACACAGTAAAAAACAGTATCACCATGAGGAGGGATCTGCTGATTTTCATAATGATCCATACATCACCTGATGTGTTCATATTCAGTTATACCTTCAACTATATATATGGCAGGATATGTCGTTAGCAACAGATATGTGAGGACACCCTCAGGCAAGAACAGCAGGACTACCACCATAATACAGGACCAACACACATATTCCACTATCCCTCGTCCGTGGTGTCATATTGTTTCTCACATAATCCGTGTGATACTGTTTTTACTGTGTGTACATTGTGAATGTCATACAGTTACCTTCTGCCTCAACCACCTCATGATAAGTCTACGTATAAATAATTACTTAATCATTTTCCACCCTGCAATATGGAGAATATGGACCCCCATCAAACCCAGAGTTTTGGCCAAACTGGACAGGCCTAACCCCCCAATTAGTTCTGATTAGAGGGAGTTTGCTGTAGTATAATTGACACATAGGGGAAATTATTTTTAGTGTATATTGTCATTGAAGTTTCATTGGGTGGGTAATATATATACTTTTTCTTAGCTAGATTGTTTTAATTGAAGGATATTTTTTCTAGATCTTCGAAGAGGAAGCAGGCAAGGAGTATGTGTATAAGGAGCCAAAAGTGACATCTTTAGCAGAGATATCAGAACGTCTATATCATCAGTTCTGTGATAAGTTTGGCAAGGAAGCTGTCAAGATGATTATGGACTCAAATTTTGTAAGTTTTATAGTGCAGGAACAATAAGAAAATTACATATTTAAGTTAATAAACGAAAAATATTAATTCACATAAATAAGGAGAGAATAAAGAAGTGAAACAAGTGATGGACAAAGAGCATGTAGTATGAACAAATTGAGGAAATGAGAAGTGAAATATTGGTAAAAGTAGTGTATAATTCAGAGGTGGATGGTAGGAGGGAGAAAGGAACACTGAGACTGAGAATGGCAGGTGATCTTGTCAAGAAAGAAAATAGAATACAAATTTTATGACTTTCCAAAGGGATTAATCATAAGTACTGTATAGTGTTTATTTATGCAGATATTGTAAGATGAATACTGCAGATTCTTTCAATCTTATCAAAATTTCATTAATTTGTTGTCTGATCATGTGTGATTTTATTCTTGTCATTTTGTTTTTCATATTGTTTGTTAACCCTTTAGAGGGCAGGGGTTTCTCTCGGCCAAAATAAAATAACCAAGTTCAACACTACCCTTCAAAGGGTTAACCAGATTTAAAATTTTTCCCATTATGTAGCTTCCTATGTCATGATTATTATTGAACCCGGTACACTGTAGCAAATAAACTATGTGGTGTCATATTATTGAGGAATGACTTTTTTGTCAGGTTGAGGCAGATGAGCTTGAATCCCGCTATGCATATATTCAAGTCACCCATGTCTCTCCATATTTCTCGGAGGAGGAGCGAGTCAACCGCCAGAATGAGTTTGATCGTAATAACAACATAAACACATTTATGTTTGAAACACCATTTACCCAGGGAGGCAAGGCTCATGGCAAGCTGGAAGAGCAGTGGAAGAGAAGAGTTATCCTAAAAACAGATTATACATTTCCATATGTAAAGAAAAGAATCCAAGTCGTTGACACAGAGGTAAGACTTTTTTACAGTTTTTGTGATCAATATATATAAATATATATATACAGTGGGGTATGCTATAACGAATCTAATTGGTTCTAGAACCTTGTTCGTTATAGCACTCGTTCGTTATAGGATTAATCCGTTCCAGGCCCCCAAATACAACCACTTAACACTGAAAAATGTAATATAAAATTGTAAAAATTGTAAAAAGGTGCATAAATATGCATCTAAACCCCTGAAATAAAGAATATCATTAATATTGGTAATAAAAAAACAATAAATTGGTAAAAAAAAAAAAAAAAAAATTTTTTTAAATAATGTTCGTTGTAGGAGTTTCGTTCGTTATAGCATTCTCAAGTTTATCGGTAAAACCGTTCGTTATAGGAATATTTGTAGAAGGATCCGTTCGTTATACCATACCCCACTGTATATATATATATATATATATATATATATATATATATATATATATATATATATATATATATATATATATATATACTTAGTGACTATCTTCATCTAACAAAATATTTTCTCATGAAGTCACAAACAAATTAACTTATATCCCCATCACCTGGAATAATTGGTGTAGAGTTCTGGGATGAGAGATTTCCAAACGAGATGCCTCTCAAACCCAGAAAAATCCCACATCCCATATATATATATATATGTATGTATGTATATGTATGTATGTATGTATGTATGTGTATGTATGTATGTATGTATGTATGTATGTATGTGTATGTATGTATGTATGTATGTATGTATGTATGTATGTATGTATGTATGTATGTGATGTATGTATGTATGTGATGTATGTATGTATGTGTATGTATGTATGTATGTATGTATGTATGTATGTATGTATGTATGTATGTATGTATGTATGTATGTATATGTATATAGATAGATAGATAGATAGATAGATAGATAGATCGATAGATAGATAGATAGATAGATAGATATATATATATGGGATGTGGGATTTTTCTGGGTTTGAGAGAGGCATCTCGTTACCTGGAAATCTCTCATCCCCGGAGAAGCTCTACACCAATTATTCCAGGTGATGGGGATATCGCTGAATTGTTGTTTGTGACTTCATGAGAAAAATATTTTGTTAGATGAAGATAGTCACTAAATTGTATATCTATGCCATTTAATTAAAAAAAATGTACTTTATTTTATATAATTTCTCAATTAGGTTCTTGAGATGTCTCCCATTGAGGTAGCAATTGATGAAATGGAAAGTCGCGTGAAGGAACTTTTGGAGATTATTAACAAGAAGCCAACTGATGTAAAGAAATTGCAGCTCAGACTTCAGGTACTACTGTATAGTGTTAACACATTTTTTTACATATACCTGTACTGTATTTGTGACATTAGATTTTTCTTTCTGATTTAATGACTTTTTTTTTTTTTTTATACAGTATCCCTATTAAGGAAATAGAGTCCTTATACTTTATTTTTGTATTCTTGCAATCTTGCTTAAACTACTGATTCTTTATATCCTTATATGAATGTGATAGAGGTAATCTAGGGGTAGTAGAACCAGTATGGGGACCATGCCATGCAGATTTGATTTATAGCAAGTAGGGGAACTACAGAAGCAACATTTATGGCCAGGCAGCCACAAGAGAAATACCTCGGGAAAGAGAGAAAATTTTACTGCATATTTGTAGACTTACAAAATGCATTTGACAGGGTACCACTTGAAGTAGTATTAAGCACAATGAGAAAGCTAGGAGTCAAGGTGTACCTTATTTGAGTGGTTATGGCATTGAATGATGGCTTAAAAACCTCTTGTTAGAGTAAATGGTGAGGAATTTGAGGTAAAGGAGTCTGTCTTGACCCCCCTCTATTTATCACAGGACTTTAGGTATGGCCTGCTATGGGAGTTGCTGTATGCTAATGACTTAATGCTTATAACAGATAGTATTGAAGAGGCAGTGGAGATATTTAAGAAGTGGATGGATGGATTAAAGGCAAAGGGCCTGGAAGTGAATGTGGAGAAAACAAAAGTATTTATTCATGGCCTGGGTGAGGGACACGTGGTGGAAAGTGGAAAAATAGTCATATGCAGTAAGACTCCTCTAAGTTAGACTTCTGTAAGTCGGAAACCCCCATAAGTCGGATTAGTTCTGACTTAGGGGGTGTCAGTGGGGTGGCAGTTGGGAGAGGAGTCAGCTCCCACATGTTTGTTGTTGTGACCAGTGCTTCACTGCACACTGTTTTTTTATTGCATTTTGTGCTTCTCTGGTGTATTATTATGTACTCTAAAGCAAGTAAAGGCAAGACAACAACACTGAGGACGACTAGGAGAAAAGAAATGGTGCTCAGAACTCTCCCAATTAAAGAGAAATTGAAGATATGAGACACATTAGATGCTGGAGTCTCCATGAATGTTATCTGTGAGGAGTTTGGGCTGAAGTGGAGTATGTTTTATGACAGTCCAATTTAAGTGTTATACGAGAAGTAAGTGTAACTTAATACAGTATACAGAAAGTGTGAATACAGGTATTGTAAGTGTAAGCAGTCCGTCATAGTCCTTCACCTCATGATTTATTTGCTACAATAAAAGTAAGTGCAAAGTGCAGTGTAAACATACAGTACTGTAAACTGTTAATTTTAATATTTTCTTGGGAAGGGATTCTTCAGCAAAATGATGGTTGACAGCAGCATCTGAGGTGGGGGGGGGGGTTATGCATAAGTCAGATTTCTAGAAAAGTCTTGAGCCCCATATAGTCCAACTTAGGGAGGTTTTATTTTACTGTCTGCAAGAAAGGTGTTGCAGTAGTTCATTAATGTACAATGAGTGTGGAAGGTGGATACACAAGAAGTGCAGTTGAGTAGATAGCAGGCTGTGTGATGTTGCTGAATTTAGGTGTTCTGTATGTGCTGGTAACCATGTGCCCACAGCAAGTCTGGAAAAACTCAATATTGTGTATATGTCCTGGACTGTGTCATGGAGTTGTCATCTGGGTGACATGGTCACTGTTGCTGGGGTGCTGTAGCCTGCTCAGTTACAAGAGTTAAAAGTGGCTGGAAGAAGTTTAGGGAGCTGCTGCATTTATTGACAGCAAGAGGACCTTCCCCTGAGTGATAGGAAGAATGTATGAGGCTGGTATGAAATATGTGATGTTGTATGGCAATGAAACCTGGGCAGTTCAAGTCTATGACATTCATAGACTTGAGTGAGGTGTATGTGTAATGTGACACTGAAAGACAGAAGGCCCTTCTCAGAGCTAAGAGGGTGCCTATGTATTGAAAGCATTGGCAAAATCCTGCATAGAAGCAGGCTGAGATGGTGTGGATATGTGGAGAGAATAGACAAAACCAATTTGGTCAAGAGGTGCATGAGCCTAAATGTGGAAAGGAGGAAAGCCAGGGGTAGGCTAAGAATGATATAGGGGAGAGGTTGTAAGAAATGACATTAGAGTTAAGAACCTGACAAGAGAGACTGCAAGAGACCATGCAACATGAGAGCTACCATTAATTAGCTGTGACTAACCCATGCAAGCATGAAAAAGTCATAAAACATTGATGATGATGATGATGGTTAGGGCATCCAGTAATTGTGATATCCCCAGTATGGGACTGAAAAAAATGAGATGTTATTGTATATGAATATATATATGTATAAGAAATATAAACACTGTAAGTTCATGCATTATGCATAGGTCATGATCACACCACAGTCTCGGTAATAGTATAGGGTATTGGTATTCAGAGTCAGGAATTTGACAATGGTTCTTTTTAAGTGGGTAATATAATGGAACTAAATTTGTAATATTTAAATCACCTTTAAAGCTCATTTATGATATGGAAGTTGACACCTTAATTCTACCATCAAACTCCATTTTGTCAACAGGGAAGTATCAGTGTCCAAGTAAATGCTGGACCACTAGCATATGCTTCTACTTTCTTGGATGAATCCCATTCTGCCTCTTACCCAGTGAACCAGGTCTTACGCCTCAAGGATGTGTACAGGTAAGTTGAATATCATCAAGAAAGTGGATAGTTCATTGTATGTAATGAAAGAAAACATGTGAATATGTAGAAATTTAAAATTAAAATTTTAGTCACACCTTATATCTTAGCTTACTTTGCAAAATTAATTACTTTTTTTTGTAGTGCAGTATTTATTCTTTTTTATTCTCTGGTCCTTGACTTTGTAGTATTTCAAGAACTGGCACTTTTGGGAAACAAAAGACCAGCTATGATTATTGTTATTATTATTATTATCATTATTTTAATAGTTCCAGAATTTTCCGAGGGGCACATTTTCCGGAAAATTACGAGAAATTTTTCCCGGTACCAGGATAATTCCGGAAAATTCTGGGGATGGGTTTTTTCCTGGTTTGAGTGATGATGTAATGGGCAATTTCTGGAACTTCCAAGAACATTTTATGTTACCTGGAAAATTCCAGGGATGAGGGATTTTTTTCCGGCTTTGAGAGTCACCTCGTTACCCAGAAATCTCATTCCCAAAAGTGCTCTGCACCAATTATTCTGGCTAACAGAAATATCACTGTATTTATAAATTGGCAGTTTCAGTAGTGCTGTACTTTGAATATATGAAAATTATTATTCAAGTGGCTCAGCTGAGTGTTATCAACAAAATGTAATAAATGCAACAACCGCAAACTCCTGTCTCCCACCATCAGTTTTTTAATTAATTTTGTCTCAAAAACCTTTTTACATGTCCAATAATCTTTTATGTGGTGTTTTCTGTTCTGAGATGTTATCATTATTATACACAGAAATCGAAACGTTCTTCTCATTCCACATAAGTGTATTTCACAATGTTGCCAACAAATATCACAGAAAGCAATTTGTTTCTGTTACCATCACATTCAACATATCGTTATTTAGAAACTCAAAAAGATAATCAAGTTCATCTGAATATTCAGTGACAGAACAGTTACTATTTATTCCACAACCACTTCTATCAAAGTCGAAAGTTTTGTGCTGGAAGTCACTGGCAATCCATCCCCAATGCTCTCCTCCAGAATGTTATCAATCCTTCTCTTTGCTAATACTTGGCTCAGCTTTATCACTGCTCGATTCATCTTCCTCTTCTTCTATTGGTTGTGTAACATCACTGTCACCCCCTTCTATGTTTGAAACAGAGTTGTCACTTTCTAATGAATCAGAAAGGTCGATATAAAAGTGTGGGTTGGCAATGGCCTCTCTTTTGACTGCCTGCCGGTCAAGAATCAGTTGTCGAAAATCAACCTTCTTCTTCGCTATTGTGATGGTAACTTTATGTTTTTTCATGGCGTAAAATATGGACTCAGCTGATGGAAACATTAGATAGGGTACCATCTTATCACAGACAGCCCTCAAACTAACACGTTTAATTTAACAACATATACATCCCATCCATAATGAAAGGGTTAAATGTCATTCAAAGATCTGAAATGTAGGAAATGGGTGCAGAGTAAACCACCCTCTAGTTCAGAGTTCTAGGGACAACATAATAGTCAAGTAAATTTGTAAGTCAGTCTCTATTTTTCAACTTCAAACATAACGTAAATTGAAGATACACATAGTGTCTTTTTGTTTGATTGAATGCTCTTAATTGAATCATGCACAGTACTGTAAATTGAATTGTTATGATAAGTCCTAATTCAGTTGATGGTTACCCGGTAATGTAATTTATTTTTTCATGTGACATATGTGGGTCTTCATTATTGTATTCATATCTTTCAACAGAGAATTTGTATGTACCTGCAAGGAAGCACTGGATCTGAATAGCCAAGTTATAAATAGTGATCAGTATGAGTACCAGATGGCCTTGGAGAGTAATTTCTCAGAACTCTTGCAGTCTCTCTCGTCCATCCTCAGTGAGCCTCTACTTGCAGCTCAAATTGCCATTGACAGTGTTTTGAAGAGATCATCACAACACTATCTTAGTATGATAAGTTCTCCAGGAGGTGCCAGCAATGCATGAAGTTGTATTGTTCATGTTTTTAACTCAATTTTTATGATAAGATTTTGAACTTAGCTGAAAATTTTTGATACAGATGCCTTTGGTATACAGTATGTGACAGAGACATTTGGAAATGTTTTACAAGATTTAAAAACAAAAAACTTATTGTATTGAATACGATAATTGGTAATGTAGGTTATGATTACATAGATCTTGAAACAGTTGTGTACCTGAACTTCAACATACAGGGTAAAGGCATTATTATGAGGTGATTTACGCAAGGGAATATATAAATGTATTATTCTGCTTTTAAATAGTAGAAAACAATTGCTTTGAACTATGTGAAATAGTGACTTTTTTGTGGCTGAAAGCAATTTTTCAAGATGTCAAAAAATGTGCCATGTATGTAAGTCATTTTATAGAAAAGTTAAGAAAACTTTGGGAATGAGTGCCATTATAATTATTTAGTATTTGTCCAGCAGCTACTGGGCAACTGTCTTGTTTAATTTTTTAGAGGTCTCATGCTTGTTATTATTGAAGAGTCTTCATGTTTAATGAATATTACTAGAGTCTATTGATCAATGTTTGCTCATCAGCAATGCATGGGAAATAGTAAATTGTGGTAGACTTAAGTAAATGTCAGCTTGTGAGTGAGTAAATTCTAATATACAATGGCCATCTCACTGCTTTAGGATGAGGCTTTCAGGCATCTCAGTATAATTAATTATGTGAGTGCTGTATTTTTATAGTGAAAACAGTCAAAACTTTTTTGACTACAGTGATGTAGATTTTAATTCACAGCTGTAATGCATGAAATACTTGACAGAAGATGAAATTTTGTTTTCTTAGTTCTTTTGTAAATAAGCATAATTTGTTTTCATAGATACTTTAAAGGGTGCCCTGTTACAAAAAAAATTATCAGTGTATTCTCATAGATTTCACTTAAAATCTAAATATGGTTCTGTATATGGTTTTCAATATTCAAGATTCAATGATCAAGCAGATATACAGTATCCTTATTACATAACTGCTAAGATATGCCCTTACAGGACTCTATCTAGAATAACTCTCCAACCTTAATAGAATATTATTGATAAATACTTGCATGCAGATGTTATTCATTACATCAAAGTATTCAGTAAATGTAATGAGTTGTAATGTCGTTTATTGTCATTAGATGGTTAAAAATTACTGTATGGTAAATGATGCAAGACAAAATAGCATTTTCAAGCTGTAAATATTTAAATTTTTTTAATGTTTGGCTGTATACAGTAATAATGTAAAACATAATTGTCAAATATTTTTATCTAGGCAGTAAGTCTGTGATGTAAATTACATCTATCATATATATATATGAATTTTTTGGTATTAATATTTGCATATTTTTTTTAATATGAAAAAGTATTGATATGTTATTAAGTGGTACTGTTGTTAAATTTCCATCACATTCAGAGGCTTTCGTCTCTCGGGGCCTTAAAAACCATTAAAGTAAGTGTTCTGTAGAATATACATTTAGCTAAGATGTTAATATTTTAATTTGCATTTCATTGTTAGTGGAAAGGTAAGTTTTCTAGATATGTTTTTTTATTTAAGAGTACTGTACAGGGTATAGGTATGTATGGACTACAGTATGCAGATACTGTATTAATATTTCAACTGGCCTCACAGATTAACCCTGCAGTTTTTTACGTTTAAAGTTGATAAATGAAGTACTGAATCTCCTTGCATTTATTTTGTGGAATCTGACCCTGCTAATCTTAACTGATGGTGTGTGGTTGTAATTTTGGAACTTTTTCTTATTTGCTGTATTTTATGTTAACCTGAATCAATGCTTTAAGTTTACTGTATGTGAATTTTTATAACTTTTTTGTATAATGGTGCTATGAATGTGTGTTCATTGTTATTTATGGTGGTGATGGCTGAAAATTGTGAGGCGTTATTTTATTTTCAGTGTCATATTTGTTAAAATTTTATCTCTATGTAGAGTAGTCACTTGACTCTAAATAAAATTGTCTGTGAGTAGCCAAGTTTTGCTCATGGCTGTCTATACAGAATTTAAGTGTAGAAAAACATTGTTTCCAAGAAAGATGGAATAATTTTTGCTTGAAACAACAAAAGACACATTTGTCTTTGTAATGCTCTCTTTTTCATAATGCTTCTGTAGAGGGTAAAGTAAAAGCCTTTCAGTCGAAGTATTTGCTTATCTATTAATGTCATTGTTGCTCACTGTATTTAGCAAACAAAATACTGTATATTTTTTATTTAGTCTTGTATTGGGGAATAAATACTCTATTGACAATTGAAGGTACAATTATATTTGAAAATAATACAGTATATTAGAATCACTTTATTAATTTTTAAGATCTCATCTCATGATCCCCCCCCCCTCCTGTTAAGAGTTTCTTTTTAGAATTTTTGGGCAAAGTTTTACAAAGTTAAGTTGCTCATTTATGTATGGTCTGTAAACTCAAAAGACATATATTTGATAATTTTATTTTACTAGTCTTGCTATCAACTAGCTTAAGTAGATGTTGAATCAGGGGAATTAGGTATTTCTATCCTGAAACCTTAAAACAAATAATATTTGTTTGTGTTTTTTCTTTAAGTGTTTACATTCTGAAAATTACTATTAGAAACTGGTGAAATAATCAGAACTACTTAGTAGGAGATAGTAAATTATCCATAAAATGCTCAAGCTTATACTCTATATCACTATGGAACCATATGCATTTATTTTTCAGTAACACAGGCTAGTGTATTGCACAAGACATCAAAATATCTCAAGATTCACTTCTCCTTGATAGATTAATTTGGGATACCATTGATGAAGAGGCTCAATTTTATGATCATCTTATTTGAGCATGGACATGTAATTTTAGGTATATATATATACAGTATATATATATATATATATATATATATATATATATTTTTTTTGTCCTGCTTTCTTTCTATTTAACAATGAGTTGCATCTCTTCTCCTCTGTATAAGGTATCTGTATTTTTCATTTGTTTTCTGTTCCATTTCCCACAGAAGCAGAGATGTGAACTTTAAAGTCCTTATAGATATCCACAATTGGATATGGTGAAATTTGTCAGAATCTCAGAAACATTTACCTTAACATTTATTATGACTCATCTCTTTTCTTGATGATCTGAACATTCTTAAACTTGTTGTTATAATCCTGCAGACTAGCACAGTTTTCATAAATACTTGTTGAAACTACATGGGTTATAGATGGAGGATTAATCCTGTAAACTCAATGTATAACCAAGTTAGTACTGTACTGGGAAACTTGTTATTCCTACTTCCATTTGGAGTACTGAATTGGATCTGGAGTAGTTGGTCAGGTTTGGGTGCTCAAAACAATATCCTCAATCTTTCAGTGTTTTAGGGTACCATTTTAGCAAATGGATATCTTTGGAACCTCAGTATCTTCATACTGATATTGTAATTATTTGATTTATTAATACTCTACTTAGATCCTGGTCACAAGTTCTGACCTTGGACTACATTCTATAGTTTTGCTGACCATGTAAAGTTGCTCAATCCTGTACTGTTAGAAAATTTGATATTAGAATCAATCCTCTATTTTGGATAGTCCCAAGCCTAGTTCATCACAAGCCAGCATTCTTAACAAATTACAATACTATGCCTATTTGTGATGTTCTTTTTTCCATTTTTGTATAGTTCTAGATTATTATGTCATAGTAGCCAGGAAAATTAGGGGACATGCTCTCAGTACAGTATTGGGTTATTAATTTTTTTAGTGTAAAATGAGAGGATCAGCCGGTCATTAGTAGTAAAAGCAAAGAATACAAATAATCTTATTACTGTACTTTCTTGTAGCTCCTTGTTGGGGTTGAATTGTATGCCTTACATGTGATATTTTTACAGGATGTCCTTGCCTCTGCTGCAGCAGAATATTAATCTGCTGAATTACCATTGTCTCTGCTTTATACTTACTGTATTCTTACAATCCATTAGGAAGTTTTAGTCCATGTAGGTATTTGTTTACCATAACAATCAAAGCTTTTTGTTTATAATTGCAATTAAGGTATATATTGTCGAGCATCTTTTTTCTTGTAGAAGTGATAACATTTTATCTTGAACAGGTAGGAGTCACATATTGTTGGCAATATGTCAAATTAATACAAAAAAAAATTATAGTTGAGTAGCAAAACAGAATATCCATGCATCATCTATAACATTGTATGTTTTCTCCTATATATTTTTAGATTTTATCCGATGGGTGCGTCGTCACTTGAGCATTTTAGCCCGAATGAACCAAACGAGCACACAACGCACGAATGAACCGAAAGAGCAATTCGAGTGCAAGCTCTCTGTATTCTGTGTGTTTGACGGTGCTTGTCTTTTTCCTACCGTTTTCCTCAGTTGAACCATGGATCTCACAGTGGCATCAGGTGCATTCTTCAGTATTTACTCCTTCGCCAAAAGGAAGAAGAAATCTAGTAGAGTGTGGTTAAGGCGACTATTTTCTGGACGGAAAAATATGTCCCTGTTGAGTGAAATGGATCATGGCCATTTGAAAAACTTTACTTAAGTGACACCAGAGGACTTTGAAACATTAAGTAACCTTGTAGGACCAAGAATTATAAAGAAGGATACAACATTCTGAAGAGCCATACCGGTCCAAGATCGTTTGGCTGTAACTCCACAACTTTCTTGCCACAGGGGACTCCTATACCAGCCTGCAGTATTTATTCAAGATATCCAGGCAACGCATAAGTGTGATAATCGCAGAAACATGCAGCGCTTTGTTTGAAGCCCTGAAGGATTACATAAAGGTAATACAAAAATATTAATGTTTTAATAATATTTACCTTATTAGCATACTAATATGTTGGTACATGTAAATACTACCCATGTTTGTAAAGTTGTGGGCTGCCCTATTAATGTGTGTAGGAAATAAAGTAATATACTATAATTATCTAATGGAAACATGTCTTTATTCAATGTTGTAAGTTACGAATACAAAGCAACCCTTATTAACTCATTCAAGCAAATACAAAAGTGATTGTGACTTGGACTCTGCCTGGGATTGAAACTGAATTTCGGGAGGAGGAGTGGGTGCAGGAGAAGAGTGGACTGATTGTGTTTCAGGAGTAGGTGTGGAATGATATGAACCTGGTGTAGGAATGTTGGAGGCTGTGGATGGACATGCAGAAAAAGGTCAAATTGTCCCATATCAACATTGAATAGTGTGTTATTGATGTGGTGTTGGACTGTGGCTCTCATTCTCTTACTATAGTTTCATAATTTGTTGGCCACGTGTAGCCCATAGACACCGCACTCATCTTGTTGCAAAGAAGCACTTGCAGCGGCACCTTTTAAGATGTTAAGAGCTTCCCCTATTTGTGGGTCCTCTTCTGACTCGGCCTTCTTTCGTTTATGCTGTTTCTTTGCCTGAGTAGCTGGTGGTGACTTGATTATCTGGGTGGTAACATCATTGTCATGCAGCAGTGTCTCTACATTGGTGTCATCATCTGGTGTGTCTTCTCTTCTCTCCGGGAACATTCCATAATTTGTGCAATGCTCACTCAGCAATCATGCTTCCTAACTTTATTGTAGTCGAGCCATGTTGGGGATTCCACAGCTCAGGATGCTTCTCATATTCATTCACTGAGGTTAAACATTTCTCCCTGTCCCACTCCATAACACACCACATAGCTGGAACAGCGCGAACACCCATCCTGACTGTGCACCAACGAGCAACTGAATCCTTTTGAGCATGCACCATCTACCCACAAGCGACGGAAAACGTTTGGCACACTCGATTCGGTTCGGAGACACGTCGTTACTAGCCAAATTCTACTCTGCATGTTCTGCTCATTTGGTTTGTTTGGGCTAAAATGCTCAAGTGAAGATGCAACCTTTGAGCTTAGTGTTACCACCTCTCTTTCCTTTTCTCTCATCACAACAAACATGTGTTATATATAGGCAGATCTGCTGTGAGGATGAAAAAAGATTAGTGCCATGAGAAACTTCATCCTTCACATAAGCAGATCTATTCCTGAGTGAAACAATCTTCATCCCTTACAGGTATTTAGAGTGAGGTCTACTCTTTATGGTGTAGAGAGCTTCCTCTGAAGCGTTTCTTCTTTCTGCTTTTGGCCCATTCATTTGCAGACCACCTACTACTTTTACTATATTTTCAATGAAAAATATATCCAAATTGATGAACGGAGATAGAATTGGATTCGTTTATATAAAACAGCTCATAAAACTCTCTCTATACAGTACTCCAGAACTATTGTGATTAATATTATATAATGTAACAAATTCTTTTTTTAAAGTCCTTAAACAAAATATTGATGCTGTATTTTGTGTACTGTATTCTGTTGTGATTGGGCTGTTAATGTGTTACACCTACTATTGGCATGGCCCTATATTAGACTTTTTTATGTGCTTACTAGAATATATACTGTATTTGATAAAGAAAGCATTTTCACAATATTTCACCTTATGTTTTCACAAACACACACTGACATAGAAAGGGAGAAATATAAATTTTATTGATTCAACATGTCTCAAACAGAAATGACAGCTTTTGCATATTACTGTACTCTATAAGTGTATATATTACAGTAGACCCCCGATATAACACAAGACTGTGACCAAGAATTGTTGCATAACATAAAATTGCATTATATTTCAGTGGGGAAATATAGGTTACGGGACCACAGTCACGAAACATACAACAAGTGTTTTCTCATTTCAACACTAATTTCATTATTTCAAATCTCCTTTTAATAATTATTAATTTACCCGAGTCTGAACAACTGCTTCCTGGACTACAGTTTTTCTTTCTCACAGTGACTGGTGGAGTAAGTAGAACTCAGGGTGTCGTGAATTGTGTGTAATCTGCTTAGATGCTTCATTTGGTATAAAACCATTAAAAACATATTAAATGAAACATTAAAAATACTTATCTAAGAAAATGAAATAATAAAAATATATTTAATGGTTTTACACTAAAGGTCAGAGCTGACCAGTGGCAAAGATGATACGTAACATAAAAAATTCCTTTTAGACCTCATTTTTCTCACTTCAACACTAATTTCATCAGTTCAAAACATTTTTAATATATTATAACTCACCTTGAGACTGAACAACACTTCCTGGGCTACATTTGTTCAGAAACAAGGTGACTAATAGAGCAATAGAACATGGGGTGTCAGGAATTATACAATATCTGCATAGATGTTGCTGGCCGGTGCTAGCAGACAACGTACCTGCCTCTGCTGCCATTTATTGAGGATTGCGAAAACTTTGTTTTCATTTATTGATCGATTGTCTTCGTTTCATATTAAAACTTTAAAAACATATTTAATAAAAGAAATTAAAAACAGTTAAGGCTTCTCTAAGCAATGAAACTTTAAAAACAACTACAGTACTGTACAATACAATACTGTATAATGATCAGTGCAGGAAACTGTCAGTGTCAACTTCTTCGGAGTAAATGTTGTAAACTGTTGTAATGACCTGTCAGAGAATATTATGAGAGCAAGGATTGTGAACTGTTGTAGTAACCTGCCAGAAAGGTTGTCTAGAAAATTTTCCCAATTTTTTTATACCCTGAATTGCCTCTATTAATGACAGAATATGGAATTTGAGCACAGAAAATTAAAACATTGAACAAGCAATAGGAATGTTGTCTTGAACAGGAAAAGAGACAACGGAAGTTTTAGTTTATATTTAAAAATTCATGTGTTAAGGCATTTTGATATGGGAGAACAGCTTTGGGTATCACTAGAGCACTACACCCAATGTTTAACATACTGTGCAGTAAACCCTTGCTATTCACAGGGGTTAGGTTCCAGGGAATGGCACAAATTGACAAAACTGCGAATAGTAACTTAATCTGCCTTAGCACACTACTGTATACCTATATAGTACAGTGTATGAGAAACTTAAGTTACCAATACAGTACTGCTCTTCTTTGTACGTGAAAGTTTGGAGCCTGATGAAGTGTACTGTACAGTAGACTGAAATCTGGTTACTGAAGCATAAGGAGATAATCAGGATCACTGTTGGAAGAGGGTGATGCAGTGGTGGTTGGTGGAGAGGTGTGTGGTGGGTAGGTAGGTAGTGGAGTGGCGGCAGCAGCTGAATGAGTAGGTGAGGGAGACGAATCAGCTGGGCGAGCGGCTCGTTCTTTCTTGAAAAACATCATGATTGGCAGCTATTTCCTTTTGGCTTTGAGGTCTCTTAAACGTTTCACTCCACTAGCACTGACACTAGGCAGTCTTTTAGGGGCTATTTCAGATGAAAACATTAAAGCTTTCAGTGTAACACAAGAGATGCTGTGTCGCAGGTAATGGTTTAGCACAAACAAAGTGAGAGGAGACGCTGTGGGTGCATGAGGGTGACTCATTGCGCTGTGGTCAGGCTCGTAAGGTAGCCACTATCTGCTTGCCTCGAATAGTCGAAATTGCAAACTCATAAATAGCGTGTTTAACTGTAATTTGTGATTTTTTCTTCAATTTTCTTCCAAAAACCTCTTTCAAAGTAAACCTCAAAATTTTTGGATGTTTCACATCATTTGTGACATTCTCATGTATTAATTATTTTATTATATTTATATGTTTTTCTTTAAAGCCAGTCTCAAAAATCTTTGTTCAAAGGGAATCTGTGCATTTATCATATTTTGTCATTCAACTCTTTATTTACTTTTTTCATGACTGAGCTCTGGGCTTACAATACGCAAACTGAAAATGACAGTTCAATAACGAAAAATAGGAGTGGTTTAGGGTGCTGTGTTATATTGAAATCATTGTATATTGAATCAAATTATATTAGGGGTCTACTATATATTGAATATTAGGAATAAAAGTAGGGATACATAGAAATAAGAGAAAACATTAAAATAAAATAAGTTTGTTCCATTTTTGTTTTATCATTTCCCGTTTTACTTGTAAATTCCCTTAAAGGTACACATCCAGCTTAAAGATGACCAAGTTGGCATTACACTGTGTGTTTTTATAATGTTTGCTAGCACAGAATACCTCAGTGACCCCTGCCCACCAAGTGGTCTCACTGTATGTATTGTTTACGTTGTGGCTCCATCTCCACACTTGATTTTTGGTGTACTTTAACGTTATCTACCCAATGTAATGTCTCCTTGACGTAAGCCATACCATTAATTTGGTTCTTAAATTGGATATCGTAAGTCGGTTCAGTAATGGTGAGTGAAAGAGCAGTGGACATCAGTGTCTAGGGTTTACTCTTGTCAAGTGTGAGGAACACTCATTGCAATGCTGAGAAGTTTTGTTTGGTAATGCCGAGAAGTTTGTTTAGGTGCTGTATGTTTTATGCACACACCTATAAGAAAGTTCAGTTAACTGACTGGTCTGTGACTCGGCCAGTATCACTGTAAGCACAGTGTCTGGTCAACTTGGGCTGTGAGGGGAGTATACTGCCCCCTTGCTTAACACGGGGGTTGTGTTCCCAGAAAATACCGTGTAGAGTAAATCCATCTACAGCAAGGGCTCCCAAACTTTTCCAAGGTCATTCCCCACTTTTGCCAGCAGCTAAATCTGCGGTGGCACCATATCCAGATCTGTTCACTATACTGTATATAAGTCTACATGTGTGCCAAATTTGGTGCTTTTATCACAAAATGCACAATTGGTTAAAATAGTGAGGTTATGCCGCCCGACTATTTCAACCTGACCACATTCATCTGAATTTTCCTGTGTTAGCCCAGCTCAATCCAAATTAAAGTCATTCTTAGCCCCATGTTAAGCGATACTGGGTAGTAAAAAAAAAAACATGTTCGAGTGAATCCGTGTTGAACAAACCCTTTTTAAGCCAGGGTCTGTGTACCCACTACAACTGACATGACTTTTGTTGTTTTTTTGTACAAAGACGTTAATGCTTTGGTTCTGCAGGTCAGATGGGTATGAAAACTTAGAATAATCTGAACTAATCTTTCAGTATTACAGTATACTCTTTCTATATAACGGAATCCTATATAACGAACTCTTGATTTAGCGGAAAACATTTTTTCCGTTATTTTTCGCTCAAACTAGTTCACTAAATCTAGACACCTCAGACACATGATATAGTAAAACCTACTCCAGTCTACAGCAAATATACTAATGTGAAAAAACGATAAATAATGATATAAAAGGTACCATATAAGATGCACCCCCACTTTAACAGGGAGTAATTAAGAAAAAACTTTTGTGTGTATTTTCCTCCTGTAGTCATTGTTTTCTTAATGTATACAGTACCAGGAAATGCGAGGAATAAATAAAAATAATGACAACAAAAAATACTGTATAGTATTACCAAATCAGTAAATGAAAGCCAAAGGGAAGTTTAACACAGTTGCCATTTGCATACACTCCCTGTTTCACCATTGTAACGAAGACCAGTTGCGACACCAATTCCCTAGCAACGCTCCCCGCCTCTACTACACCAATAGTCGCCAACTTTTGGAGGCTCTGGGCACTTTTCCTTTATCAAAGAATTTCCTGAATGTACTGTTTAACAAATATGAAATGGTATCATTACCCCCTCCATGTTTGGTGAAGGGATTTCATGACTGAAGGTCATCATGGATCCAGTTAGATAGGTATATCTTTCCAGGGGATCTACTGTTCTATATGGTGGTGAAGCCAGACCTAAAATTGCCCTAGGGGTGAAGGGATTACCAATAAACAGCCAACCCATCCTCTCATATTAGATCAAAACTATATTATAGATGCAAAATAGTCTTCAGCATCTCCCTGTGATCTTAAAGACCTATGTATATAACCTTTATAACCTTGAGATTTGTGTAAGCTTGGGTATCTGCAGGTAAATGATAAACATCTGTTTTCTCATTCATTACATGTATATATGAATTTACATTGATTTATTTTTTATTATTTACAATGTCACAGTACTACAGGGTATTACATTTAATTTTTAATACAGTACGGTATTACAGTACTAAAATTTGCAGTCTGTCAGCAGGCTTTACTTGTAATAACTGGATACCTACCCTGTAGCTAAAACTCTCACTTTTAAGCTTGCCAGCCATTTTAAAGGGAATTACAAAAGAAAATTTTGTCAGTACACAGCGCAATTATCAACTTCGGGACTCGAAAATATGTACTGTAATTGGAAAAAATTTTGGTACGAGGTCGTAAGTGGGGTGGTACTGTATATATATATATATATATATATATATATATATATATATATATATATATATATATATATATATATATATATATATATATATATATATATATATATATATATATGTATGTATGTATGTATGTATGTATGTATGTATGTATGTATGTATGTATGTATGTATGTATTATGCTGATATCCACAAGAAAACACCAAGTGGGTTTGTACTAAATTGACAATACTGTACAAGGATTTGATTTCCCCAAAATTTCAATATTATGATAAAAAAATTGTCTCATGTTTTGATATACTGTATATGCAAAAGTTTGTTAAAAAAAATAACTACTGCACTGTAGTAACAATGATAAGCTAAAGTAATGCAGTTATTTTTTCAATGAAAATGCTTATATATTTCATAGACCTTATTGTTATTCTCTAACACTCATCACATGGGTGGAATATTACTGAAATTTATGTAAACTAGTGTGGCTTACATGGCATGACCAACACTTCCATCACTTGCTAGTCATTTTGAAGCCATTTTAAAGAGTAAAATATGCCTAAATAAAAGCACAGGTTTCACGAACTAATGTCAAGAGTCAATCACAAGTCATGTCGGACCACAGGATGTTGGTTTAAACTTTAAAGGGATTCAACCTGTGAAATATGTCTTTACACAAAAGGCTTATTAGTGCTGCTGTTGTTTACTGGGTATCGATAATGTTCTTTCTTCTTTGTATGAAAGGCTTACTGGTTTTGCTCTTGGTTTCTGGATAATATTGTACTGCTCTCTTCTTGTAAGACTCAATGATTTTATTATTCATCAGACAGGAGTCCTCTACATGAAGGACCAAATAGCATTTCTGTTATTTATGATAAAATAGTATCCCTTAGCATTGAGAGGTGAATGGCAATGATTGTTTTTTTTCATATTATATTACTTAATTAACAATTAAGTGTTGCCTGCAGAATGTAAAACCCTATAGAATAGATTCTGTTGTTAAAAAAATAATATCTTCAAAATATAGGGTCTAATGGTATTGCTGCTTATCAATGAAAAATACCATCCAAGTGGCTTATTCCTTTATCTGTTGCTGCTGGTCATTAAGAGGCGTATGTTGATTGATGCTTACTGAGCGTTTCTTCTTGTAGGTGGAGATTGCTATAGCTATAGCAACGACGGCAAGAATGGCAAACAACACACCCACAATTATACCCACTGGCTGTGATATTTCCTCTGTAGCCGAGTCTGTTGATGAAGGAAGGCTCTGATTTATTAAAGACATTTAAAAATGGCATGTGTATTTAGTAATAATACTGTAGAAATAAAACACTACACTACATTTTTACAATAAATCTACTTCTGTTGCATCTTGCTAAGAGTAACAACAGATGGAGGTTAATCTTATGCAAGTTTTGATTGAATACACTGGTTAGTATGTAATGTTTAATACTTTTTGTGTATTACCTTTAAAAATTATTATTCATATTTATAAAATATTTAAATACATTTATTATGTGTGTACAGCATCATTATTAGTACTATTACTGATACCATGAAGGCCCTCATATTTGTCTTATTAGTAAGAAACAGTGCTGCCATGTATGCACCTCCAGTAGTACTATGGTATACTGTACTGACCTTTTATAAAGCTGTTTCTTATAGTATGTGCACACTGGCATACAAAGAACATACATACACAAGCACCACACACATACATATCCCACCACATTATTGCACATATATTCATACCGCATCATGCTACACCAGACCAAACGACCACACTATTAATAATTGAAATTCAGTCAAAGTGACCAATGACAGCTGACAAAGCCATAAGAGGCTTGTTTCCAGTAGAGTCCTTATGCCAGCAGCAGCTGGTGTTCTTAGGACCAGGTGGTCACTCATCCAAGTACTAACCAGACCCAACTCCACATATACATTGCTGTTGTTGTTGTTATAATGTGTGTAGCTTTTCTCCACAGGGTGGTGTAATGTATTTACTAGTGTGGCAGCATAATTCTTCCTCTCGCTTTCAATTACCGCCGCTGGCTAGCCCTCGTGGTAAACAGGGAAGATGCCTTGTGTAAGTCTTCCTCTGCCAGTACACAGACTTTTCACCATCAAGACTCTCGCTGTGCCACTTCGTGGCAAAACATGGTAACTGAGTGCTTCGTGTCCCCAGGCTAGACCAGCAGGGGATCTCGGAGCAGCAGTGAGCCTAAGAGGTACTGTGCATAAGCCCAGTGGCAAGTGGACACGGCCTGACATCTACCAACCACTGCCCCGCTACCTTGCGGATTGACCTTGGTAGGTATAAAGCTATGTGAGTAAACCCCAAATGAAAAATCTGTGGTGGGGCCCCACATCAGGCAGACATGCTCACAGAGCTTCAGTAAGACCCCCAACGGCAGAAGAGGTGACCAACACTGCAGGAACCCAACAACTACACCAGAATATAAATTCTGTGCAAGATGAAGAAGCTAATAAGGTGAAACCCAACAAACTGGGCTATCAGCAGTCCATTGCAACTCTCCCTCTCCCCAGTTATTGCAACTATGCAGTGCAAGATGAAGAAGCTACTAAGGTGAAACTCAACAAACTGGGCTATCGGCAGCCCATTGCAACTCTCCCTCTCCCCAGTTATTGCAGCTACTTGAATCCACTGGATCAGGAAAGGGGAGAGCCAACATGTGTGGTTGCAGCTTGCATTACTGCCTGACCACTTAACTCACGCACGACCATCATTCAGCTCATCATACTTTTCATCATCAGAACCCCTAAACCCACTAAGTCCAATGACAACAGACGAGTGGCGACGGGAACGGACAGAGATGACTGCTATGAGTCCTTAGTCACAACTCTGCACATGGGTGGTATAGATAAGATGTTTGTTTACACACTGGGATATAGGCAGCATTGCAATCCAGTCTTGTCTGTGCAACTGAGCAGCTCTATCCAGGAGCCATTCTGCTCACCCCACGTGGAGAGGGGGCTAGAAAAGGCGCCTTAAACATAGCCTGCCTAAAAAAAACTAAAAAAAAAACCTGACTGGGCAATCGTACCCAGTAAGGTCATTCTAATGCGGTCGAAAACATAATCACAGATCAAAGAAAAAATGTACAACTTCTTATGGTCGCTCCATGGAATGTAAGGACCTTTCTGGTTACTGACACAGATGAGCATCCTGAATGAAGAACCACCCTTGTGGCATAAGAACTCAATAGGTACAACATTGACATAGCAGCTATTAGTGAGTCCTGGCTCCCAGACGAGAGCCAGCTATACCTTCTTCTGGAAGGGTAAGCCTGCAGCAGAGAGAAACCACATTTATAGAGTTGACTTTGCCATTTGCTAATCCATCCTACATAGGTTAACTAAAATGCCTGTTGGGGTCAACGAGCACCTCGCGATGCTCTGAGACTCGCTTAAATACTCACGTCTTGCCATCTTCATCAGTACATATGCCCTAACGCTGGATGCAGAGGATGATATCAAGGTGGCCGTTTATGCTGACTTTGACAGAGTGCTAACCTCTGTGCCCAGAGAAGATAAGGTTGTGCTCCTTGGTGGCTTCAATACCAATGTTGACAGATATGCTGACGCATGGCAGGGAACCATAGGGAGAAATGGAGTGGGCAAGTGTAATCCCAACAGCTTATTCCTCACCAAAACTTTGTTTAGCAGGTCGATAAGTTCAAGGGTTCTTGGCAACATCCATGATCCAAACATTGACATCTCATTGACTACATCATTATAAGAGACAGAGATCGCTGAGATGTCCTCATCATCCGAGCCATGCGTTACTCAGGCTACTGTGATACAGATCAACAGCTCTTCAGAGCCAAACTTTACCTTCACGTCGCCCCACAAAGGCGAAGGCAACAAACTTTCACAAGAGGTTTCAACACCAATTGACTGGAGGATCAAGCGGTAGAACATGCTTTCGGAGAGCAGCTTGACGATGGACTGAAAAAACAACAAACAACCTAAATCCGAGTGCCAAATGGGTTATCCTCAATGGTGTCATCACAAAAACCGGCAGCGAGACCCTTGGCCAGATTGAAAGAAAATGCCAATATTGGTTTGATGAAAATAACCATGAAATCAATGTATTAGTCAGTGGTAAAAGATCTGCCTTCACTGACTGGAAGAACAACCCTCTGTCTCGGACCAAAGCTGATATCATCCGCATCCCCCCCTCCAATAAAAAAAAAAAAAAGATGGCCCAGTACAAATTCGCTATCCAAAGGACGAATGGTGGAAAAATAAAGCATGTGAAATGAAAAAAAAAGCGGATCAAAACAAGATGCGTGAAATTTTCAATTCCACTAAAGCAATCTATGGCCCAAGTAATGGCGCGGCCCCCTCCTCTCTCATTCGGCGGTAACTCCCTAATTAAAGATGAAGAAGGTATTCGTTAGTGCTGGAAAGAGCACTACCATTCCCTGCTCATCCAAAACACTGATGTGGATGTACTGATTACACAGCAGTTCCCTCAGCACCCAGAGCTGACCCACCTTGACTATTCTCAATCCCATGATGAGGTAGCTACTGCAATCAAGCAGATAAAAAATAACAGACACAAGGCCTGATGGAATCCCAACCAAGGTGTATAAAACCAGAGGACCTCTGCTTATCAGCCGCCTCCATCCTTAAAGAAACCTCCATCATCAATATCTAGGAGAACAAGGGAGACCTGTCAGACTGTGGCAACTACTGCAGGATCTCACTGCTGCTCCACACCATAACGCCTGGAAGAGCACCACATGAGACGGTGTCACTACTTTCGGGTTAGCCTGACTGCAAATCAAGGCAGAAAAGCGCCAGCACCGGAAAGACACTGCCGCCGCCCCTCCTGGACTTCTTGTAGCCCTCCACACGTACAACATCTGTGGACGGCCCTGCCGATCCCTTATCGGCCTCTCAAGTCACCTCAGAGCTCACCGACGAAGGTGACTTCTTAAAAAATTCATATAATTGTACCATAGCTGGATGATCGTAATACTCGATTCCGAGTAACAGCAAAGTACTGTATTAGTAGTAGTAACGTTATTGCTACTCTTCAACATAATAAGGTCTTTGAGTGCGTAAAAAGGTTAGTAATTACACTATCACACCAGCACTTTGGAATTACGAGTGATAAATCTTGCTGCTCACACCACTTATGACTTACCAGTAATAGAATTTTGTGAAACAAGTGGGTTGTCTGAGGCTACATCTGTAACAGGGACACTTGGAGTGACTTCTTGTACTTCAGTAGTGGAAATATCTATCGAGAAAAAACATCAATGTTGCTTAGGAATAAATATTGTTCAGGGTATTTGAGAAAAAAAAACTACTTGAAAATATAACGATACTTTTATATACTAAATTTTCTAAGAAGTTAATGTTAACTTCATTGAAACAGGATTTTTATAATCTACACAGACCCTAAAATAAAACTTGTAGGATAAAATAATGTCCTCTGACTGATTGGTGCTCCATTTATATTAATCATGTGTTTACTGTGTAGTCATTAAGAATGGAACTGTACAGTTATTGTGAACACACTTGATTTGAAAAAAAAATTACATATTTGTTAATTTTAATGTGCTAAAGAATAAAAGTCAGTACTAACCATCACATGCGATGTTTACTAAAGCGAGGTAGTAGGCCTGTTCAGCTATTTTCTGGTTCAAATCAGCAACAATGAATACCACACCGCTGTTAGTTCCCCCAGAACTGGCTGGCATGTTTATTCCTGTCACATTTGCTCTCATGTTTATGTCCACTGTTATCTGAGGAAAATTAAATGCAGGTATCACTTAAAAGAATATAGTTTTTTTTCTAGAATCTGAAAGGCTGAGGAAAAGGCAAAAATATGGTTATAAGTTAGGATTGATCCCACAACTAATCAACTCCCATTTTATAGATGCACTGAGTCTACTTTTACTGATTTTTTTACTTTTATCCCCTTCACCACTGATCGGCTCGTTAGCTGCTTGGGCGGTCGGTGACGTTTCTGTTATGCACTGATAGCGAATACTGGGCATGTACTGGCTCCAGAATGTATCTGTACGTGCGCCAGTGTTGATCAGGTCTAGTGGTGAAAGAGCTCACACTCAGTTCCTTCACAACACTGGTAGCTTGTTCCAAGAGTTTACAATTCTCACTCCGAAAAATTGTACCCTCAATTTTCTGGACTTGTGGCTTTCTTCAACCTGAGCTGTGACTCCCAGTGTGGCGGGTGTCCGCCAGCTCCGGGTATGGTCACTCGACTGAGTAGTGCCATCTGAGATGTTTATTAACTTCAATTAAGTTACTTCTTGTCTGCATAATCTAAGATAGGCAGTTGCAGGCACTCTAATATCTCTGTACAACTGAGGTGTCATAATGCATGCACCAGTCTGGTGGCCGTCCTTTGGACATTTGTAATCAATTGACAGTCCCTAGCATATCTTGAGGACCAGACGGGGTGATAGTACTCCAAATGGAGAAGCACCTCATTCTTGAAGATAATTACGAAGGACGGACCGTCTAGACAGCTGAGCGACCTTCTTATAAGTAGACCTACTAGTTTCGTTGCATGATTCACGTTCTTCTCACAATGGCCCGAGAACTTCAGTTCATTGTCAACTTACACACCCAGGTCCTTTTTCGCATTCGGTCTATGTTAATGCTGTTTCTTCGTCCCGTTGGGACATGTTGGTACGACCTAGGTGCATCCTCTTACACTTCATGACATTGAATCTTAACAGCCATTTCTCCGACCACTCTTGAAGCTGACAGAGATCTTTCTTTAGCTCTTTATAGTCCGTTTGGTTCTTAATTTCCCTGAATTACTTAACATCATCTGCAAACATTTGTATGGCAGAGTGTATTGCTTCTGGCAAGACATTTAAGAAATAAACCAACAATAACGGACCCAGTAAACTGTCCTGTTGTACCCCGCTTGTCATGGGTAGACATGATGATTTCGTGCTATTAATCACCACACACTGCTTGCGGTCATGAAGAAAGTCTCCGATCCACGCTAGAACACTTCCCCGAATCCTGTACCCTTCCAGTTTAATTCTCAGTTTCATGGGGTACGCTGTTGAAAGCCTTGGCAGAATCCAGATATATATTGTCAATATTGTCATCCTGTTCCAGAATTTGAATCCAAACATTCAACACCTTGAGTAATTGTGTCAAACACGTCCCAGCATAAAACCATGTTGGCAGTCCTTTGCAAGGTTGTTTCGTAGTAGAAGTTCGAAAATGGCATCTCTTATAATGCACTCTAGTACTTTACACACTATGCTAGTCAGGATCGCTGGTCTATAATTATTCGTAGAGTGACAATCACCCTGCTTGAATATAGGACTCACATAAGCCATTTTCCAGTCACTGGGGACCTTTTGCTCATCCAGGCATCTACAGAACAGGATCTTAATGGGCTCAGCAAGCTCATTGCACAACTCTCTTAGCACTCTGGGATGTACCATGTCAGGGACAAGGCCTTCAACCTACAGTTGCTGGGTCTAATTCATTTAATAGATATGCCATGAATCAGATTCAGATTCAGATTTGCCCCCGAGGGGGCTAGTTTATTGGGCACTCCCTTACATCCTGTGCAAGGTGAAGCGCAGAAGCGTTTACAGCGCCCAACAGGGAAGTATGAAAAGTTCATACTTGCCTTTATGACTCGTACATTAAGGGCGTAAAAGCCTGAAGGGTCATAGGTTCTGTCAAGTTACATAAAGTGAGAGAATGATGAGTGTGTGGGGGGAAAGTTCCCGGTACATTTTATCTGTTTATGGCAAAGTGTGGCAGGTCCCTAATAATGTCAAATGACTAGGAGGAGGGATATCTGGTCTGGGAGGGAAGAGGTGTTGGTAATGCCATGAATCGTGGAAAGGAAAGGTGGGAGCTAGAGGGGGGTGCAATGTCGGTATCTCAGCCTCCCGCCAACTGTGAGTTGTGCTGTTATTTTTCAACTTGTAATTTCGGGTGGATAAACTTAATTTTCTTAATTTTTTACTCTGTTCCATGGACACTGTACCCTCAATAATTTGGATCACTATAATTCAGATTTGGGCTTAATTCTTATGTTTTATTTTCATTTTTAATAAACAATTTGAATTCGGAATGAATCTGAAATAACTGTGCGGTTCCGAAAAGTCGATTAGTAACTCAGGAATCAATTATTGAAATAGATAAAGATGAATGAATTATAGGAATAATATATGAGGACAACTCACCTCCTCTCGCTCAACAGCCCGCGATTCCCTTATAACACCATGCACTTTCACCATAATTCCCATATTATTTCGGTTCATTTGGTGCCGGGTTAATAAAATATTGTCTAATAATAATTAATTTTCCCCGAAAAATCCCACACTCAATCCCAGATGAGCTATTGCCCAGTATATATTACCAGTCTCTTGTTTACAAAGAGATATTGGATGATTGGTCTCGCTCTCCCTAACAATGTTGCCGGCACTCGCCATCTCTCAAGTATTGAATTTTTTGGGAATTCAAGTGACCCAGAGCCCATTTTTTGTCAAATTAACAAGGGTATAGTGTACAGTACTCACAACCATTCATAGAGCACATGCAAAAAATAATAATCAGCATATGGTCAAAAACAAAAATATTATATGTTTACTCTGAATTACGTGCGTGGGAGCAGCCTGGGACCGGGGAGCACGTTCCATCATGGCTCGTGCTAGTGACAAATGGCAATGCACTATTTTTTATTATTATTATTATTTGTATTTATTTTTCACATTTACTGGTATGGTATACTACACAGTGGTTATCAGCATATATATATATATATATATATATATATATATATATATATATATATATATATATATATATATATATATATATATATATATAATCTGGTGAGGTCGTTGATTATATGTTCAAAAGTCCGAGTGTTATATGGACTAAAATTGATATATATATATATATATATATATATATATATATATATATATATATATATATATATATATATATATATATAAAGAATAGCTTCTTCACGCAAACCAACCTCTGGGCGATGTGACACATTCAATTTGTTTAGGAACTTTAGCCTCATAGCCTGGCAATAACGGGGACAGGCAGAACCTCCAGTGTGGGTCGCATGTGTTACCTTATACTGCCCGACATCCTATTCCAATATTGCACCATGATAATTATCTCCGAATATTGCGAGTTACTGCACATCACATTTTCATAGCAGTGACAATTCAGGAAAAACATATGGGTTGCAACCATCGTAAAACTGATCTTTAGCCATCACATAGTGGTAATTGGTGTTAATTTCTTATATCGTAAGACTTATCGAGCGCATATTGATCCATTGTATAATGGTCACTGCCTGTACATAAACAAATGTCTGGTACTAAATAAAAGAAAATTGAGGAGCACAACGGAGTAACGAAAACCACTGTTGTTCAGGAACATTACAATGACAAAGACAATAACAAGGAAGGGGAAGGAGAGAAGACTGAAAGAGGAAAATGATAACAATAAAAGAAAAAACAATAGGCAAAATTGTAGGAAGGAACGAAGATGTTGAAGAGTAGCAGGCAGAGGAGTTGAAGGAGAGTGAGTAGATAAACAAAATAAACCATATCTGCTAGTACTACAGTAGTGTAAGAGTTATGTTCTTACCTTATTATTTTTCAGAGAGATATGGATCATGTTCCAGGTATTGGGATGAAGAAAGTCTTGACTCTTAGAACCTTCATGCTGAATGGTCCGACATGATTCCCCATCAGATGAACACTGCATCAGCTCCATCATCATTTGTTTTACATTAACCTGCAAACAGTTACACTCTTATTTCTTTTAATTTTAAGTTATAATTTGTTTTACGGGGCATAGCCCACCCGGGCACAGGTCATCGACCCACAACGCGGCCTAGGGGGCGAAAAAATAAAAGTAAAAAGAAATTAAAAATAAAAATAGAAGAGAAAGAGACTATTAATCTACACCACGAAGATGCAGTAAAACCAGCTTTTTGAAGTGAGACAGATTGTAAGAGTATGGAAACAGAAGAAGGCAGAGCATTCCACAGTCTGGCTGTGTGAGGAAAGAAGGATGTACTATAACGGGTTATTCTAGTGTGACTGACATCCGCACAGAAACGGTGGGCACCGCGGACAAGACGAGTGTTACAAGCCCACGGCCTTGCCAGCGGTATACAGGATGCCAAATTACGACATATTCAAGGCTTCACAACTCATTGGTATGTCCAGTTTTTTTCCAAGAAAGTTTAAAATATGACACCACATATTCCAGTAGTGTATGAAATTTTAGCAGGTAATGGACAGCTTATTAGGTGTTCTGGTAGTTGGGCTGTGCTTTGTTACTTGTTATAAACTTTATTGTCTAATGTTAGTATATGAGGAAATCAGAATGCCCAGAATAAACCTGTGATGTTTGGTAGTGTCACACAGGATAACACGCTTCCCACGTGTGTCCAGGCCAGGACTTGAACCCATGGCAAAGTAGTGAGAGATATGCATGTTACTGCTATATCACCGAGGCTATCATTTTAGCTACACTGTATTTACTGACTCTCACTGTGTTCTCATCCAAATTACTGGCTCCTCATTAAACACCAAATGTAAGAATATCCATCCAGTTAATTATAAGTTACACTGTTTAAATTCTAAACAAAATTTTCATCTCATTATTCAGTGGCGGCTCGTGCATAGGGCTGCAGAGCTGCAGTCCCCCCAGACACTCACTGCCAGGCGTATGATTCCTTTAGAGAGACAGCTGAATAATACACTACCAACAAATATATCATTTTATATGTTATTTAATTATTTTCAATACGTTGCTAAGTGAATTTTCATTAAAATCAGACCAAAATTTAAGTTACTTTCATAGTTGCTGTCAATGCTGTACGATTCATGTCTGTTATTAATTGGCGCCGCCGCCGCACTTGAAGCAGCTCAGTCTCGTACAACGTGTGGACGGTGTGGTTAAATCGTGCTTTCTTTAATTACCCTTTGACGATGGAAAATCGAGTGAAGTATTTGCAAAACATCAACTTTTCCCAGCTGACATTAAATGAAAAGACTGAAATCATAACAGAAATAAAGGATTTTAATGAAATAGTAATAAACAATTTTGCTACATCGAAGAGCAGACGCGCCGACTTTATTTTCAATTAATACTGGTCCATCACCACCTCGGCCATCCCTTCTACCACCAACACTACTACCATGCCCTGGGAATTCGTGGACATCAACTACAACTCATACCTGAGGTAGGTCAAATTTGTGTATCCTACTGTTGTGTGAGGCTTGCAGTCCCTCCATTTTATTTTTCACGAGCCGCCACTGCATTATATCTCTCTTCAACCAAATTTACCTCTGGTTTTTCATCTATTATTTATATTATTCATTTTCTTATTTTTCTCTTCGTACTCACTAGACATGACATTTTCTTCCTTTCTATAATGTATTTTCCTATAATATTCCAGTCCTTCATTTCCTCTACCCTCTTTTATTCCTATGTTTTCCACTTTTTTTAATTTTCACCATTTGCAGTGATTTTGTCATAATCTCTTTCTTTCTCTTCTCCTTATAATGCTTCTTTCACATGACCCTTCTTTCTATTCCTTTTCCCAATATTAAGGGCATTTTCTATTTTTCTCAATGTATCTTACGCTGTTCCTTTAGCTTTTCTACTCTCTCTATCCTTCCTGTTTCCAGTAGCTCTTTGTACTGCACCTATTTATCCCTTCTACCTCAGTTACCTTGAACAGGGTGTCGTCAATGAGGATCCTCAAGTACACCATGGAGTGGCTGGGCCAAATAGACAATGTAAGTTCGTCGTTTAGGGTGAAGTTGGGCGTGGAATGCTCGTGCTCAACATGATATACAGGGCAATTCTTGTGGGCTGTAAGGAGGAGGCAGGAGTTAATAGTTGCCAATAATGCTTTATTGATCTTTTACTGTATGATAATAAGAAGTTACTGGATATCCTCGCTGTTACATTTGGTTAACAGGGTTTTATTCATATTTTGTAAAATTTTGTAAGGTTACTCTTGCACAATTAGTTTAGTTTTGCTGATTTCTAAAAAAAATAATAATAATAACTAGACATAATATCTTGTTGAACAGCTCAATATAATGAGAAAAGACAGGAGCAACACGAATAAAATGTGCAAATGAGAAACTTACGTGGTTCGGGGATGGGTACTTTAACCGTGGTGATTGGGACGTTTGTAGTGGAAACTGGGTTTTGCTCTGGGTTAACAGTCTGGAGCTCAGGCGTAAAAGTATCTGAGGGGAATCAAAGGATCTAATAAAGAGATAATACTCGGCTAATATTCACTCTGTTTTGGCATATAATTGAGGGAGTCTTAGATCATTCTTGCAAAACAAAAGAACAAATCTTCAGCTGGGGGGGGGGGGTCATGGAAGTATTGTCAGTATCCTAACTTTATAGACACGACTCATGCTGAACACAGTGAGAAACAATGAGATAGTCACTGGTGATCTGTGTTGTAGTGGTCAGCATGATTGCCAATGAGTGGTCCCAAATTCAATGACTGTGCAGGGTTAATCTATGGGCAAGTTTCTTTATACCATTTGCCTCTGTCTACCCAGCGGTAATAATAATAATAATAATAATAATAATAATAATAATAATAATAATAATAATATTATTATTATTATTATTATTATTATTAGTATTATTATTATTATTTATTCAGTAAAGTTCTCATACAGGTTTACAATTGGATAAGCATGTTTATAAACTATACAGTTAAGCATGAATAAAGACAAAGTAGGTATACTGTGCACATAGGCAGTGGGCATATCCAGTTTCCTCTGTGCCAAGACAGTGCAAGTAAACGACAATAGTAAATAATAAGGCAAATTGACCAAGGATAGCCGACAAAGCTGTCAGGTGGTTGCATAGAAACAGATATCTCTGAATATTATTGAGAAAACCTTAGTCTATAACATCCTACAGTACATGTATACTATAATAAGCGGTAAAGCCAGTGTTTAGAAACTCAATAAGAAGACAACTAACCATTGCACTTGATATTGACGTCAACTGAGTAACTGAGGCGTGTCTTTGCCGTTGGATCTGGGGCCATGATTGATACCTTGCTGGTGTAGGGTCCGTCAGAGCTGTCTGGCATGGTCATCACCATCACATCTACTTGGCTGTTGATATCGACTTTCAGCTAATGGAAAAATTGCATTTTGTAAGGAAAATGTGAGTTTATTTATCTAGACAATTTACATCAGAAATGAAAAAGCTTTTTTCAGATAATTTATAAGTAACAAAAACCTACAATAAGATGTTTTATTTTAAAGTCATTATGGAGTATATCAACGCTAGACAGAAAAGGAGGTATCAGTGTTACTATTTAATCAAAATTCACAGCAACTCAAATGAATTTAGGTACTTTAACTTCATAAAAAAATGGTCAGTAAACCAAGTGAATCAAATTAAATCAGTAAATTAAAAATCTCTTCAACATAATTTACTCTACATGCGAACAACCTTAGGAAAACATCTTCACCTGATCAGCAGCTAAAGAGACAGTGACAAAGTTCCACTGATTGGGAGTGAGGAGGTCCTTGCCTTTAGTGGCTTTTTCATCAAGGGAGAAACAGATATCTTCTTGACCTTCACTACTACACCTGTTCAGTTTTACCGTGGTGCCATGCACTGTGGCCTGCAAAAATATAAGTGTTATTGTATATAGATAATGTTGAACAGAATGACTGAAAAAATAATATACTCAACTCTTCACCAACTAATGCCAGGGAACCAAGGATCCAGTGTAAAGACTTGGTGTGCAAATTACATGGGACACATAGGTACTGTTTGGGGTTTGTAATATACTGTATGGGTTTTCAAGATCAATCATCCATATCTATCACTCCAGAGGTTATTTATATCACTTTTCTCTAGTTGTATTATTTTCCTGTTGTTATCATTATCTTTTCGCCCATATTCTAACTTCCCGCAGTCTTTCACTCACTCTGATTCATTAGATCAATTTCTAATCAAGTTATCAAATTTTCAGTTAATGAGCCTTTTCGAGTGCCAAACCTATATTCTGAGTTACCTTATAGAGTGTGTTCTGGGCCATAATCCTCATGTGCATCAAGGACGTGCTGGGTCGTAGGGCAAAAACCAGGTTGTCCTTCAGGGTTACATATGTCGCAGGATGAGTTGAGTCCACCCGTGTAAAAGAACATGTGGAGAAGGCTGAAAAAATTATAAGTTTAAGGATAAGTTATTGTGTCTAGAGTCTGAGTAACAATGATGTACTGCAGATCAAATAAAGAAAAAAAAGATAGATTAAGGCTGCATTGTATTTGATTTTCTTATTTATTACTCAACTTGGATAATCTTGGAGCAGATGGCTAACACCAGAACACGTAGTTCGATTACTTTCATTTTTCCCACAGGTGTTCTTTGAATGATAGTAAGTAATAAAAATGATACGACAAAACAAAGAACCTAATAGAACCTGACCAAACCAACCAAGGAAATATACCTAACCTAACTTTCTAGCCGGGGGCGAACCCCCCCTGCCACATTAAACAAAAAGTACACTCGCTGTCAAAATAAAACATTCACCCTTCCTACTACCATACCTATGAGCTCACGGCCTTTCTACATGGCAGGTCACAAGAGGGTTAGGGAGATATTGATGGGGGGAGAGCTAGAGGTGGCAGACCCAGGTATGGGAGGAGAGTTTAAGTCAAGGGCCAAATATGTAGTGAGAGTGTATGTGGTCTTACAATTATTTCTAATACCTGAGGAATGTGTTATGGTTGGTGGATTAAGCTTGACATTGGCGGCCTTAATGACCCTGGCAGTTTAAAGGCCTAAAACCCAACCAAACATTCAACCAGGAGGGCAGGTGTCCGGGAAAGTATCATATGGACATAACTTTCCCTTAGTTATCTGTGCCATTACTTGAGATTCTGGGGAGTAATACGAGTGAACTTTTGGCAGGTAATGTGTCATTAGGGATGATAAGGTGTCTGGCTTCCATGACGAAAAGCCCCAGATATGACAACATAGAGGAGAGGGTATAGCTTGCTCACCATCAATAACACCAAAAGAGGCTGTTACTTGATCACATCCACCTCACACCACAACCATTCTTGAAAAAATTTGCTATTAATTGAAAACAAAAGTAGGAATGAATTGTTGGATGGAATGTGACTTGTCCACCCTGTAATATATTTATTAGAGTTGGAAAAATCAATGCGGGGTGATGAGGTGGTAGTGACAATGGTGTCTGGCCACTGTTCCACACCCGCAGCTTGGCGAGTGGCGGGCAAATTATCAGTTTGTACGTGGCGGCTATAATGTGTCAGAAATTGCAAGGGAGGATGGAGTCACTGAGACATTGGTTAACCTGCTGGGAGGAGTCTGGGAACTTGGGAAACCAGCTGCCGTGAGTATTTTTGATGGTTTGCTGACATTTGATATATTAAAATGACTAATTCCTGGTGTGTAATATAAACGAAACACATCTGAACTCTTAATTCATATAAATTATATAATTTTAGGCACGGGAGACCACGACTGACATGCGAGGAGGAAAGTGGACGAGCTGTTGAGATTCTGTATGACCTGTGTTGGTAAACATTAAAAATAAATGTGATTTCCATCCTTCAATATTTCTCCTCGTCAACGTTATTATAAATATCTAATTACCGTTATTTAAAACCTGAACAGCAAACTGAAAAAAACGGTAAATAAGGAAATGGATGGAACATTATAAAAATCATAAAATAAGGGTACTCATCTAATACTCTTACAAGCATGTAAACCTCAGATAACAGTGATAAAATATTACATCCATCCTTCCTTTCCTTCTTCCATGATTTTCCCTGTTTTCTTCATCCCCCCCCCCCTCTCTGATGAGGAACTTGCTTTGCATACCACCCTCCAACCCCCCTCCCTCCCCAACAAAGGGCCCTTCCCCAAGTTGACCATTCCTCCTCTCCACCCCACGTAACTTGCTGTGCAGAAAGGACCCGGCCAGGCGCAGGGGAAAGGTGGTGGGGTGGATGATTACTTTTGACCGCGACTGTACTTACTTTGATATCTGGTACCAATAAAAGCAACTTTCTTGAAGCGGCATAGTTTGTAATTTTCCATTTTTTGTGAACATGAGAGTATGTTCGGACTGAGCGTGAACAAAGAGCAGACGCCAACATGTGCTGACACGGCAGATTTTTTTGCGGAATATTTATGGTAAATATTTAAGTTCTTCGCATACAAAGCATGCAGAGACATCATTTTGTGTCATATGATCAGTTTTTCACCATCCCTCCCTCATCCTTCATACCCTGCCCACTCCAAGTGATTTATGATCGCAGATAGAGAACTAAAAAAATAGAAAAATAAATACTTATAATTAAAATAAAAAGTTGTCATCGCTTTTATTACTTACTATCATTTAAGGAACATATGTGGATAAAATGAACGAAAATTAACAGCTCCTGGTGTTAGCCATCTGCTGCAGTACAGGCGTATTACCCTCAACTTTCCTAGTTCATACTGTACTGTTCTAGTGTTAACTTAAATTTTTATATATTACTCTAGTGCCTAATCCCTACCCACTTCACTCACCTTTTCTCAAGCATTTCCCTCATCACATCTACAACTACGTATCCTACCTAATCTCCAGCCACTACCCCTATCCCATCTCCAAATACTTCTCTTTTCTTATACCTAACCACTTCACCAACTACATCCAAAACCACCTCCCTTACCACATTCCTAATCACATCCTTAACAATATTTCCAAAAATGTCTTATCTCTGTCATCTTCCGCTACTCACGAAGTGAATCATGATATCTTCCCTTGATCTGGGAGAGAGCCAGGGCACCCTGCAGGGCCAGCAGGACAACAACGCCTCTCAACATGTCCTCAGGACGCTGACACTGCTGTATGGTGTTGGTGGATGTGGTACTAGTGTTTCCTTTGGGCCAGGCAGTCTGGCTACCTGGAGGGAGAGAAAGAATAAGAAATTCAATGGAAATAAAATACAGTACAATGGGACGTTTTTGTCGCTGTGCTTTAAGACTGGAGTCAACGCTGAAAGAATCACTTATAAAAAAATCCTTGACTATAAGAGGATAAATTAAAGTAAAGGTTAAGGTTGGTAAATATATTCACATCTCTTGTGAAGCATAATGACTAATGGACGAAAAATTAAGGAACGTTCCTTGTGGAGAAAAAATGATTAGAATACATTTACTGGACTTGTTAGTGGATGATATTCAGAACATTTGCCATGGTAAAAATTTATTGACACTCAAAACAATTATTTTGGGGTAAATATTGAAGTACGAAAGTTTTCTTTAAATAAAACTTAATTTGGTAAGTTTTCAGTGATGATTATGGGAAATATAACATGATAATTTGTAGAAAAAAATTGATTTTCTGAGTGGTTGTGATCTGCATGACCAACTATTAAATGATCCGGAGTGTCTGTGGAGCCAGGAACCCTGTTAAGTGTATAATACAACTACTATCGTTAACTAATTCTAAATGAACAAATACGATAATACAAAACAAAACCAAAGAAATAAACTCTCAAACAAGACACAGTGCTTAAGAAATAATCCTTGTTTCAGTTTTCTGTTAGTGTTAAGCTAATGAAAAAACTGAACTCCTCTGTATAATGCAAGTGATTCTGACAAATAAAAGGTGTTGTTTTGGTGTAAAAGTTAAATGTAACTTGGTCTAAAGGAAAATGTTAAAATTTTAATTCTACATTTCTTGTTTATTAACAACTTATCTTTCTTTAAAATTAACCCTTAAATCTTTTTTCAGACTATTTACAAATCGATTACTAATATAAATATGAAGCGTCTTTCAATCTTATCCAGATTACCAAATTGTGACCATATTGGCATTTTATATTTACTTTTACGTACTACATATTGTATGTTTTTATCATTTCATTATTTATCGATTTTCACTTAAATTGTAAGATTAATCTCGTAAAAAGGGAATATTTGCCTCTGGATTTGGGGAATTTTAGGTTACACCGCCTGGCAACACTGACAAGGAGCCATGGGGCCCTGAAATGAGTGTAAATCCCAGATCGTTCAGTTATGCAACTAGCTTGTTAAGCCCCTTAGAATCCGAACCTATGCAGATGCATGGATGAGCAAAATGTCCCCAGCGACAGGACCAGAACAGTTATAAGGCGGTGAGTTTGACCAGCATAGTTCTGGATGTACATTATCCACAGGAAGGATATGACACAACTAATACATACCGGTAATACCGAGCCGCGTGCCGGATGCTTTAAAGGGGGGGAGCGTTCCAAGGTTATCAACATTGGTAATCCATTCATGTGTCGGTTTCTTCACCTATGAATCACCTCCGCGCTTTGTGTCCGGGTGCGGCTAGCGTGAGAGATTGCTGACGACGGTGTTTATTCCTTGAGCTCGGATATGTATCTTTTATTCCCCCCAGCAAAATGGTATCGCCTTCTGACGTGGCTTATTAATGAAAAGAGCACGAAACTAGGGTGAGAGAAAAGAGAAACAATAAAAGAAATAAAAACAAATAGATCTCCATCATATAGAGATTGGATGAGATAGATCTAGACTTACATCTCTGGCGACCCTAATGACAAATACTAACCGAAATATACTGTGTCAAGCTGTGAACTCGCTCAATCAATTAGCTGTGGATATTTTGTGAAGATCGGTTCGTAATGATGAAGATTAGAATGTCAGACAGACAAATAAACCCAACAAACTGAGCTGACCAACAGCCATATATTTCACCAAGTCATAAAACCCAATCACTGTTCTATACATGTACAGTACATTCTGGTCAACATGTAAGACGACTAGACCAACACTGGACAGCCTCCACTTGTGAGCCCAGCATTTAATGAGACGACTGGACAGAACACCGGACAGATCCGGAAATAAGCCTTCAGATATCATGATGAACTTTAATAAAATGTGATGCAACCGAAGCAGTCTTTGCAGGGGCGGATCTAGCAATATCAAAAGGGGGGAGTCTCCACGAAGTTATGGGTGAGGGAACATGGCGAGCATAGCGAGCCCATCCAGCTGTTTTTTTAGGGGGGGGGGCGCTGTAAGCCCCCCCCCCCTCCCGTATTATTTAATTTGACCAATATCATGGGCATTTTGAGGCCATGTGTACTTGATATTAGGATATATTCTGAGGTCAATAGTAATTACTTTTCACTATACAAAAACGCCTGAGTACAATACTGCATTAAAGAAAAAGTACTGGAATTTTCTGATGAAAAGGGGGATCCGAACTCCCAGGAACCCCCCTGGATTCGCTCCTGCTTTGATCTTCGATTCTAGTGGATGAAATAAAAAGTTTTAACACGGCTGTCGGGAAATAAAAACATCCTCATTAACTCCCAGGCAACTGTGGCTCACTCTGACTCATACCAGCAGCAGACTCATCACTGTGACGAGGGTAAAGGAGCGAATGACGGTAACATGAATAACATCAGTGTGCACTTTAGAGGTAGTTTGTGTCACAAGGAGCGAGATATTTAGTGATGATGATTGTTTGCTCTCTCTCTCTCTCTCTCTCTCTCTCTCTCTCTCGTAAACCGTGAAATCCCAGGATCCTGGGATAAGAACTGCAAGTATTGTCCCGCGAAATGTCGAAAGTACCCAAAAATGACAAACCCTTGTACGTACGTACACACACACACACACGCACGCACGCACGCACGCACCATCAAGCTGACAGGAAGTGTGGAAGGAAGCTATCGCTCGGATTGCTCGGAGAGAGAGAGAGAGAGAGAGCAAACACTCATCATCACTGTATAGCTCGCTCCTTGTGGTACAAACTCCCTGTAGTAATGTACACACTACTGTAATTCATGTTACCGACAGTTGACAATATCATGTACCTTTAAGCTACTGTACTGGATTACATTTAACACAAATTCACTGTTGACTTGACGTGTGTATTAATGATTCTTCTTTCGAAAAGTGTCAGGTTTTACGAAGCTTAAGTAGCGTTTTGTCATACCTTAAATCTATAAAAAGAATAATTGTCCAAAATATGTCCCACTCTACCTGTATTCTGACGTATAACGATGATCTACGAATGTGAGAAGGAAGATTATCCAGTACCAACACACACACCAAACGCCTAAGGAGCACTGACGGAGAGCACCAGCTGCAAGCGCCCAGTATAAACACAGCGTGTCCGGATTCGGAACATCAATGACGTCTTGAGGGAGCGGGACTCTGATTATGACGTCATTCATGCCTTAACCCTTTAAGAACTGATGCGTCACTTATATTTTGAATAATTGCCTTTCATTATTGATAGAATATACACATATACCAATTTCATTAAGATTGGTATAATAATAAAAAAGCTTTGACCGTTCAAAGGGGAAGATAACCCTCAACTGTACAGTTAATGTGACGTCATTTGTGTGACGTCACATGCATGACGTGGGTGGCGTTCCACGAGACTAGTCTCCTGGATTTTCCATTTCCGAAGTATTTTTACTAAGAAATGAAGAGGCCGTTGGTAGACGGGTTTGGTTGTGTGGCAAATGGAACATAAGAATGGAGGAAACTGCAGGGGGCCTATTGGCCTATACTGGGCTCATATATCAGTCCAACCTGAACTCAAAGTTTACACAGCTACATAACAAAGCAAACAAACTTGGAATTATGTAAAAAATCTTATTTACATATGGATATATTCTCATTCAGTTAACGAGCCGATCAGTGGCGAAGAGGATAAAAGTAAGAGTAGAATTTGAAATCTATGAATTCTAAAACTTGTGAGATTAAAAGCTCAAGAAAAAATATGTAATCGTTTAGAGGACAAAATGACAAGTAAAAGTGTCTGCAATGTGGTGAGTCTTGGAAGGGAAAATTAAAGTAAAGAATAAATTAAGTCAACGTTTTAAAGCGGAAAATTCATTAAATTTTATACCATAGAGAAACAAGATAGAGTTAGCATTAGATTCCATATTAACGATTTTGAGAAGTCTTGCCTACAAACGTCTGAGGGAAAAAGAGATAAGTTGAGGTAATTTCATAAAAAAAAGAGAATTAACAAAACTTATGATAAATATTAAAGGAGTTAAGATAAAGTTTAGTTACATTTTATAGCAAAACTTGATAGAATAAAATGTTACGATAAAGGAATGCTGAAGCACCTAATTTGTAAAGGCAAGAGAAAAGTAAAGGTAAGAAGAGAAGCAAGAGTTTAGGGAGAGGGAGAGGAAGTGTAGCGAGGACAGGGCGATGCATCAGAGGCGTGACTCAGTGGGTCAAGAGTCAAAGGTCAAAGGAGAGATGAGAGAGGGAGATGACATTGGGAAGTGGGCGCGAGAGAAAAAGATGGAGAGGAAGTTGGGATGAGAAAGATGGTTAGGTAGGTAGAGTAAGAGAGGAAGGATAGATAGTTAAGATGGATTCACCGTTAGTAAGAAAAGAGAGAGGCTAAAGATGTGGGAGATGGCAAGGTGGAGAGTGGGAGGGAGGCGAGTCACTGATACTTGAAGGTCGGATGGTGTACAGTAGTTGCCAAATGTATGATGACGCCGTGGCCTGCACCAAAGTCCTTCGCCTGTACCACTCTTACTGAATGGGAAAGCTGTGACGTGCATGGTGGACTTGGTGGTTATTACAGTGGTGGTGAAGGTGGGTTTGGTGATATAGGTAGGCACGGTGGTGGTGATGTCGGTGGGCGTGGTGGTAGAAGTGATGTAGGTGGGCGTGGTGGTAGAAGTGTGGGAGTAGTGTTCGTGGTGTTGATGTACGCGGGTGTGGTTGTGTAGTGGGCAAGGTGCCGTAGATGGGTGTGATGATGCCGTAGATGGGTGTGGTGATGGTGTAGGTGGACGTACTCGTATAGTGGCGTAGGTAGGCGTGGTGGTGGCGTAGATGGTGTGTGTGTGTGTGTGTGTGTGTATGTGTACACAGGGTGGTGCAACGCGTCTAGGGTGGCAACATTATGTTAGTGTTAAGGTGCAAGCACTGCTTGCTTCCTCTCGTTTTCAGCTACTGCCGCTGGTTAGCCCTCGTGGTGAACAGGGAAGCAACCCTGTGTAAGCCTTCCCGTGCCAGTACACAGCCTCTTCACCATCAAGACTCCTGAAGTGCTTCCTCGTGGGAACACACGATAACTGGATGCCTCGCGGCCCCAACAGGGAATCTCGGAGCAGCAGTGGACCCCAGAGGGATGGCGCATTGGCTCACTGGCATGTGGACACGCCCTGGCGCCTACCAACCACTGCCCCGCTGCCTTGCGGGTTAACCTTGGTAGGTATAAGGCTAAGAGAGTAAACCCTGAACGAAAAATCTGCGGTGGAGTCCCGCATCAGGCAGACATGCTTACAGAGCTCCAACAAGACCCCAACGGTGGTGTAGGAGGAAGAGGTGACCATCATGGGAACCCAACTACTACACCAGCAGATGTAAGCAATGCAAGATGGACAGGAAACTATAGCGAAACCCGACTAACTGAGCTGTTAACAGTCCATTGCAACTCCCTCTCTCCCCAGTTGTTGCAACTACCTGCACCACTCCATCAGGAAAAGGAAGAGCCAAGATGTGTGGTTGCAGCCTGCGCTCCTGCCTCACCACATAAATCAACTCACTCGCAGCCATCATCCAGGTCATCATACTTCTCATCATCTTCAAATTCCTATCCCCCCAAAAGTCTTATGGAGATGGACGAGTGGCGACGGGGGGGGGGGACAGGGAGAGATGACTGCCGGAAGTCTGTAGTCACAACTCTGCACATGGCCGGCATAGATAAGATGGTCGTTTATGAACTGGGATCTTGGCAGCAGTGCAATCCGAAGTCTTTGTCTGTACAAATATTATATTGTACACTTCATGTACAGTCAATGTGAACAGGTGTGACGATTCACACTAGCGACAGGACTGTTTAAAATACGCTTCACCACAAAATGTTTCTAGTAGTAGTAATATACTAAGAATCGGATACTGTGTTCACGCAAACAGTTACACATAAGACAACATAAGCCAGGTTATATTATAATAAAATAAAAGAAAATGATAGAAACGGTTAGATATTATAGATTGGCAGATACAGTATAGATACAGATTCAGGCACAGGCATAGGCATAGTATGTAGTAGAAGCATAATAACAGAAATACATCTTGGGAATACAATTTGAGACAGCCTGGAGGGTGAGGTCACGGCTAAAATGAGACATGATGCACCTGCTAACGAGGTTTCACAACAAGTGTCAGGATGTGTTATGATATCAGATGTGTCGAGGTAAGGTGAGGTGAGGCAGCTGGCCGGATGTGACCTCCAGAATGGGTTTTTATTTTCCAAATACTTTTCAGGGTGTGCTTAGACGCAACGAACTAATCCTTAATGAACTATCAGAAATATAAATTGTTAAAAAAAAATAATGTTCGGTCTAGTTGAATTTTTGTCGATCAGTTTTTGGTGAATTTGGTCACGGAGTATTGCTGGCGTGCTGCAATACGAAAAGATGATGACACCGTTTTCACTAATTGGCCTGACTTTACCTGAGAGCGCCTACACGATAACGTCCTTGTATTATGCAGCATTATGGTGAAATAGAGTAACACTTTACTCAATCACCATAAATTGATGAATTATGACAGGAAGTATTGTAAAGTCAATTGCTGGTCTGCCAATTTTAGGGATGACCAGGGAAACAGTGTCTCCCTTTCTGAACTCTTGTACCTTGATTCTCTGAAGCAAGTAAAATACATTTTCCATACGTGCTGTCTGTGGCTGTTTCTTTCTGATCTAGGTATGGCGTGTCCCTGGCGGTGAGGGCGCTTGTAACTTTGTGCTGACACAGCTTGTAGCCATCTCCTACGGTGACGGGGCTTAACACGCTGGTGATGGTGGAGCTGACGAGATCATGTATCGCCTGCTGCTGTGTTCCATTCTTCGTGTCCAATTTCATGGAATACACGATTCAGGGTAACCACTCAGATCAAATGTAACTCGTTATCAGTATTAAGTTCACTTTTCAACGCTGTCAGTTTTTTTCCACAGTTATATTACCTCATCCCATCTAACCTTAAGATTGCGAATGTCTTGTCTGCCTGTTGACAAAAGAGACATCACCACTGCATCTTTTGAACATGGCTCATATCATTTAATTCACTAATTTTCTGCAATTGTCCGAGTGAAAAATTTTGGCCGACCCCAAGGTAGACAAAAAAAAATCTTTTCCTCCAACATCTTAAGACACAGTTTATGCATTTTTCTATGTCAAATGGAACGAAAAGCGGAACAAGTAAAAACCGTCTTACGTATATGAAATCACTATGAGGACCATGTCACATGTCAAAAAGGTTAACTTGGACACGATCCACGCAGAAAATCATTATCCATATTCCACAATAAGGCATAGTGTTGGGCAGTTGACGTACAGGGCTTTATGTTAGTGGTAAAAGTAGTTAATTACGTATAAAAATGTCTAGAATTAGGGATATGTTCTTAATCTGACTTTCTTTTTCATTAACATTCACTACACCTATGCATATTTTGTCAGAAACTCTTATACCAGTGGGACTCACAGTGGTTGACAGCTGTCAACGTTGGCAATCTTGAGGGAGGGGGTAGCTAAACAGGAATGGGGGATATGCAAGGTAAGCGTTTGTCAAATTTAATGTTTGTGGACGATGCCAAGTTATTCAGGAAATTAAGAACCAAACAGACTGTAAAGAGCCACAGAAAGATCTCTGTCAGCTTCAGGAATGGTCGAAGAAATGACTAATAAGATTCAATGTCACGAAGTGTAAGAGGAAGCACCTAGGTTGTACCTACAGTAAGGAGGCGTATCACATGTTCCAACGGGATGAAGAAACTGCATTAAACAGGGACCGAATGTGAAAAGGACCTGTGTGTGTGTGTATGTTGACAATGAACTTTAGTTCTCTGGCCATTGTGAGGAGAAGGTGAATCAAGCAACGAAACTAGTAGGTCTTATAAGAAGGTCGTTCAGCTATCAAGACGGACCGTCTAGAATTTGAATGGTGGATCACATGCACGATCACAGTTCTTAAGAAAACACAGAAAAATCTCTTCAGTTACACAACTCATGCCTCAGTCACATCACCTATGCCCCATAAACCACCCATGGCCTGCATAAAATTTGTTTAAAGGCCAACAAGCTTAAAAGGCCCAAACTGGCAAACCTTGGCTCGAGTACCAAGAAATGTTGGTGAAGTTTG